TTATCTGGTACACCTACCTGTATTACCAGGTATTATCTGGTACACCTACCTGTATTACCAGGTATTATCTGGTATACCTATCTGTATTACCAGGTACTATCTGGTACACCTACCTGTATTACCAGGTACAATCTGGTACACCTACCTGTATTACCAGGTATTATCTGGTATACCTACCTGTATAACTACATAATATGTGATACACCTATCTGTCCTCACCTGTCCATTAGGTCTTGTGTTTACTGGGATATCTAATACACCTATTGTCCTCACCTGTCCATTGGGTCTTGTGTTTACTGGGATATCTAATACACCTATCTGTCCTCACCTGTCCATTGGGTCTTGTGTTTACTGGGATATCTAACACACCTATCTGTCCTCACCTGTCCATTAGGTCTGGTGTTTACTGGGATATCTAACACACCTATCTGTCCTCACCTGTCCATTAGGTCTGGTGTTTACTGGGATATCTAATACACCTATCTGTCCTCACCTGTCCATTAGGTCTGGTGTTTACTGGGATATCTAATACACCTATCTGTCCTCACCTGTCCATTAGGTCTGGTGTTTACTGGGATATCTAATACACCTATCTGTCCTCACCTGTCCATTAGGTCTAGTATTTCCTGGGCACAGTGGGTTGCTGGGGTCGTGGCGTGGAATGTCCTCTTCCACAGGTTTTTCTACCTGCCCCTTCCATGGCCGCCTCATACGGTGTGGAGACACCAGAACCCAGTCATCCTTCAGGGGGTTATACCGGATGTGCTGGTGCTCTGACAAGTAACAGGACAGAACAAGCGGCAAGTAACTTAGTCCTAGATCTAAATCATGATGTATTTAAACAAGTGCACTGACTGAAATATAAGTTCAGGGTTGTGACATATAATGGTACTTTGTGATCATTTGGTACAATTGATATTTTAAAGAATATGTAAAAAATGCACTGTCAATTTTGTGAGAATGTAGAAAATGCCTGTATCACTATTTAACTTACCTGTAGGGTCAAACTGCATTGCCTTGTGCCACGAGCCTGTGGTAAGTCAACTGCGCCTGCGCACCTGTTGCCAACTTCCTGTTTAAGTGTTTGGAAAGATGGCGGAGCATGGCTGAGTACGCAGCTGCTTGGTTGACATGAGGGAAAGTTTTTAAGTACTCCTAGATATTTTTGTCATTGTTCCGAAAGAAAATGACGGGGGAGATGACCTAAGCGTCTGTTATTGATGCAGCTATGTATCATTACAATAAGTCTCGAGCCAGACAGGGGAGTTCGCAGGAAGGACAGGTGGGACTGGAGACTCGCTGTAGCTTTTGAAGTGATATTAGTCGATATTTACCGCCTCGTGAGCTCCAGTAATCGATTGATGCGTACATGTAACTAAGCTCTTTGATGGATAAAGTGCTTTCATGGCTGTTTTCTCTTCCGAAAACGGGTCATAGTTACACAGATCTTATATTAAAGATAACATATTTTACCACAAAAAAATACTAGTAAATTGTAACAATTTCAAACATATTTAAGTTCCCAAGTTTATAGTTTGTTTCATGATTTTGTTTTGGCAGTTGTGCTTATACTAAATGAGAAACTATTTATTTCCTTTCATAATCCAATCCTCCAGTTTACAATATCTTTCATTGCTTTCCACTAATACTAGTGCAGCCTGTGCTAGGCTTGATAAAAATTGAAAGGTTAGAATTCTCCTGTTGTGTATTCTCCTAGACATTGGTCAACAACAAAATAAATCTGTATGACAAAAAGCTGATGTATTTGAATTCATTTAACACCAATATAGCTTTTTTCTTCAATTGTCTTTTTCTCCCACCTGCTACTTAGAACTTGTTTGGACCTCAGTTTAGTCTCCAAGCTTCTGCAACTGTTGTGGCTGAAAGACCTATCACTAAACAGGTAACTACTGCAGAGTGTCATATCTCTTTGATAATAACTGAAAGACCTTATGTTGAATTGGTTATTGCTTAAGTTGGAAATGTGTCCATAACAGAAACTGAGAGACCTATAATTGAACAGGTGCAGGATGTAACTTTTGGTGCCTGCATCTGTTGATATGGAGCAGACAGTGACTTATAGTTTTTGCTGCTGTTTTGTTTTGCAAACTTTTTTTTTCATCTTAGCTTTTTTAATTATTTGCAAGTTTGCATTTTAGAAAGCCATTTTATTTGATATAGCCTTTGATCAAATTATGTACTGTGTGAAAGTGTTTTTGAAGTTTATACATTTTAAACTTGTCTTTACTTAGCTGGCCATAACAGAGATTATGGCCAGCTTTTAGAAATTTCTTCGTTTTCTTTCCACACGTGGCTTATTAACTACATTTTTTCTTTATTATTTACTGTGAGTGTTGGTATCAGTTTGTTTCCATATGTGTGTCTTGCAAGTGATTGATTAAAATGAACTATCTGATTTAATGGTCAGTATCCCAGAGATGTCCACCCTACGTCCGCCTCCACTGTTGACCCCTCCACCTCCCTCCTGAAGAAATACGGCCAGCCCACTGAGCTCCAGATTGCAGGTAAGATATCTACTGTGGCGCTGGCGCTCTATCTTAATTAATAGTAGTTAATACTTGTTGTTATTTTAACTGCTTGATATATGCATGCTTTGGAGTTTATATAAACACAATGTACAGAATAGATATGGAAGTTAACATAGAGTGTTACCGTAATTTGTTAATAATAGAAGTTAACATATATAGTACAACCATAATTTGTTAATAATAGAAGTTAACATATATAGTACAACCATAATTTGTAAATAATGTCTAATAATGGTATACCTAAAAGTTAATCCCTTCAGGTGCACATGCTGGTATGATGTTGAATGTGTTTTTTATTATGTTCTGATGAATAAGGAGATTGAGCTCTTTTATTAATTTTGTATATGTAATATTAAGAATAGCACTGGTGGTAGGTGTTCTTATACTAGTAATGTTTTTACTCCTAATGTAGTGAAAGGGAATGTTTTAGCAAAGCAGTTCACCAGTGCAGCAATTACAACTTAATTGTAGTTACGTACATTGATAGGTGTGTGTGTGTGTGTGTGTGTGTGTGTGTGTGTGTGTGTGTGTGTGTGTGTGTGTGTGTGTGCCCATGCATATATGTATCTGTGTGCAGGTGCATGTAAATGCATGCCTGTGTGTATACTAATCTTGCCAGGGCATATGTAGCTATGTTGTAGTCATTGCACACAAAAGCCTTACCTAGCTGTAACACAGAACCTGTTGTGTCTGATATATGTACTTATAGATGCTATTACCTAATAATACCAGATGATGTCTGACCTTAAGAAATTCACTCAAGTCTTTTGTAATTGTTTTTTTTTTTCTTTTAATAGAAAATTGACAAGTCTTCTTGATCTGTTTGTTTCCTTTTTTACAGCCAAGAGCCAGCAAGCTTCCCGTGAGTTTTATGTCTTAAATTTAGCATACCTCATGTAGTGTGCTTTGATGTGCTTATCCAACCCCCAACCCCCAGTGTGCTTCTCTAGCCTACTAGGGGGTTTGTAGGGGGGATGCTACCTTAGCAACAATGTAGACTTAGTATAATAGTATCTATTTAATGTTCTAGGAGGAGGGGGGTAAGAGGTTAGGGCAGAGAGTTCAAATTATTACGGTATTATGGGACTAGCTGGGAATACTAGTAGCTGAATAAGTAGAGAGGGGTTAACAACTAATAGTGGTTCAGTTTCTTTTATTACTTAGAGGTACTATTACATACATTTACTGTACTGGTAAAAAATGTTTGAATAGATAGGTAAAAAATGAAACATTACACATTTTATTATTTTATTAAACTTAAAGCAATAATAACTCTTCCTTTGAGATTCAAAATTCCGCATGAAATACATTGTAAACAACGCATGGAAATATATTCTATTGTATTTTACCACTAAAACAGCCGTTATTGTAGTAAAACTAAAATCTGTGCTTGTCAACGGGGCTTTCGATGCCTTTCTTCCCAGTCATCAAGGCATTCGTTGCTAATGACGTAATGGTGTCACGCGGATTCTCGCGTTCATTCGAGACCAAAATAACATGGCGCCAAACGCATTAATGTGGACGCAGACGTAAGTTGCGAGTTTTTGTACAGTGCGTCGGATAACGAAAAGCCCAGAATGGCACACATTGTGGATATAAATGCATTTTTAACAAAAAGACGAATATATCTCATGAATCTTATATAGTGTTGTTGTTGTCTGCTTTTCCCGCGGTTTTAAGTAGGTCACCAGTGACTTTGCAATGTCAGAGAGAGCTCCGTCAGTTAAAATCTCTTAAGAGATTTTAACAAAAAACCGTACGTTTAGGAAAAAAACCCTGGATTAACTTTGAATGCAGGAATGGGGTCGTTGACCATTGGTAAGTACGGGAAAATTGCCGTTTTTTCCAGGAAAATCCAATTTTTGGCCAAAACGAAGAGTTATTATGACTTTAAGATCCATTGACTCCATCATAAGAGTAAATATGTGCATGTCAACAGGTGTGTTATAATGTGTGTTATTTGTATCTGTGTCTAAGATGCACTGTCCTCTGGTTCTGTGGTACATGATAACTGGCACCGTGTTTGTGATCTGTGAGAGTGGCTAGCTTCAGTGAATGGTGTGGCTGTTATGTGGCATCAATGGTGGCTACTGACCTGTTGTTGAACTGTTCTTGTACAGATGGGGATATTTTGATCTTTTGTCTGGAAAAGGAAACTTTTTGAAAACATTATATATGAACCAGAGGTTCACAAGTAGCAGCAGATTTCAGTTACTGACATTCTCTACATAAACTTAGTAACCACAGCTGTGTAAGCCAGACAATTGCCAAAGATCTCCAGTGTTATAAATGCATGCAGGTTGATGTGAGCAGTATTGTGAAGTTTGTGATTTAAGTTGCTTGGTACTAACTGCGGGTTCTGCTACCACAGGATTCCAGTCTGACAAACCCGGAACACAACCCCAACGTAACGCGCCTAATGTTCGCAAGCAGACTGTGGTCCCTGCTGCGGCGTATGCACATGACCTTACTAATAATGACCACAATAACCTTGATGACAGATACAAGATTGTCCAGAATTCTGGGAATAATAGAAAGAACCCGTCCATGCATTTACCAGGTAGGCTGTACTGGCTCTGCAAGGTGCTCTGCCAGGTAGGCTGAGTTGGCTGTACAGGTGCTCTGCCAGGTATTCTGTGCAGGTGCTCCACCAGGTAGGCTGATTTGGCTATACAGGTGCTCAGCCAGGTAGGCTGTACAGGTACTCTGCCGGGTAGGCTGTGCTAGCTCTGCAGGTGCTCTGCCAGGTAGGCTCTACAGGTACTCTGCCAGGTAGGCTGTACAGGTACTCTGCCATGTAGGCTGTGCTGGCTGTACAGGTGCTCTGCCAGGTAGGCTGTACAGGTGCTCTGCCAGGTAGGCTGTACAGGTGCTCTGCCAGGTAGGCTATGCTGGCTGTACAGGTGTTCTGCCAGGTAGGCTGTACAGGTACTCTGCCAGGTAGGCTGTACAGGTACTCTGCCAGGTAGGCTGTGCTGGCTGTACAGGTGCTCTGCCAGGTAGGCTGTGCTGGCTGTACAGGTGCTCTGCAGCATTAGGCATGAGATATTGCCTTGCTATACTTCATAAGCCTATCTGTTACCAGGATGAAATTGCTTTCAATTTCTTTTCAAGTTGTAATGAATCATGTGAGACTAATAAGATCATTTTATTGTAAAAAATAATTTATTAATATGTTGTGTTGGTTGAATTCTTCAGCTGTGTACATAGATGACTAGCATTTTAATCATTTGCTTGAACTGGTAAAGTCTATAACTAATAACTGAAACAAAGTTAACATTCTTGTGAATTCTATAAATAGAAACATTGTAACAAACACAGTTATTGCACATTAATCAGCAATTTTTACAACCCTGCACTTAGTATCAATATAGAATTACCTTTCTACAGGTATTATTTGTATCTAACTGATTTTTTCCCTCTTTAAGGTGACCGTGTGATATTTGCTGAAAGTCCGTCTGCTCCGGGAGTGCCAATAGTTTACAGAACGCCCGAGGAGAGGGCAGCCAACCCTGACCGCCTGAATTTAGACAGGTCAGTCTGACCCTTGTCCATGTCAGCAGGACAGCACTGCGTAGTTACATAGCATACCTCAGTTAGGATATTACATACAGTGTAACTACTTCAAGGTGAACCACCCTAATGAAAAAAGATAGGACTTTTTCATAAGGGCAGACAGCTATATTGTATCTTTTGATGTTGACTTCCAGGCGTCGTTTGGCAGTGTGTCCCATTCTGGAAGGAGAAGAACAGTTACGTTTGCTCAACTACCAGCACAATGTGATCACCCAGATCCAGCACCTGAGCAGTCTGAAGAGACTGATCTTCCTGGACCTGTATGATAACCATATAGAGGAGATCTCTGGACTCACGGCACTCAGGTCTCTTAGGGTACTCATGTTAGGGAAAAATAGGTAAGACTCATACATGTGTATGATACATGAGATCACTGAGTTCTTCAGACAATATGACACATACTGCACCTGTCAACTTTACCTGAACATACATGCTAAACAATATCTCAGCACAACAGTTCAAACTTCAAATATCATCATTGTACGTTGATCTGTAGGTGTTATATTCTATAACATGTTTGATCCAAGGAATACCTCTCTCTCTCTCTCTCTCTCTCTCTCTCTCTCTCTCTCTCTCNGAATGTCATGTATTTGATATTATAAATTTTCAATGCATTTGTAAAATAAAACAAAGTTGATAAAGTGCAGCAATGATTACACACAATTTTCCCTTGTGATAGAACCGAGTTTGTGGTCACGAGCAGTGTGGATGGACATGTGAAGTTTTGGAAAAAGAAGGAAGATGAAGGCATAGAGTTTGTCAAGCATTTCAGAGGACATTTGGGTTAGTTTATTCACTAAAACCCTCAGAATATTCCTAAAGAAAATTTGACTATTGAACGGACCATTTGTAGGATTTAAGTAGAAAAAACAACAGATTTTTTTACATCTCTGGCTGTTTTCTGGCAGTCATCAAGCATAGTTTGATTGAGTTACAAAATTGAAAGTTGCCCTTGATGTATATAATATGATTTATTTTGTATGTATTTTCTTCACTTGGTCTAAGCCAAATGAATTTTTTTTAATAATTTGCATTAAAATCCTCATTGAGTATAATTTTGTAGACCATTAATTTTTTTAAAATGTATTTAAAATTACTTTAGGTTCCATACTTGATATGGCAGTAAGTCCTAATGGGGAACTGTGCTGCACTATTGCTGATGACAAAACATTGAAAGTATTTGATGTTATCAACTTTGGTAAGTAATATCTAAGAGCATAAAATCATTGAAATTTATGTTTTTTTCCACCAGCTATAACTACCTTTATTTGTAACAAGCAAAGTATCACCTTTATTTACAGTTTGAGCAAGCTTAATTTTATGAAAAGATAAACATAGCATTCTGAATTTCAGCTTTTTTTGACTGGGTTAGATTTTAAATTTAAAGTTATCTAGTCTATGATGCAAAATTACTTGAGTTTCAGCTGAACTGTTAAATTGTGTCAAAGTAAAGATCAGATAGTATCTATGGGATTTGTTTAAAACCCATCCCTGAAAAAGAGATCAGCATCTCTTGGGGTCTTTTTGAATTGTATCTTGGTCAGCTATGTTTCTTAGCAAAGTAAGCCATGACCATTTTTCTTTTTGTTCAAGAGGTCCCTGGGCCCCACTGTGTGAACTATATTTTACCACACTATTTCAGACATGATTAACATGCTGAAGCTGAGTTATGTTCCTCACTGTTGTAGTTGGATCTATGCAGCTGGAGATGCTGTACCTGCCCTGGCTGTGTAAGTAATTGGAATGTGCACATGTTACCTTTATTTGTAAATTGAAAAAAGTCAGTGCACGTCTTTGTTGCTATGATTGACTAAATAAGAGTCTAAATGAAAAGAAAATTGCTGTTCTGAATGAAAGAAATGTATAGCATATAAAAATGGAAATATTCATTTGAACATCCTATATTTCTCCTTTATCAGGCAATTTAAATACATTAACATTACATTAAAATCCGCAATCTAAATCCTTTATTGATTTTATAAATGAAATACATCACCACAGAGTTTGAATAAAGCCAGTAACCACCTTATTTTATTACAGGTCGGAGAAAGGCAACAAAATATATATCTATGATGGAAGGGGGTCAGATGTGCCTATTGAAACACTGGAAAAAATCCACTATAAACAAGTAGTTGTAATCAAGGTAGTCATTACAATTTGAACCATGCTCTGTGGAATATCTGTCCATGTTGATAATCATTTACATTTTTATATTTGGATGTTATTGAAAGTGATGTTTTCATTGTTTAATTCTAAACAAATGGAAGGAAAGTTTTTCTACAAATATATATATGATATCAACCTGATTTTGTTAATTCGGAAAACAATATTATGTAAAAACTACTGTCTTATAATTTTCAGTAGCTTTAAATGTAGAATAATGCAAAACAATGATAAAATGATGTAAACTGTGCTTTTCTTCTATGATTAGGAACACTGTATGTATGTTGAATACAAGTAATACAAATGTCAATGATTTCCAAATCGGTGCATACAAAGTCGCTCTCTCAAAACATACTGAAATTATAGTGAACACATCCATGTGCGTGTGTGTTTGTATGTGAGAGAAAGAGATAGAGGCTGAGGTTTATAGTTCATATAATATTTTCTTTTTTTCCCTTGCAGTACAACCCAGTGTATGAAGTAGCAGTCTCAGCAGATGAGAGTGGAATGGTAGAGTACTGGACAGGACCAAAATCTGACTACAACTTCCCAAAAAATGTCAGCTGGGAATATAAGACTGATACAGATTTGTATGAGTTTGCAAAGGTGAATTTTAACGTAATAAATATGTGGTTTTCTTTATTTTCTTGTTCTTGTATAACAAAGTTGTGTTCATTTTTTTATCAAAAATTAACCAAGGAGTAAGAAGAAGAAAAAAGCATAAACTGGTATATTTTAAGGTTGCTTAGATATTTTGATAACTGTTTTTAGTGCATTATATTTCAGTATGTTTACACTTGTTACCCATTAGATTTTAGCAATGTAACTGTGTTTTGGTCATGTATTTACAGTGTCAGACTGTACCTACGGGAGTTACCTTTTCTCCGAATGGGAAACTGATGGCTACCATTGCTAAAGACAGAAAAGTAAGTGACAGTATACAATATTTAGCCAAATACAAGAGTCAATCGACAATATTTTTTTGAAAATGTTTACTAATATGATTACTAGTGTTATTTGATCACTTTTTGCGGTGACATCATGTTATTTCAGCTGCTGATGTTAAAATTATTTAATGGTTCTGTTTTTATTCTAGGTGAGAATATTTAAATTTGCAACTGGTAAACTCTATAAAGTGCTTGATGAATCATTGAAGACATTTACAGAACTTCAACAGGTAAAATGTCTATAGTCCTTTTTATATTGCATTGATTTTACATAAATGTCATAATAAGATTTAACTAACAACTTTTCCTAGGAAAATCATTTATCTTGACTTAAAGAAGGGAAGACTGTCAAACTAAAGCTTTTTTTGTTTATAGTGGAAATATATTCTGTGAATTGATATTTCAGACACGGCAGCAGCTACCAAACATGGAATTTGGTCGTAGAATGGCCGTAGAGAGGGATCTTGAAAAGTCTGATGCTTTTTCACGTTGTAATGTTTGTAAGTGTATAATTCTTTTTTATTTCAATTGCTCAACTGTGTAATATAAAGTTACCAAGATATTGATGGTGAAAACTCCTCCTTCTTAAATAGGTTTTAAATGTTTTTTTCTTGTGGAAGAGGTTGACTAGATGCAATTTACCATACTGCTCAAGGGGCATAATGTCCTTTTCTTCATATTCCAGTGTTCGACTCGAGTGGAAACTTCATTATGTATGGTACAATGTTAGGAATAAAAGGTATGTCATGTTTGCTTCAAGCTTTATTTATTATTTTTTTATAAATGGATTTTAAGATCTAAACCTAATAAACAGTGCCTTTTTTACAGAATCCACTTTGATTATCAAAAATCTAAAATCCATGCAATGAATATGAAAGTGAGAGTTCATTGATCATTCTTTTCCAGTTATTAATCTCTACACCAACCAGTGTGTCAGGTTTATAGGAAAACCAGAAAACATTCGTTTTGTCCACCTGTCCCTGTTCCAAGGGTCCGTGAAGGGCACAAAGGCGGCTCTGTCTGCCGAGATGGAGGCTTCTGACAACCCATCATTACAAGAAGTGAAATCTGATCCCACCCTCTTCTGCACTGCCTTTAAAAAGAATAGGTTTTATATGTTCACAAGAAGAGAGCCAGATTCTAAAAGGTGTGTGGTATTACTTTTAAGATTTTGTGATTTTTTAAAGTGTCATAATTATTCTACATTATTCTGAATTTTGCAGATGTATGTGGTATGTTGCATTTGCTGTTCCATGCGGAATTAAACATAAAGTAAACTTATTAATGTAACACAATATATAATTCAATACATTTCTATGGTAGCTATTTTGCCTTGATTATTTTTGCCCTTAACTAAATTGAAACATACTTTTAGATGAGAGTAAATTTTCATATCATGCATTGCAGTGCTGATGCTGAGCGAGACATATTCAATGAAAGACCCTCCAAAGAGGACATCGTTGCTGCTACACAGGATGCCTCTTATACCAGAGTGGCCAGTACTGCTGTGATCTATACCACCATGGGGGATATACATATAAAACTATTTCCAAAAGAGTGAGTAATGCTGCATAATCAAGCAGTATCACAATAGAACTTTGATGAAAGTTATTCTTAAATTTATGAATGTACTTTTCAGTCTACTTTGACTTACGATACTTGATCCATCAGTTGTAGTCCATACCCATAGGAGTATTTTGCAAAATGTCAGATTTGATTAATGCTTTAGACAGTTCTTTACACGATTGGTGTCGACCAAAATTTTCAGTTGTAAAATTTAGATGTAACATCTTTTAAACTTTAGTTTCTTATTTGTAAAACTGAACCTTGTAATGCACAAGTGAGGCACCAATACACTGCATTTTTCAGTGAAAAAAGTTCTCACTTTATTTTAAAAATTCCCAAACATCTTAATATTATGATAATTTTGCTAATTTTAGGGTGATTTTTACATAATTTTTTATGATTTTATCTTATGATTATAGGTGCCCAAAAACAGTGGAAAACTTCTGTGTTCACAGTCGGAATGGTTATTACAATGGGCACATATTTCACAGGGTCATAAAAGGTTTTATGATTCAAACTGGGGATCCTCTAGGTAGGTTCTGTAATAAACTTAAACTTTAATTTATTTACCTATTAATTAATTAATTATAATTAATTTATTGAGCACAAAGAAATGGTTTACATTTACAGGCTCTCTAACTAATACAAATATTAAAAAGAATAATTTAAGTAATAAACTATGCTCATCCACGCAGGGATACACGCTTTTTAATTGCACTGTTAACAAATTTACATATGGCAATCACACTCTGCGCAGAGAGTGGATTGAGTAAAATAGATAGTTTATTGTCTGTTGGACCCTGCAAATTCACCTCTGGTATGGAAGCGAACAGTATTTCCCGTTCGACTCTGTGTTCACTGCATTCTAGAAAAAAGTGTGCTTCATCTTCTACTGAGTCGCAGTGGGGGCATTTCCTTTTGTCAATTGGCTTCTTTGGTTTTGTATATCGCCCTCTTTCAATTTCTAATTCATGATCACTGATTCTCATTTTTGCTAATACCCTTTTTTGAGCTAAAGGAACGTTGAGTTTTACATAAGGTTCAGCCTCATAAGTGTGTTTAATTTTTCCATATGTTCTGAGTTTATTGTTTTCTCCTTTTTGCAATTCTTCCCAAAAATTTGACTTTATTTTTTTTATTATTTCTTCCTTTAGGTATTGGTGGTTGTGGATTTTAGTATGTGTGTTGTTATTTGGGTGGTAAACTTCCCAGCATGCCGAAAGATTTGTAGTAGCCCAAAACCAGTTTTTTCCCTTTTCTGTTTGCTCCATGTCGTAAGCTTGTTTGACTAGTCTGTGAGTTGGAAGGTTGTCCAGTCTTGCACTGTATTTGGACACCAAACTTACAATGTCCAAATACAGTGGAAGGCGTCCAAGTTCTGCCCTGCAAGCATTACTGCTGGAAGTTTTTCTTAAACCTAGTGTCCATTTACACATTTTTAAATGTATCTGTTCAAATGGCATCTTATTCAATTTGTGTAGTGTCATTTTTTTGTCTATAAATATCTCTTGTGCCCAAACCTCACAGCCATATAGCAGGATTGGTTTAATCATTTGGTCAAAAAGTTTCATGGTTAGTAGGGGTGAGGAAATTTCTTGAGAATTTAGCATCCCTTTTAATGAAAACATAGCTTTGAGGGCCTTTTGTTTGAGGTTTTCCATTGTCTGTTTTAAGGATCCTGTGTTTGTAAAAATTATTCCTAAGTATGAGAATTGCTTAACTGTTTCTATAGGTCTGTTATTTATGGTAAACGTATGTGGGTCAATTTTCCCAAGCTTATTGAATACCATAACTTTAGATTTATTTTCATTTACCTTCAATTTCCACTTCAGACAGTAGTTTTCAAGTTTGTTAAGTAGGGTCTGTAGTCCTTCTTTTGTTTGTGAGAGTAAGACTAGGTCGTCAGCGTATAGTATGTGACTTAGACCATCAACTCTTGTTGAGGTATCATTTATGTGAAGTTCACTTTTTATGTCATCTATGAAAATGTTGAAAAGTACTGGACTAAGGTTATCACCTTGCCGTATGCCAATTTTGGACAAAAAGGGTTCAGTGAAACCAGTGTGAACCGATACGCCTAGTCTTGTATTATTGTACATGTACTTTATGAGTTTGTATATTTTGCCTCTGATACCTTGTCTCAGGAGTTTTATAAACAGACCTTTATGCCAGACTGTATCAAAGGCTTTACGAAGATCGACAAAGCAGGTATAGAGACGTTTATTTTTGTTTAGATATTTGTTTATGACAGATTTTAGGGTAAATATATGATCTGTTGTGCGATACCCAGGTCTGAACCCAGCTTGTTCTTCACTTAGCTTTTGATTTGTTTCTATGAATTGAGTGATTCTATTTGTCAGTATAGAATTGAACAGTTTCCCTAAACAGCTTGTTATGCATAGGCCTCTATAATTTGATGGGTCAGTTCGATCTCCAGATTTATATAAGGGCAGTATTAGGCCTAAGTTCCAGGCATCCGGGGTTTCGCATGTATTTAGTGCTAAGTTAAAGATTTTTGTTATTAGTCCTACTAGGTAATTTACTCCTGTTTTTAACATTTCATTTCTAATAGAGTCTTCACCAGCTGCCTTGCCATTTTTTAGTTTTTTGATAGCGTTCTTTACTTCTCCAATTGTTATGGGACTATTTAGGACAAGGTCTCCTTCCATTTCCTCGTATCTTTTTATTTCATCATTTATTTGCTGATTATCTGTAGGGGGGATTCCACAGAGTTGGTGAAAATGTTGTTGCCAGGTATCTGGACTGATTATGTTACTTTTGTCCTCTCTTTCCTTCAGGGTTTTTAGTGTTTGCCAAAATTCTTTTGGGTTGTTTTTTTCAGAATTCAGCAGTTTTGTTAACAGTGCATCTTTGTATTCCCTCTTTTTTTGCCTTAGCAGTTGTTTATATTTCTTTGTAGTTATGTGGAAAGTTTGTGAGATATAGTTGTTATGCGGATTATTTTGTAATAGTTTTCCAAGATGTTTGATATTCCTCCTAATTTCAGAACAAGTGTTGTCGAACCATGGTTGTTTTTTCATTCTTTTTGGTTTCTGTTTTGTTTTTGTGTTTGTAGCAGCTTTTCTTTTACGAAGAGACATGTCTGCAGCTTTTTCAATGATAACTGTGAGTTTATCGCAGGCATTTTTGATTCCATCTTTAGAGACTGGGAAGTGTGTAGTCTGTGCTTGACTGATTGATTTTAGACTTTCCTCAGTTTCAAGAGCTTTTAAAAAATTTTCAGCTGACTCTGTATCCCAGATGTAGCGGTCTTTAAATTTATGGATTGAGTGGGCATTTGACATGGCTTTTGTACCTGTGGTGCTGATTGCAAGGTCCAACAGACAATGATCTGATAGGTAATCTATGGGTGACACTGTAAGATACATTACTTTGCTCATCAGTCCTTCACTTGTAATGGCATAGTCTACTGCACTGCATCCATGCTTGTTAAAGCAGGTAGGATAGCCAACTAAATTACCTTTAGTTCTACCATTGAGGATTCTTAAATTGCTACTCCTACACAATACCAGCAAAGTTTTTCCTTGTGTGTTGACTATAGTATCAATATTATTTCTCTTCTGTGACAATCTATTTGTTGGGTAACTAGCAGTCATAGGTATACCAAACATATTATCATCTTTAATAAAGTCGGGTAATGTCCTGGTTCTTGCATTAAAATCTCCTATTAGGCATATTGACCCATGTGGTTGATAATTAGCAATTTCCTCTTCTAATATTTCTATAGTTCTTTCATCTGAAGGGCCATTGCAGGGCTTAACATATACTGCACATAAAAACACATCTTTCTCTAGACCAACATGTTCACTGGCAAGTTTAACCCACAGTAGATTTTCACTCTTACTACTAAGTACATGGATGCTTTTCATAAGTTCTTTTTTGTAATATATCACTATTCCACCTGATGGTCTGCCTTTCATTTTAGTTTTTGTTCTGAGTTGTTCAGTGTGTCCATGGGTGCCACCAGGTAGTGCTATCTTTGATCTTACAGTGCTAAAAGTTTCTATGCATATGAAGATGTCAAAACTTTGTACCGTGGAGATGAAGTTATCATCACTTAATTTTTTTGCTAACCCCCTTACATTGCGCATGCCGATACGCAACATTATCAAACGTGAGTATTAAGATGGGTAATAGCTCATAAATAACACTAAATGCCTTGAACCTTATTTTCTATTTCACCTAGACAAGTTTCTCTAATATAAAAATGCTTCAATGATAATGTTGCCCTATGTGATTATTTGACCAATGCTTATCTGCTTATCACTTTGATATTGAATATTAAAATAAGTATTAAAATAAATAAATAAATAAATAAAATGATTGTAACATTGAGCCATTGTTTACTATTGAGTATGAAGTTCAGCTAAATATCACTAACCTGATTTTTTTAGATGTTGATAATAGAGTACTTACATGTTTTTCCTCGTTCACTGTCACATAAGGGGTGGAGGATAAGAAGATAAGTGTAAATACTTACATATTTACTTTGTTAATACAAAATAGGTCAGTGTCACTTTAGAATACTTTAAATGTCTCAGGTTTCAAATAATCCGTTAAGATACCATATTAAAGTATGCTTTCAAGTTTGCTTAAGCATTCACGCAACAGTTTTAGTTCATGACCAAAGCGGAGATGGTGTTGCTGGTTAGTACGATGATGGTAGGTCTTTCTATTACTCCATGGGTGTTGGGGTTGTGGAGGGTGTGGGTATCTTCCATTGGTAGAAGGGTTGGATCCTGTTGCTAGCTTGATATTTCGGGCAAGGGCAATTGTTCCAGATTGGGATAGGTGGATCCCATCCCAAGCGAAGAAATCCCTTCTGCACACAATGTTTGTATTGTGCATATATTTTACACTGGGTTGTGTCTTGCAAAATTCATGTGTAAGGGCATTCGCTTCCTGTGCGTTATCGTTGAATCTTTTATTTCCCCAGCGTGGGAGGATGTTGCAGACAATGACTGTTGTGGTTGGATATTGCTGCTTCGCACAGTGTATCAGTTCTTTCATTTCATTTGCAACTTGATTAGGTGGTTGGTTAGAGCTGATGTTGTTGGATCCGATGATGATAGTAATTGATTTGGGGTGTCCAAAGTGTTTTTCAGTCATGAGATTTTTTGCGTCCGCAATTTTCTTTCCATTTAAAACATAGCAACTGCTATTTGTTTTTGGGAAGAGTTTTTTAGCTTGAATTCCTTTCCCAATGGAGTCGGATATTACAACATTGTCGACCTCTGGGGAAGAGGTATTTATTTCCGAGATTGATATATTCACTGTGCCTTCATTTCTGGTGCTTGGGTTGGCTGATGTTTGTGGGTGACTATTGTCTATACTGGAAGTTATAACTGGTACTTCTGTGCTAGAAGATGTGGTTGGTTCACATGCTGGGACAGATGCAGGTGACACTGGAGGTGGTATTACTGCTGTTAGTTCTGGTACATGTGATATTGCAGGTTGTTTTGCAGCTTTGTTGACAGGTGACAATTTGACGGATACCGGTGGTAGGGAGCTATCAGCTTTGTTATCAGTGTTGTTAACATCTTTATCTTGTCCCTTATTTGCTTGTACAGGTGGAGAGGAGGCCCTCTGTATATTTAAGTAGTCAGCTTCTTCACACTGTGTTCCACTGCTGATTGTCGCCTTTTGTTTGGGGGGTGATAATGGTTCACTTTGTGTCCCTTTGTTGATTGTTGTCTTTTGTTTTGAGATGGTGGTTGATGTCTCACACTGTGTCCCTGTGGTGACAGTTGTTGTTCTACATTGTGGCTTGCCATCAATTTTCTCAGTGAGGTAGTAAAGCTGCTTTGTGATTTTGGATAGTAGAGCTGTGGTTTCCAGGTATCTAGAGTCTGATAAAGCTGAGATATGGGATATTGTGGTTTTTATTGTCTCTATTTGGTCACTAAGTATGCTTTTGGACTTGGCCTCTTCTCTTTTGGCATCTGCTGTGTTGAAAATTATTTCTGAATACTGGTTTTCTACTGCTTGTAAAGTTTCATGTATTTTGGATATCTCTCTCTCATTTTTCACTTCTTTTTGACTTGGTCGCACCTTTGTTTTGAATCCCTTGCGGAGTGTTTGGGTGTTTTCATCTATGATACTTGTATCACTAACAGGTGGCGTGGATCTAGACTGCTGAGTGCTAATCTCTGGGTTTAGTGGTTGAATTTTCTTTGGTGATGATACCAGGAGTGAAATCTTGGGGTAATCATTTGCCAACCATAGCATATAGGCTGCTCCTTGAATGTGTAACTTTTTGGACTTTGATGTGTGATAGAATGATAGTGAAACTGTGCCTAGTGTAGCACCTGATGAGTTAGTATATGGAAACTTGAGTTGGGTCCCTGTTCCACTATTGATTTCATTTTCAGATTCTGGTTTATGGTATGTTCTGCATATCTCAAGCCATCGTTTAACTTGGCTTACCGTGGACATTTTCACCACGACACAGTGGGCATTATGAGTAGTTGAGTCAATAGCTGGCCCTTGGTACTCATCAGCATAATCATAGTTGGAGGATATACCATTTTCTCTATCATATACTATCCTGGTTTTTCCATTCATCAAAGTAGAAAATGCAATACTGTATGACTCTAATAGTTTCTGATTGTTCTCACATAAATCTTGTAGCTCACCTGCTTTTGTTGTAAAGGCAGCTTTTATCTCTTCTGGAGTGGCCTCAGGCACCACTCCTAGTGTACTGTAGTGATCCACCATCTTGTTTTGCCTCAGGTCTTTGTTTACAGTCCAGTCCAGCTCAGTCCTGTTTTATATCACTTACTGTAGTTGAATAGTGTAATTCCAACCCTTTTTTTCTTCACTTTTCAGATCCTTGTGTGTTTAAATTCCTATTTTCACTTGTTTGGCTGGTTTGAGAAACTTGGTTCAGGCATAATAGTAGAAATTTTAGAGAGCCATGTGTAAGCTGTTTACACTGTCCGCCATCTTGAAACCAAGATAAAAGTTTATAAAGGACTGGTATGTCCCCGGACGGGTTTTAAACCCATGTCCTCCCGCTCTGGAGGCGAACACTCTAACCACAAGGCCATCCGGTCAGTTCACACCAATGGTTAATGAATCCATTTTTACATTCAAAGTGAATCCCCGTTTTTTTTTTTTTTTTTTTTTTTTCTAAAAAAGTTTGTTTTTTTGTTATAATCTCTTAAGAGATTATAAGATAATATAGCCATTAATGGAGGTCACGTGGTCTAAAGACGAGCTCAAATATCAGAATAATAGCTATAACTGCCATTTTGTGGTAAAACAGAGTATATTATATTTCTATAAGTTGTTCACAATGTTTTTATTGTGAAATATAGATCTCATACAAAGAGTTATTATCCCTTTAATGAGTGCATGTGCAATTTTTTTTACTTTTTGTGACTGCATTTTTGCTGTTTCAAGCATAATTTATCCCACGTGTTAATTTTTGTCTTTCAGCGTAGTGAGCCAGGGAAACACTTTTTGTTGAAAATAGCTGTAATATCAGTGAGCCACCAGACCATTAAGACAGAGATGAAAACACACCTACAAGGTACCCCAGATATGTACATGTATGTCATGTATGGTTAAGTTCATGGTTTACTCTTAGTCAATAGTACCAGTGTTAAATGAACTGTTTTGTCTAATTGATAACAACTTAAGATATTGAAAGCTTTCTGACATGAAAGTGTGTACTGATGCTCAGAAAACCAACAGAGCTTGTAAAGAGAAAAAACATTTACTTCTTTTACCTATTGTTAAATGGAACACTTTGGTTGCTTTTAGAATTTTTAAAACTCTTTTGCTAATGTTGTTGACATTTTGGTTGCTGTTTAGTGTCTGTATATTTGCCAGTTTTGATGTTGAGTTGTTTTTTCCTTCAGAATTTTGGCTCATTTCTTGTGGAAGTCATGAGAAAGGACCAGAAATTGTGGGTGGTTGCTGAGGCTCTGGATGCCATCTTTAATGTGTTTGCAGATGATCATCTGGACTTGTTGTCATGGAGATCAGAGTAACAAAAAACTCCAGACCATATGGTACATGTACCACAGCTGACAGCTAAGGTAAATTGTTTCTTAATTAATTAATTAATTAATTAATTAAATAAAATACTTATGTCAGGAGCAGTTGCCTTATCTGCATAGTGGACAAAATGAAAAAGTGTCCCATTTTGCTCATTGAAATTATTCCTGCAGTTGGGTATTTAATACATGTATATTCTTTTACAGTATAAAGATATCTTTATTTAAAGACATTTTGATGAATTAAAGTGATGGACATCTTCTAAAGAAATATTGTGATATTTTTCCAGATTCATCAACAGAAGAGAAACTTAGGAAACCACCTTCCTATCAGCATGACAGCAAGGACAAATCTGGTGCACTTCATCTAATGCAAATCTTGACCAGTAGAACTAAGACATGTTTTTATTCTGAAAGTTACTTACAACTCAGCAGTAATTTGGATCAAAGAAATAATTAGAGTGTAGCATGTCAAGTTCCATAGTTTTCTGGTGTCAAGTCAGTTTTATATCAGGCAACACTGATATTAATCATTAATATTTATTTATTATTTTTTCCACAACTTTTATGATTGTCCCATTAGAAGATTCATGTGTTATCACAAGAGACCGATGTAAAACTTGTTTTTGTTTTTAGCCTTTTCTTTTAAAATTAAATATTAAAATGTGTGGGGCTATNTATAGCATATTACTTATAGTAGATGCCACATATGAATAAGGTAAGTGGTTTGGGCACAAATTAAGAAGATAGTGTACATACTTTGCAAGGCTTAGATTACAGTGAAAGAATCACTAAAACAGATTTGAAAATGTTCTTAGCAATGTGGCAGTTCATGAAAACAATGTTGCTACTGACCTTTTGACTGAAACTAACTGTGTAAAAGTATTGTTATATACATTCCTTGTATCATTTATGAAACCTTAAAAGCTCAATATTACAGCAGGGTAGCAATGCCAGTTAGAATGATGGAATGATTTAAGGTTTCAGTCCAGACTAGTTTAAGGAAAACTACATGATTTAAGACCACAAAAATATTCATGCTCTGTCTAACTGCTTTATAATCAGTATTTATCAAGTTGCACATTCAAATATCCTAAACATTGATGTTTTATCTAATTGACAAAGTTTATATATGTAGTGTTGGTTGCCAGATATGTGTTGAGTTGTTTCTTTCAGGATGACATGGTAATTTTTTTAAAATTCCACTCTGTGTAACTTTCAAACTGTTCATTTCAGAGTGAAATCGAGAATCTTCCCAGTCTACAGAGGCTGTACCTCAGTTTTAATGAAATCTGCAGGTGAGTAACAACAGTGGAACAGTGACAAGTGTGCATAGAAAACAGCAATACAATCCTTATTGAAGTCATTAGAATGTAAAGAATGGGGAAATGAGATTGATTGTTTGATCCAAGAAACAGATCTCTCTCTCTCTCTCTCTCTCTCTCTCTCTCTCTCTCTCTCTCTCTCTCTTGTNAAGGGTTTTTGTGTGATCACACAATTGGAGTGCTCATTCACATTTTTCTAGAAATGCTTTTTAATCTTCTTCACACTATCCTTTTAACTGCTTTCTGCCTGTGAGATGGTTCAAACACCGTTTTGCAGATGAACAACTATTTTTCTTTATAGCTGAAAAATATATATTTAATAAATTTTTTTGTATAGCACGGCAGTTTAGGCATGCTTTTAAAGGCGGATTGAGGATGTTGTATTCATCTGTTTATCTGATTGCATTTAGCGAGTTGGATCGATCTAATTAGAACGACAGTTCCAATTGGAATGAGCCCTAAGAGATGGGCGGGTACTCTCTGTCCCTGTTTCTTCTACCCTCCATTGGATGTGCAGTATTCAGCACTCCCCATTTCTAACACTTTTAACACAGTAACTTCTAAATATGCTTGGGATTAAATTGTGTGTGTGTGTGTGTGTGTGTGTGTGTGTGTGTGTTGACATCAGCATCACTGACATAACTAAGTGAAGACAGTGGTTATAAAATGGTAGATATAAGGAGTAGTTGCCAGTAGTACATGTATAGTTGGCCAGACAGTACTTTGGTCAGTATTGTACACTCATCCTTTGACTTCATAAAGATGTTCCTCCCTGTTCTTGTTGAAAAATTGAAATGTTGAATGATAAAAACAGCGAGTTTAGATAATGGTAATCTTCAAAGAAAGAAAGAGCATAATTTTTCACCCTTTCTTCCTCCCTCTCCTCCCCCCCTCCCCCCCCCCCCAACACATAAAAAGCCACCCACTAAGAAGTGATTGGACTTTCTTACATTTGGCAAAAATAATAAAAATGAAGTGTAGAGTTTATTTTCCTTAAAATAACATCAATGACAGCAAAGTCCATTATACGTGGACAGACTGTGAATTTTTACTGAAAGGAGCAGAGCTGAAAGTGTGGGTCACAAGTTGTGGGTTATAAAAATATGAGGATTTTTATTAACATGGCCATCAATACCCTTTGCAAACATGAAAATTTTTGCGTCCAGTGATTTTCAGTTTAGCATGTTTTTTCAAAACAATTTCACTGAGTGCTACAAAGGTGCCACAAGTCTCATTATGCTCTCTGTAAAGGCTATTTGCTTTCTTTTTGCACTTGTAAGCCACTTCAATGTTTGCAGATTATATTGAGCATAAAACATTACGGCTTAAGGCCTGTTTAGAAACAACAATTCCTATAGCAGGGTGTAATGGTCCGTGGTTCTGTGAGGCACTTAGAGGGCAGTGAAGGGCGCGGAGTATGGGGGCCGACGCCACTTTGTTTACTTACTGTATTAGGAGGGGTAAAAACACAATAGAAATTCTGTTTGAATGAGTATAACTTAGTAGCATAAAAGATTACAGTGTTAATAGGTTACATTTGCTTGGTGATTTGCTGGCTGGTATGACAGAGAAATTAGGAGCTGTTCAGGAATATCCTTGTTAATACTATTTTTCAAACTCTTGAAGATATATTGAAGTGGAAAGTAGATTAATTCTGATGATTCACCATGATTGGATATCGCTCATTGGGTTGTCCTGTCCTGCGGGAATGACAGTTAAAGAGAAGAATTGTTTTTGCAGAATTATTGGTAGAGTTAAGGAAAATGAACTTTGCTTTAAACAGTCAGCTTTCTACCTTTGGCTTTGATATTGGAGCTAAATAATCATCAGAGATATCTGGCAGACATGTGGCAGTTTGAACTGAATTGACATTGAAATGTTTTTTAAGCATGCTTGAAGATATTGAATTATTCTGACTTCAGAATGAAAGTTGATTCAGACCACTTCAAGTATTATGAAAGTTTGATAAAAAATAATTCAGTGGGAGTACAAATTGCTCCAAACAGATTTCTTTCAGTACATTCAATTGAGAGATTGTTCAAGATAAAACAAATTAAGTGAATGAACTGTGTTCAGGACATGAAGTAGCAATGAATTTCCGCCATGTTACCGTTGACCCTGAGCGTCATGTTAGCGCTGTGAATGTAGCTCCATTCAGTGAACTACGCCCAGTGGAGAATGACGCTGTCAACTCTAAGCTGCCTCATATCATGACCAACATCACCATGTATCCGTACAGGTAACATACACATGGCTATCCTGGGGGGGAGGGGGTATATCACAGAGATATGGCCTGTGAGGAGGCAGAGTTGGTTCTATGTTATTATGTTGTCATGGTGATTGCCTGGTAACTCAAGAGTGAAGGTCAGAAGAGTCAAGTTTTAATATATTGATAGATTTAGAATAAAAGTATAAAGTGGTATAATAGTATCCCCTTGTTGTTTTCCAGCTTTGAGGACATCTCCTGTCTGGCGGAGTCCCAGTCTCTTAGTGAAGTGGCTCTGGATGGAAACCCTTTCTCTGGAGACCCTCACTACAAGACTATCATGCTGCGACACCTGGGACTGCTCAAACAGCTGGACTTGAAGAGAGTCACGGTAAGTGGTAGAGTCTTGAAGAGAGTCACAGTAAGTGGTAGAGTCTGAAAGAGAGTCACGGTGAATGGTAGAGTCTTGAAGAGAGTCAGGGTAAGTGGAAGAGACTTGAAGAGAGTCACAGGGGCCATTCAGAATGAGAAGAGTTGAGTGTTAGCTGGTCCACGACTTAAATATGGCCGATCTACATGAAAGGAATACTGCTTAATCCTGTAATGGTCTCTCTGCCTCTTCCACACCTCCCCACAGTAAGAAGTAGAGAATTGAAGACAGTCATGGTAAGAGGTAGAGTCTTGAAGAAAGTCACAGTAAGAGGGGTCATTGTGGTCATTGTGAAGGTACACCTCTAGAGGTACATCATACCTGTATGTTTAAGTTAGTGTGAAAGAAAAATACCATTTTAGAAAATGCTGTTTGTCTTCCTATATTGACACACCCTTATTGTTGTGGTATCATTTCAGGAGGAAGAGAGAAGGGTGGCAGCTTTAATGTATAAAAAGGAGGAGGACAAGAGAAGAAACAGCAACAAGGAAGCTTTAGTAAAGGTAAGGATATTAATACATCTCATTTATGCATGGATGCAGTAAGGCTGATGTCATGATATCAAGTTTCTCTATTAGATGGACCACGCTAATACCCACACTTGATTCTGCCATTATTATTATTTTATTATAACTCATCACTTGTACCATTTTGGTGTTCTTAACACATGACAGAACTACCATTGACAACAGCCTGGTAAACCTGTTGTGCATTAGACAGGGTTTCCATACCTAGATTGATCTAACATATTCGATCCATCTCCAAGGGGTTTCTCGTGAAATTGCTTTCAGCTTAAGTGGCTTATATGTCTGGCATGCCTACTGAAGCTGTTAAATGATAGTTAATTACCCCCTAACAGCTTCAGTAGGTGTGACAGACATCTAAGCCATTTAAGTTAATTGCAATCCCCTTGGTGATAGATCAATCCACAGTTAGTATGATAGGGTTTATGAATGGTCCCTTAGTTGGTTTGTTTGACCCCCCTACTAACCCCCTATGTTGTGGTGTTATTTCAGGACAGTGACCGTGTTATGATCCTGTACAGCCCTGGTGGCAGCCCAGCAGATATACAGAGTTTAAGTTCTCCCAGTGAACCACGTTCTAAGTTTGGGTTCACTGCCCCCAGTACCCCAGTTCTCCTTGTTAGTGTGACCGTCTGTGTTGTAACTGACAAAATTTGTCTCATTTAATGCTCACTTATGGATCTCAATATGTCCTAGAATATAATGTTTTTCTCTTTTAAAGAAAAATGTTCTTAATCTGTTCTAGGAAATTCTGAAGGACTTCTCGAAAAAAACAGATCTCAAACTGTAACATTCATTGCAAAACAACATTAGAACTGTACAAAAAATATACCAAATGTTCTAGAATAGATTGAGAATGGTAAGTGAATGTTAAATGAGACAATTTTTTGCAGGGGTGTATCCTCAGTGTGATGTCTGCCAGAGTCATGACCTCTCTTGTCATGACCTTGATCTCTCTTGTCATGACCTTGGCTTCTTTTGTCATGACCTTGGCCTCTCTTGTCAGAGTCATGATGTCTGTCATCAGGGTCGTGAACTCTCTCTTGAAGTGACCTAGATTTGAGTATATACTGTACACATTTGTGTGTTCTCATTTATTTTATGCTTTTATTGATGTGTTTTGACATTTTTTTAATCTTCATTTTTAGAATGATACATGGGATATAAGTAGGAGAACATCCCATTGCTTTAGAGATAGTGGAAAATTTGCCAGTGGTGGTCAAAGAAATTAACATGGCATTTTCAAAGAGAGCATTTTTTATCATTATCAGTTTATTTTGACATTTGATAGATGCTTTAAATCTGTGTATAAGATGTTTTTTAATCTCATGTACTGTTTCCAGTTATGAATGTCTTTGTCTTCTGTCCATTGGATCTAGGTGGAGTGTGTGGCCTCTGCTCCTCTAGCAATCTTTGTCATGATTTCATACTGTGTGCTGCTCGTGATTCAAAACATTACAGAATATAACATCTTTTCACCAGACTTAAGTAGTTGTAAGATCTATGTAAAGAAACTATTTATTAGGAAACAAAGATGTCCTCCTTATTCAACATAAGTATCAACCAAGAAGGAACTGTTACAAGTGAATTCCCTGCTACTTTGAACTTTTTTATTGTCACAGTATATTTGCTGTAATTACTTTTTGATATGCTTACTCTAATCTATGTGCAGGAGAAGCGTCGTCTGGCCATCAATAATGCCAAGCGTCAGTGGGAAGTGATGCAGGGCTCGCTGATGCACAGAACCAATCGTCTGGTGAAGATGCCAGAGTTATACGCCACACACGTCGGTAGTTACTCACACTCTGACCTCCCTGCGCTAGGAAGGGACAACCCTAGCCAAACACCAGACAGCATGAGGGAAGATTCAGACTCCGTGATGAGGTGAGAGTGTGACATATAATATACTTTGTGATATACAATATACCGAGCAGTGTGATAGGATTCGTGATATACAAGATACTGAGCAGTGTGATAGGATTTGTGATATACAAGATACTGAGCAGTGTGATAGGATTTGTGATATACAATATACCGAGCAGTGTGATAGGATTTGTGATATACAAGATACTGAGCAGTGTGATAGGATTTGTGATATACAAGATACTGAGCAGTGTGATAGGATTTGTGATATACAATATACCGAGCAGTGTGATAGGATTTGTGATATACAAGATACTGAGCAGTGTGATAGGATTTGTGATATACAAGATACTGAGCAGTGTGATAGGATTTGTGATATACAATATACCGAGCAGTGTGATAGGATTTGTGATATACAAGATACCGAGCAGTGTGATAGGATTTGTGATATACAAGATACTGAGCAGTGTGATAGGATTTGTGATATACAAGATACCGAGCAGTGTGATAGGATTTGTGATATACAAGATACCGAGCAGTGTGATAGGATTTGTGATGTACAATATACCGAGCAGTGTGATAGGATTTGTGATGTACAATATACCGAGCAGTGTGATAGGATTTGTGATGTACAATATACCGAGCAGTGTGAGAGGATTTATGATATACAAGATACCAAACAGTGTGAGAGGATTTGTGATATACAAGATACCAAGCAGTGTGAGAGGATTTTCGACATACAAGATATCGAGCAATATGAATTTGTGATATACAATATACTGTACAGTGTGAGAGGATTTGTGATATACAAGATGCCGTGCAGTGTGAGAGGATTATTTAGACTCTGTGATGGGTTGAGTTTGTGAAGTAAAAGATGCCAAAGGCTGAAATGATTGCTTGTCTGACATATAACTATTATATAGTACAGAGAGAAAGAGAGAGTTCTCTGCATGCTAGCAGTGCTGTAAACTATGGTGAGGCTGAGGGAACACTTGTAGTTTGAAATAATTGTTTATTAACTGCATGCTGATATGTTGTTCCAGCCCGGTACGCCCTAGCAGTGCGAGAGCCTTCATTCAGGTGGAGGGAGGACGTAATAAATTTTGGGACATGAAACAAAACTGTTTCATGACCACGGGACTTCGCAAGTGTGTACTAGCTGTGATAGCTGTAGCTTCCTGCTTCTCCTCTGTATATTGTTGTCCCTGTGATCTGTACATGTGTCCCTGTGAACATGGCATGAAATACACATTGCAACTGAGCTGAAACTGTTAACACATCTTGGGGAGGGGAGGGGGGGCATTGGCTGATATATCGTGGCATGTTGCTGTGTTTATTTCTCAAGTCACCTTTTTAACAAAACATTAAGCTTAATCTAGATGCTCGCCATTCTAGAGCTGGGTGTGGGTGATAGGTTTAACACCTGTTGTTACCTCAGACACAGCTAACACATAACTCAGTGAGTGAGGTGACACCTGTAGCTAATGGATTTACAGGAAGTTTCATTATGATGAAATATGTAAAAATAACAAGCTTGGTGTGAGTGATTTGAGGAGTAGACTTGGAAACCTTAACATATGCACTATGGTTACATATTCATTTATGTACTTTGTGTTAATGTGGGCACTCCCTTTGCTGACAGAAGCTAATTCACTGATTATTTATCAAGTAAGCACATCATCACTGTAGAGAAAATACTCTCTAATACCACAGAATTGATATAAATTATATGCTAGCTTAACCCACACACATGCTTTTAATTTTACTAAAACCCCTTCAGTGCTTAGGCTTCATTTTACAATCTAACATATAATATTAAGATAACTCCAGGCAGCAGACTACCCCACCTATGTCATTTGTTATTAGTATAAAGAATAATTATAAAGAATTATTTTTATTATTATAGAATCCCTATGAATATAAAGCACACTGGTCAGTACACTGGTCAGTACACTGGTCAGCATGGACTCCCTGCTTGTTTAGATTTAATAATAAACCATCTTCTTCCTGGAGTTAAGTGTTCTAGCTAAGAGGGTGGTGAAGGCCTCCTTAGATATCAATAAACAGTTGTTTAGGAGTGTAAATAATATACAGGATAACTTCAACTTCTGTGAAACATCAAGATTTTACATTTTTTATTTTATTATGGTTAAAAAGCTTGTAGTCATTTGTTACCATATCTTAAAAGTAGAATCATGATATTTAAAAAAATTTTGTTAATATTTATTTATTTATTTACATTTTTTTCATTATAAACTAATGTGATATTTTTAAGTTGTTTTATGAGATTTATAGATTCATTAACCAATTATGTTAAAAACCAAGCATACCAGTTTTTACTGCACTATAGAAGTCATAATTACTCACTTTAGTTGTACTCTACAGGTTTACACTGATGTGTGATCATTTATGTAAAAGATGGATTAATAATAATAATAATAATAATAATAATAATAATAATGCCTTTATCACTGCAGTTAGGTGTATTTTCACTACAATATATACACAAGGGATATGGTTTTATAGACAGGACAGGTTACTGCATGGAGCAATGTTTTATCAAAAATAGAAAAGAACATTTCAAATTTATTATGTATTATAAATTTGGTTTTGTGACAGGTGCTGTACTTTAAGTGGGAGTATAAATACATCATGTAACACTGACTATAAAGACTAATGTCTGAGTATGGGCAAAGCAATATCCCAGTGTTTGCTTAATCTGACTTGCCTTACAGTTACTCTTCATTAAATGGGGACTTTACCATAGTTTTTTGGTGTCCTCTGTGTGTATAGGGTGCCATTCATTTCTATAATGTCCTATGTTGGGAGAAGGAGTTCCACAGTATTTTCATAGATTAGTCTTTGATGAGTAGAGGAGATCACAGGGGATAACGATTAGTACAAGATAACCCTAAGTCTTATCTCATTAGTGCAGCTGAGCACAACAAAACTGCAGCTGGTGCTCCAGAACAGGAATTATGGATTTTACATCAAGTTCTGCTTAAGAAAAACTGCCTGCCTCCCAGTGCTGGAACACTATGGTTCCACGTAAGTCTAGACCTCCTCGCAGGTCAAGCCCTTCATGCAGAGGGTAGGTGTGCTTATAGATAGGGATGGGGGTGGGGATAGGGGGTGGGGGATGTAAACAATGATGATTACATCTTATTTGGAGAAATAAGCTGCTGATATGTAAGATTAGCATAATTTTTCAATCTGACAATTTATTATGTAATCAAGTAGGATGAGTCAAACCTGATAAAGTCAGCCCTGGTCCAGAGCTATTGTGAGATCAAAAAGATGTTGTTTATGCCCTAATACTACTGGTGTTTTACATTTGGGTGCATGTAACTTGTGTAACTATTATCACTCCATTTGCTCACAGGACAGAGAACCATCTTGCTGTTATCTTCTTTGGTTTCCAGTCTTAAGGCCATAACTTTGGGTCATGGCCGCAACTAAAGGTCACAACTGAAGATCTTCGGTGTAGGTCACAACTGTAGGTCACAACTGTAGGTCTTAATGTACGTCACAGCTGTAGGTCTCAGCTGTTGGCCACGACTAGGTCACAACTGAGGGTCACAGTAATAGACCATAGTTTACTTCAAACAAACTATTTGGAACGTATTTTGATTTAAGTCGAACAGTCAAGATGTCACATGTCTTGTTAGGATATCATCAGATTGGGCCAAGATGTCATATCATGTCAAGACATCACATGTCAAGATGTCATGTTATATTACCATGTCACACATCAGGATATCTCATGTCACTTGTCAGGTTAGGCAGGTTGGGTTGAAATGTCACATTGGAATGTCACTCGTCAGATCATGTTGGAATATCACATCATGTTACTCAGGATACCTTCTACATAGAACTTGTTGGAAGATAGCCATGAATTTTTATTACAACTTACAAAAAAAATTTGAATTGATAACCTTTCAGTTTTTGGAATAAAACTAGATAAGACTATATTTTCATCAACAGTGACCGCAGTCGACCAACAAGTGCTCACAGCATACAAAATGGCGGCACGTCTTCAGACATCAACAGAGAGAGGAAGAAGGAGCGTCCAACCACAGCTAACAGACTGAGCTCTAGGTCTTCTTCCAAAAGTTCTATGAACAGAAATGCCTCCCCAGAAAAAGAAACCATCACATATAGGTAAGTTTCTCCACAGAGAAGACTTTCTTAGACCTAATTCCCATTGAAGTCATGGGTCTACATAGATCAATGGAAATCTGCAGGGACTAGATTAATATGCCCTCTCGTTTCCAAAAATCTTGCATAATCACTGGCTTTTCTGTTTTCTACTCAAGTTCAGGAGGAGACACATTAGTCTGTTAAACCTCATTGGGAACAAGCCCTTATTTATAACTTGTAAAGACATAACATTCCTGCCCAAGAGTCTTTTAGTAGTGAACATCAGTATATGTGTTAATTTGTTCCAGTACTGATCCCAGTCTGGGGACATGTCACCTGGCAGAGCTGGAGGGGGACACTCTCAGTCTGTATGGGGTGGGATCCCTGGAGGCTCTGGACAGGAACTGGGGGATCCAAGCCGCGGGGAACATCACCACCATTGCCTTCCAGTTCATGGACTTCACGGAGCTGGTGAAACATCTGGGGAAAATACGGGCAAGGTTTCCCAGTGTGCAGGTGTGTGACATGTAGAAATAACAGTAGGATAGTTAGATAGATGAAAAATGTAAAGAAGAAAATATAAGAAATTACCTACCAATTATTAGTACCACCAGCGTGTACGTTGGCGGTACTCATGGTTTTAGTCCCGACCCGTCTCGTCCGGCTCCGCCAACTCTGTTGGCTTCGCTGACACTGCGCTCTGATCCTCTAGTTAGGTTACATTTGTACTAAAGTACCATGCAAAAATGATAATTTGAGATTGTTGCTGATTTTCTTTCTATTGATAATATTGATATTTTATAGAAGTTTATTACTTTTTTTGGTAATTTATGTCAAAAATCTTTGTTTTTCAGACTCTTATATTCCAAGCTACCAATATTGAAAGTTTTCATCAACTCAATGCCCTCTCCAGTGTGCGGAGGCTGGATAATCTAGTCATTGACCCGGAGGGCAATCCCGTCACCCAGCTCAGCCTCTGGAAGCTGTATACAGTGTTCAGGCTGGCCCACTTCTCACTCAAGAAAATAAACAATGTGGAGGTGAGGTTTGATCCATAATACAACTGAAATGCACTTGCTTGTGACAACTTCCTTCCCCATGATCCCTGAGACCTTTGAATATTTTTTTTTTGGGGGGGGGGGGTTTAGGGGGGGTGAAAGAACCACCCTTTTGGTAGTAAAATGTCTGCTCAAAATCAAAATTTTATCTAGGTTCTGTTTCATTTCTTAAGATAGGTCAACTGAAAGGGATTTTTTAAAAAGAAAAAGACCCCCCCCCCAATCTTTGGATTATCTGGCCAACTGACAGGCTTGGGCAGATAACACAATAGTCATCTCTGGGGGAAATTGTTAGGTTCTTGTTGTTTACTGAATGTTAATTTAAGATTTAAATCCAAGTCATTTGTCAAATTGTTTCCTTGTCTGTTAACTTGCTGGCCTGACTGGGGTTAGAAATCAATGGATCACTTATCGGATTATTACCTGCTAGTTAACCAGAAATAACTCGGAATAAAAGGAAACTGAGTTCAAGTATTGATATAAAAAATGGCCAATATTTAATCTCCTGTTTCTTTATTGGTATAATTGATTTATTGAAAACTTGAGTGGGCTGGTTATCCCAAGGCAGTGTTTCATTAATTATCAGTGAAATATGCATCTGTAGATTAGGTTATTTGTTTCAGAATGACCTGGCTATATAGGATATTTAACAGTTCAATAAGCCAGGGGGGGTCCTAAATGAGCAAGGTGTTTCTACTAACAAATGTTCAGTAGTTACATGTTAGTCAAGGGAGGAGCTTGGGTTTGGTAGGAGTGGAGTAAGATTCACCATCAGGACAACAGATCAGGTTACAGCATAGAGATGTATTGGAGAAACTGGTGGGAGGAGAGGAAATGTACCTGTTATTTGGCAGTGATAGACCACTGGGATAGCTCACTGGGATAGGCCACTGACATAGACCACTGGGATAGGCCACTGGGATAACTCACTGGGATAGGCCACTGAGATAGACCACTGGGATAGGCCACTGAGATAGCTCACTGGAATAGGTCACTGGGATAGGCCAACATCAAATGGCCGTGTGTGCAGTGAATTTAGCTGATTGTAATTCCACAGTGATAAAAACTTCAGAAGAGGATTGTGTCCTGCAAAATGGCTTGAAATTATGCCATTTGCCAGAGAATAATGGTGGATATTCCACATGATTTACAAAGGGTTAAAATTCCCAGTAGTCTTCAGACTATTAATATTCCTAGAATTTCAGAAAATGAGGACACTCCCTAATTTGGAAAATGGGGACACTCCAAGTAATTTGGAAAATGGGGACACTCTAAATAATTTGGGAAATGAGGACACTACCAACAATTTGGAAAATCAGGACATCCCAAATATTTTGGAAAATCAGGGCATTCCCAATGATTTGGTAAATGGGGACCGTAGGGTTGATACTTTGAAACAGGTACAAACAATGTTGTTTTTCTTTGCATATACAAACTATTTATAACTACAACTGGTGTCAATGGTATTTTTCTAATTGCCTTTGTTGACTTGCTGCTGTTTAACCAGGAGTACCTTGTTACTTAAAAAAAAGTTAATCAAAAAAGAGGACATGTTTATAAATAATTCTTGCCTCAGCATTAAGAATATTTAATAATAATAAACAAAACTTCATTATTTAAGAAAAAGAAAAAACTTAAATTAAACATTCATACAAGGTCTCATATCTGTGACAAATGACAGAACTTTTTTTTTTCTTTTCATTACAGGTGACATCAGCAGATATCTTAAATGCAGAGAAGTTTTTTGGTCCTTTGTCCCACATCACCACCTCCCAGCTGTCCCAGTCCAGACTGTTAACATTACTGGGAGAAAACAGGTGAGTCCTTTGGTTCTCTGTCCCACATCACCACCTCCCAGCTGTCCCAGTCCAGACTTAACATTACTGGGAGAATACAGGCGAGTCCTCACTGCAGTTGTATCTTTTATCCTATCAGCAGTGAGCATACACCATTATCCCTGTATCATTGTCCTGATAATCTTACAGATTTTATTAATCTTATGTAACAGATACCATTATTATTGTTGTTTTAATTCCAGGAAAAAACAGTTACTTTCTTTGTCAGAGGAAAAGTCCAGGAAATCTCCTGATGGCAAACTAGCTGAACACAAGAGTGCTATAGAATCTATAGGCAGGGCTGGACTAGTCTATCCACCACTAGAAGAACAAGTCAAGAAAGGAGAGGTAAGATTTGAGTGATGTTCACATCAGTAGAAGAGTTTACGTTGTCTTCCAATATTATAACAGTCATTGTAAGTAGGTTCTTTATACACTGTTTTGTCTGCATCACTTCCCACCTGTGGTGTTGCAATATCAGATCATTGATTTGCTTGGAATTTGTTGTTACAGGAGCAGAAATCAAAACTAGACTTTGCCCAGAAATTTGTCCGTCAGATCTCCAGGGAGGCGGTGGTGGTGGACAGAAAGCTGACCACTCTGTACCAGGTCTGGCCACAGATCATGGTCAGTTTGATACAGTCTGCTGTGATGGACATGGCCGATAGGAAAACATACATGAAAAAATGCATGGAAGACCTAGAGAAAGGTTGAAAATGTGGGCTTAAAAGTCATTTAAGTCTGGATACCTGCTATTTATGCCCAGGGCACCTCGCTGCCTTCTCATGACATCACAGACTTACACCACAGAAGATGGAGGAGGTTAGGGGATTAAATTGAAGAATTAAGTGGCACTTACTCTTAGTCTTAGTCAATCTCAACATTTGTAACTAGATTGGCAAATAATGACTTCTGATTTATTTTTCCATTGTTATTTTTCAATGGAACTTATTCAAGTTTGATATCCCTTTCAGGGGTTGCCAATTTCTCTGGGATGATTTTTCCAAGAGAATTTTTGTTGCCACCAAGTGGTAGAGATAGAAAATAGCCACAGGGTTAAAGCAAAGGAACCAGTGGTTCTGACATGGCAGTGTGTGCTTGCTTTTTTATCATTTATAAAAGCTGACTCGTTATAGCGTCTAGTCAGACATTTCTCTGTGTACGTACATTCCAAGTTCACATTGCATGTGGCAGTTGTTTTAAAATGTTACTAGGTGATGTAATGGTGTTACTAGGTGATGTAAAGGAGCAGTGCATGAACAACATAGATGTAGCCATTACTAGAAGTGATGAAGGATTGTGATTTTGCATCTGTGATTTCTTAAAACTCATTTCATTCAAACAGGGCTTTTTGTATGTAAAAAGAAAATGTATTTGCTACACAAATGGCACTGTTGTAATAAAACTTTCAGTTTATTTGTTGGCTCTTGGTTTCCATCAAGTGGTACAGTATACAAGTGGTATGCATACATTAGACTGCCAAAGGCCTGGTTCAAAATCAAGTTATGATGCCTTCTTAATATAGTCTTTGTTGTTAAAAAATTGTACCTTACCATTCCCACAGATATTTAGATCGATCTATCCCCCTGGGAAGTCTCACTAAATTGCTGTCAACTTGGCCGGCTTAAATGTCTGTCACGCCTAGTAAAGCTGTTAGGGGGTAATTATCTTTACCCTAGCCAATTCAGTAGGCGTGACAGACATTTAAGCCTCTTGAGCTGACAGCAATTTAGCATGAACTCCCAGATGGATCGATCTTAATCTGTGGGAATGTAGTCTTACTGATGACTTTTTTTACAAAGAAAAATACTACTTTTCTAATGAATAAAGAAAACAATTTATAGGCAGCAGCACATTTTATTTCAGACTAATGGTGTTATAATAATTTAAATATTTGCCAACACTCCTATTTCACAGATATTCAAGGTATCAAGCTATATGCAGCACACTGCATTTGTACATCCATATAAGTTTTTTAAAAATCCCATACCAGTACAAAAGTGCGAAAGGAAATTTGAGCAAAAAAAAAATAATTCAAATCATACATGTTACTTTCATTATGTACAATGATAGCAAGTGGAATTCACTGACATGAGAGTATCTGGACAAGAAAACATCCCCCCAGCCATCTCCTGACATCATTGTGAATAATAACTATAAAACTGTGTGGTTATAAATTTCACATTCTTCAAATTTAGTCATTATTTGTTAGAGGTATTAACAATCCATTCGGTGAAATCTATTTTTATCTATAGTAATTCATAAATAAATAAACACACTGGCAGATTTATATATATATAAAGAATTGTGCTGATCAAACTCACACCGGTCAGATCAAAGTACGTTCCTGCTGGACCAGCCTGGTTTACAGACCCTTGCCTTCCAACTCCTCTCCCCCCCCCCCCCCAAATCCCCCCTGCCCCTACCACTGATATGATTGCACTAGATGACCCTGACACCAAGAGTGATGTCATGTCCTTATTAAACATCTATATCCACATCTATACCTCATTTCTTAATAATTAAACCACATTTGCAAGAAACTCACCTTGACATCTACAGTGTGTCAGGAATTGAAAAAGGTCCTTAGTAATAGTACACCCTGAATTGTGTACATAGCACCTCTAGAGCTGAAGCAACATAAGACCACATTGCTCCAACCCAAGTCTGCCCCCACAGAGAGAAAACATCTTAACACATTGAGTAAATAAATGTCATATCCCATTATTGTTATTGTGTTAGTTGTGACAGAATCACAGCCAACACAATGTTAGCTGTAGACATCATAGTCCACTTCCTGTATTGTGTTAGGTGAGACGCTGTCACACCCACATTCCTACAATGTTTGTCCTTCAACTGGAAACGAAAACCAAACCCCCGCTTGTTTCAACTTTAACTTGCACCTAAATTGTGGGACAGAAATGTACAAAGTCTGTGTAAATTATAGAAGGGCAATGCTCCAGTTAGGGTGAAGGTGCGTTGCTGACTGGCTATCTGCAGTATTAATCCAATTTGCCTTCAACAACCGCTTCACGGGCAAGCTTCTCACCTGGGATGAAAAAAAAAATTTATACAACCAACAGAGGATGTAACATTGGTAATTATTCTAGTGAAACAAGCATGCAAAAATAGATACCTCAATCGGGAGCTATAAACATACCTAAATCTTTATTACATCTTTATAACTTGGGCATAAAAAAGATGTTTGACCAAAATCTGTCTTTTAGCTTAAACAATTACCACAATCAGGAGCAATAAACAGATATTACATCTTGAGTACATCTTTATTACTTTGGACATGTAAAAGATCTCCGAGAAAAATATCTTTTTGCTCAGTGACTTGCCCTCACCTTCTTTGAGAGCGTCCCCTGCCAAGTCCTTGGCCTTGCCCAGTGTCTTGTCCACGGAGTCCTGGTGACGCAGGACAAATGGTCGGATAAAGCGGTAGTAGATGATGATACTGCCATTGAAAGCATCGACAGGAACCATACACCAGACTAGGAATAAACACTGAAAAAAGACCGAGAATCAATTGCTTTATCTTTAAGTTTTCAGTTTTTTTTTTTTTTTTTTTTTTTTTTTTCATTCTTTTTCCTATATATAAAAACAATGACATTCTTACATTACAACACAAGAAGTGTACACTAAACTTACAACAAACAAGTGTGTGTCTGTGCCACAGTTTGTGTCAGTGTGTGTCTGTGCCACAGCTTGTGTCAGTGTGTGTCCATGCCACAGCTTGTGTCAGTGTGTGTGTCTGTGCCACAGCTTGTGTCAGAGTGTGTCCGTGCCACAGCTTGTGTCAGTGTGTGTCTGTGCCACACCTTGTGTCAGTGTGTGTCCATGCCACAGCTTGTGTCAGTGTGTGTGTCTGTGCCACAGCTTGTGTCAGTGTGTGTGTGCCACTGACATAGTGATTGTGGCCATTACCTTAAGAAACCAGTAGAAAGGAATCCAGAAAAGGAAGATATCAGAGAAAAACTCTGCCAAGGAGAAGACGCTGTAAGTCACCCAGTAGGTCAGCCATTTTGTGTCATCATCCTTCTCCTTGGTTTCTATGGCTTTGATTCTGAAACAGAACAAAAAAATGCGATGATTTCTATGTTGATAAATTTCAATATTTGTATTTAGAGGAAAACAAATATAAATCACTCTGAAGTCACGTCATTATGTTTTTTACAACTAAAATTTATGGAACTTTCTAAAACAATGATGCAGCTAATTAAAATTATATTGTGTGAGGATAAAACCATGTGAACATGTATGTCCAGAGAAGTGGCAATACGTATGCACATGTTATTCAAGCTCACACAATACATGACCAGTGGAAGTCACTGATATCTGGAGAACTTTTCACATATACTTCACTAATAGCTTTGTTCTGGTTCACTTTGAGAGACTGACAAGTTATCAGCCTGGATATTGCACAGGGGATCACCAAAATGACCCCCCCCCACCCCCCAATCAAAAAGGCCAATTAATTAATCAAATTTAACAACAGGAAGCAAACTGTGTAGTGAACGTGTGAAATTGCATAAAAACCCCCTGCAGCATAATTCCATACATCTCAAAGTGACCTGGAACAGCTGATATTATATCAGTGAAGTATACTTCTCATTGTGAATAGTGACTACAAGCTCAGGAGTCAAGGGGATGACTCACACTGAGACACTGAGAGGGTTCACTCAGTATGACTAGAGTCACTAGCCAATGATCTGAAAACCTGTTACAACATGTTAAGAACTAAGATCAAAGTCCCTAGATTCAGCAGACCTCATGTGTGAGCACTGATGTGTGGAATACATGTGATATGTGGAATATGTGTGCTGCATACCAAGATACTAATTAACAGATCGTTGTGAAAGGAATCCCAGGTTCAGCTCCTCTGTTAAAAGATAATAATAAGACATTTATAGTGGCATTTGTACTAGACTGATTAATTTACCAAACTTAAAAACAGCCACACAGTTTTATAAACACACACCACATGACTGAAATCAATCCAATCATTAGATAAGATACATCCACATTTCATATCTTAAGAATACCTGGAAGCATGAGGCAGAGTTATTTGATACATGTCATACTTACGAGGCGTAAGCTGGATAGAGGAAGCCTATGAAGTTACAAAGGAACTGAGCACCATAGCCAATCATCAAATACAGTGCCACAAAGGCAACGAGACCTGGAACAGATACAGTCTCATAACAAGGCAGCAAAGCTGTCAAATGNCACAAAAAAATGCGATGATTTCTATGTTGATAAATTTCAATATTTGTATTTAGAGGAAAACAAATATAAATCACTCTGAAGTCACGTCATTATGTTTTTTACAACTAAAATATATGGAACTTTCTAAAACAATGATGCAGCTAATTAAAATTATATTGTGTGAGGATAAAACCATGTGAACATGTATGTCCAGAGAAGTGGCAATACGTATGCACGTTATTCAAGCTCACACAATACATGACCAGTGGAAGTCACTGATATCTGGAGAACTTTTCACATATACTTCACTAATAGCTTTGTTCTGGTTCACTTTGAGAGACTGACAAATTATCAGCCTGGATATTGCACAGGGGATCACCAAAATGACCCCCCCCCCCACCCCCCAATCAAAAAGGCCAATTAATTAATCAAATTTAACAACAGGAAGCAAACTGTGTAGTGAACTTGTGAAATTGCATAAAATCCCCCTGCAGCATAATTCCATACATCTCAAAGTGACCTGGAACAGCTGATATTATATCAGTGAAGTATACTTCTCATTGTGAATAGTGACTTCAAGCTCAGGAGTCAAGGGGATGACTCACACTGAGACACTGAGAGGGTTCACTCAGTATGACTAGAGTCACTAGCCAATGATCTGAAAACCTGTTACAACATGTTAAGAACTAAGATCAAAGTCCCTAGATTCAGCAGACCTCATGTGTGAGCACTGATACGTGGTATACATGTGCTGCATACCAAGATACTAATTAACAGATCGTTGTGAAAGGAATCCCAGGTTCAGCTCCTCTGTTAAAAGATAATAATAAGACATTTATAGTGACATTTGCACTAGACTGATTAATTTACCAAACTTAAAAACAGCCACACAGTTTTATAAACACACACCACATGACTGAAATCAATCCAATCATTAGATAAGATACATCCACATTTCATATCTTAAGAATACCTGGAAGCATGAGGCAGAGTTATTTGATACATGTCATACTTACGAGGCGTAAGCTGGATAGAGGAAGCCTATGAAGTTACAAAGGAACTGAGCGCCATAGCCAATCATCAAATACAGTGCCACAAAGGCAACGAGACCTGGAACAGATACAGTCTCATAAAAATGTGCTTAATTACTCAAGAGAATAAACTAATATTGTATATATGTTCTGTTACTTACATGGAATAAAGATGTGCTTAATTACTCAAGACTATAAAACTTTTACAGAAGAACTCATGAACATGTAGTTTTGGCACAGTTTTGACCTTAATTATGTCATTTTCACCCCTGAAAACTTTTACTGTGCTACGTATATATCAGAAGACTATTTTTCTCTGAATATCATCTTTACTTCTTATCAAAAAAAATTAACATTTCAATCTTTGCAAAAATGTACAAACAATATCTACAAATTCTCTTTCTCCTATATATTGTGCACAAATAAAACCGTGTTAGATCTCATATGTGGGCAGACAACAAACAATATGTAATAGTGTATTTAATCCCCAATCAGTCCTTTCAATGAAATGATAAGAGCTAATTTCACCTCGTGCCTGATCACATGCAATTCATGAGTCATATAAAGAGAAAACATGATACGGCAGAGAACAAAGTACATGCACATGACACATGTTAGAGACCACTATTTGACAAGAGGATCAAAATCAAATTGATACTTTATCATAAAGAGGTCAATGCCAATATCGTGGCTGACAACAGACACCAATCCTACTATTCAAATTCCTGGCAGAATTATGTCAGCAATATGGAGTCTGAAGTCTTGATGCCTCTACATAACCCACCCCAGGGTCCTGTTGAAAACAGACAGAGATGTTGGATTTTATATATATATATATATATATATATATATATATATATATATATATATATATATATATATATATATATATATATATATATATATANAGCCAAAAAGTAAAACTGCCCTCCACTTATCGTGTTTACAAGGAAAGTGCACGGCGCCGGCAACGGCGACGGCGATGGCGACGACAGACGCAGGTGATGGCAATATGTACAGACACATCTGTGTCTGTACATAAAAATGTGCTTAATTACTCAAGAGAATAAACTAATATTGTATATATGTTCTGTTACTTACATGGAATAAAGATGTGCTTAATTACTCAAGACTATAAAACTTTTACAGAAGAACTCATGAACATGTAGTTTTGGCACAGTTTTGACCTTAATTATGTCATTTTCACCCCTGAAAACTTTTACTGTGCTACGTATATATCAGAAGACTATTTTTTCTGAATATCATCTTTACTTCTTATCAAAAAAAATTAACATTTCAATCTTTGCAAAAATGTACAAACAATATCTACAAATTCTCTTTCTCCTATATATTGTGCACAAATAAAACCGTGTTAGATCTCATATGTGGGCAGACAACAAACAATATGTAATAGTGTATTTAATCCCCAATCAGTCCTTTCAATGAAATGATAAGAGCTAATTTCACCTCGTGCCTGATCACATGCAATTCATGAGTCATATAAAGAGAAAACATGATACGGCAGAGAACAAAGTACATGCATATGACACATGTTAGAGACCACTATTTGACAAGAGGATCAAAATCAAATTGATACTTTATCATAAAGAGGTCAATGCCAATATCGTGGCTGACAACAGACACCAATCCTACTATTCAAATTCCTGGCAGAATTATGTCAGCAATATGGAGTCTGAAGTCTTGATGCCTCTACATAACCCACCCCAGGGTCCTGTTGAAAACAGACAGAGATGTTGGATTTTATATATATATATATAGTTTGTCAATATACACACACACACTTCACTGATACGCTAAATGCCAAATAATACTCTGAACAACAGGTCCTTCACTTTGAAGGATAAGGATACAACATTAACAAGGTTACCATGTTTTAACAAAAGGCAACAAACCAAAAAGGTTGCTATGCCTCAACTTTCAAAGCTGTTCCTTTCTTTCCTAAGGTACTACATTTTCAGACAAAAGTCTTACAGCTTGCAATCAGGTTATCAAAAATGGATGAAAAAAAAAACAGGAACAAGATAACCCATCTTCAAACAGCCAAATACTTCAAAGTAAAATTAACTACATGTCTTACACAGTGCAACTTTGTTAGATTTAACATCATCCAAACTCCGTATGGTTTGAAGGCTTTGAACACGTGGTAATACATAAACAGTATAGAGCCTCTGGACAATGGTCATTTCAATACTGGACCCTGATGATTCTGTCTTCTCCATCTTCTCCATAGTGGTCAGTGTTAGTGGTGTGGTGTCCAGCCAGCTGTGTCCTCCAAGGTGAGTAGTTGTATTATGATCTGTGTTCTACTGCCCTGCTCTGTCATATACTGCACCTCTCAGTACTCACCCAGACAGTTTTATCACTGGCCCTGCTGACTACACCACCCATACAAAACACAGCTAGTATATATGTGTAGGCAGTTTTAATTACCACAGCCCTTATCATGACATAACAATAATCAATACTGGAGACATATCTGTTTATCTATATCAAACTTATATCTAATACTAAAAACAGACACATATATACATATATATTGAAAGCGGGTGGCATCAGTTAATGGAGACCAGTCAGGAACAACAGAAGCCAGGCCAAGGTTGTAGTATCTCCTCATTCTTGCTTCAAGTGTGTAGATACTGGCTAATATTAAAGGTCAGAATATGGGACAGTATGGGGGTTGAATGGAGGTGGAAGACAATGAGATTTGGCCGCTTGGGAATGGTTGAAATGCAGACAGGATAGGTGCCAGTATCTCTGAAACACTCTGTCTCATATAATTCTAACCTTTGGGTTGAGTGGAGGTGGGAGAAACTAGGGTCTGGGAATGGTTGAAATACAGACAGCATATGTATTGAGTTAAATGTGGAAATTCAACTAGTATTTGGGAAAGGATGAAAAACATGCAGTATAGGTGTTCATTGATTAAGATTTAAGAAATGTTATTAAATAAGGATAGTATTTGGGATAAGTGGGGGGTAGGAGATATTGAGATTTGGGAAAGGTTATAATACAGACTGAGACAATAAGGTATTGAGTAAAATTTGGAGATACAACTAGAATTTCAGAAAGGAGGTTGGAAAACATGCAATATAGGTGTAATTGGGGGGGGGGGGGGGTTAAAGGGATAACAACTGTTCATTTTGGCCAAAAATTGAATTTTTCTGGGGTAAATGACAATTTTTCCATACTTATTAATTGTAAATGAATCCAGTCCCACATTCAAAATTAGTCCCTGTTTTTTTCTCAAAAGTTTGGTTTTTTTAAATAATCTCTTAAGAGATTATTACAGACTTTAGCCAGCTATAAAGGTCACACGATGTGATGGCAAGCACAAATTCCAAAATAATTGCGTTAACTGCCGTTTTTGGGGTAAAATAGAATTTATTGTATTTCTATGAGTTATTTACAATGTATTTATTGTAAAATATAGATATCTTACAAACTGTTGCTATCCCTTTAAGTTTTAAGAAAGGTAAGAATATGTGCTAGTTACAACTGGAGTTGTCCATTGTATGTGATATACAAGAGTGTAATTATATCGGTTGCATACAGTGGACAACGTGTAGCTGTAACTGACTTACGTATACCACGGCTGGTGCTTCCAACAATAGGATGAACGAAACAAACCAAAGCGTATATAAATACAGGCAAACCTGTATAGGTTATACAAGTGCAATTACCCTATTGTTTGAAGCACCAGCCGTGGTATAAGGGACAGTATTTGGGTTGAATGAAGGTGGGAGATATTGGGATTTGGGAAAGGTCAAAATATGGAACAGTATTCATGTTGAGCACAGGAGGGAGATCATGAAACTTAGGAACGGTCAAAATACAGGACAGTATTAGGTTGAGTAGAGGTGGGAGTTGTTATTTTACAGGGATACTTTCAGTGTTTTTTACAAAAAAAAAAAAAAAACAATAAGAAAACTGTAAGAGCCAGTTAGGGGGTGGGGTGGGGACTCACACTGCACTGGTACCAAGCCAACTTAAACTGACATACTGTACAAGTTCTAGAGTAGCCTATCATTTATGACAAGTATTCCATAAATCCTGAAGGTGAACAAACTTCTAAGACCTGCTCTCATGTTAGAGACTGATCTCAAAGCACAACCTGACATATGGAGGGAGAAATTGATCATTATCTGGCCAAACAATGAGAAGTCACACCCTGTCCATTTTATAAGACTTTTTCTCCGATTTCTGGTCTCCAAGCATGCGCCACTAGTATCACCCTACTGTGTTCGTGGTCACCACCCATCTACACCTATTGTTGGCGTTGCTGTGCGTGTCACCCTGCCCCAGACGAATGCAGTACATCTAACGATCTATTATCTAATCTTCAAGTTCTACTTGCTCTATCTTATATGGCGGCCCAAGCGAACAGATGCCAACGGTTGAAGTGCCTTTTTCAACCTTTGTGAAACAAATATTTACCTATTACAATATATAGTCTTTTGACGCCAGTCTTCGTCTCAACTTTAGCTAATAAATCGTTCACTGCATTTTTCTCATGGAGAGCTTTATCCAGCTTTGCCTTCCAGGCTTCGACTTGTGCGGAGGCCATCTTCCTGTTGGTGTAGCGAAATGCCTGAAGGGGGCGCAAGATATGAGGGATATTCTCCATGCACTTGCCTCGACCCTGGCCCTGGTCAGAGTGAGGCTCTTAGTTGTTTTCTTATTAAAACATGTTGAACGATCTTGGCCTTGTTGAATATCAATTTTTTACAAGATGGAACGAATCTGTATAATTTTTCATGAGACACTCTCGAGTTAGTTAAATGACAAAAGATGATGTTTAAAGGGATAACAACTTTTCAAATGAGATTCAAAATTCTACAGAAAAAGTACATTGTAAACAACATCATAGAAATATAGTAAATTCAATTTTACTACAAAAACGGTTGGTTATCGCAATTATTCTGACATCTGTGTTTGCCATCTGATCACTTGGACCTTCATAGATGGCTACCTTCCGTATCAATCTCTTGAGAAATTATTACAAAAACCACACTTAAAAAAATAACCATCGACTATATATCTTTGAGTTTCGGAACAGATTCATTAATCATCACCCTGAGCTTCAGAGCTAACTTGACACTAACCTTTTCAGACACGATGGAGATAGGCTCGGTGAAAAGGTTAGTGTCAAGTTAGCTCTGAAGCTCAGGGTGTTAATCATTGGACAGTACGAGAAATCATCGTTTACCCCGGGAAATTTATCTGTGTTTTGGCACTTTCTCCGCCAAAATGAACAGTTGTTATCCTTTTAATTAATGAAACATTGAACAAAAAATGGTCAGAAATGACAATAAATCAAACTGCCTGGGCTAATACAATACCAGGCGACCTACGTACATAGGTCCGTGTCAACAAGACCAGGTCTACATATTACTATAATTCAATTATTTGTTGGTCACATTTCTTATAGCAGGTATGGCTTCACGTTGTTCTGATAACACTGTCAGCGACCATGTTACCATGCTTTTCCTTAATGAACAGCCAATGTGAGGTCCGGAAAGTCACAAAGGGAGGGATTCCCCACCCGGATATACAAACATTTCTTTCTACTGTAAAGAGATAATGTGCGTAGTTTTGCGGGTTTTTTAAAATAAATTTTCAGTACGAAGTACACGGATTATTTATATTTTACCCGAATGCTCTCGTTTTTTTTTTTTTTTTTTCATCGGGNCTGTAGCCTATCTCCATCGTGTCAAGACACGATGGAGATAGGCTCGGTGAAAAGGTTAGTGTCAAGTTAGCTCTGAAGCTCAGGGTGTTAATCATTGGACAGTACGAGAAATCATCGTTTACCCCGGGAAATTTATCTGTGTTTTGGCACTTTCTCCGCCAAAATGAACAGTTGTTATCCTTTTAATTAATGAAACATTGAACAAAAAATGGTCAGAAATGACACTAAATCAAACTGCCTGGGCTAATACAATACCAGGCGACCTACGTACATAGGTCCGTGTCAACAAGACCAGGTCTACATATTACTATAATTCAATTATTTGTTGGTCACATTTCTTATAGCAGGTATGGCTTCACGTTGTTCTGATAACACTGTCAGCGACCATGTTACCATGCTTTTCCTTAATGAACAGCCAATGTGAGGTCCGGAACGTCACAAAGGGAGGGATTCCCCACCTGGATATACAAACATTTCTTTCTACTGTAAAGAGATAATGTGCGTAGTTTTGCGGGTTTTTTAAAATAAATTTTCAGTACGAAGTACACGGATTATTTATATTTTACCCGAATGCTCTCGTTTTTTTTTTTTTTTTTTCATCGGGGAACGGTTTGGAATTTCCTCCCAATATTTTTCCTTTCGGCAAGCAACATTGCTGTTTTTACTTAAAATAAAGGTAAATGCACATTAATTTGATTTGTGGAAAAGAGTATATATTTCTGAACATCAAGTTAGATTTCCTGACCTGAACTTCAGGTCGAACGAGGGTCAGCGTCTTCATTTCCATATATGTACACATTATAAATATACAAACGGGTACATAATTTTAACTCTGGTCTGCATCGGCTTGAAACTAAAGCCTCATTTTTATACTGTAAAATCAGGTACAGAAATATGGATTGATTAAATCTTCACATAACAGACAAAAATCACACGCGATTTCGATGCTTTTCTCCTAAAATCAAAGGTCAATTTCACCTCATTTGTCAACCAAAACACTGTATCAAAACGTTTATAAATATGTTTTGTAAAACGAATTATATTTGTTTATTAATTTGTGTTATCATTATTATTATTATTATTATTATTATTATTCTTTTGTTTGGTCTGTATTCATAGCTGTCTTTCGTGTAAGGTGCTGCGAAGGGGTAGGTCTGATTTGCCTGTTTTACTTTATTACTTGTATTCATTTTCAAACAAGTAGATCTCAGTCCAGAAATCACGAGTGCGTTACGATGATGGGTACACCCTTCAACATTATCTATACATTGTTTGTTAACATCATCCTCGGATTTTTTTCTTGTATTTTGATTTTTGTCATAATCTTTTACACTCTCACCACAGGATGCGTTTGTAATCTGTGACAAAATTTTTGTATCACATTCTTGAATTTTGTAATTTTTTAGAAGCCCCTGATTTCAGAAGGTAATGATTACTCTTTGTCTTAGCACTAGTTGTAACTTCGTAAACGACTGTGCGTCAAATATCAACTCGGCACCGGTAAATATGCATATAGCAAAAAATGCACACTGAGCAAAAAATAATAATAATTAAATAAAACACATTAATAAATAAAATAAAATAAACGCCCCACTCAATACTTTAAGAAAAAAATTATCAGCTTTATGGTTATATATATATCTGCAGATTACTGTCCGTAGCCCAGTACATGTGACATATATATAATTCACATGGGGTGTTAACTTTTTTGCTCAGTATACACACAGATTTCGATTTCAACTCAAAACTGTAGTTTTAATGTTTCATAAGCGGTGTTTTTGAGTACAACTTAAAATACTTATTAAAGGACGTTTGCGTATACCCTTATTTTTCTCTGGTCGAGAGTCTCTCGTGACAGCAGTAGGTGCGATAAACTTTCCCAGGTGACGCAATGAACTATTCTCTCTCTAAAAATACATCAAAGTGATAACTCTAGTTGGCGATGCTGAAGCCAATTAAGTAACATTTACTATCGACCTTTAAAACTGTTACATCTCATAAACCTCCTTGATTAAACTGAGGCTAATTTTAACTTGGAGATGAAGCCATAAAAGATGTCACTTAATCCTTCTACAAAAAAAAAACCTTCTTATGAATAAAGATATATAATATAGAGATATACAAGAAATTGTCTTCATTGACCCTAAATATTTTCAGCCGTCTCCCCTCAAACAAAAAAGTATTGAAGGCTTGCCAGAACAGCCTTCTCAGTTATTCATTAGTGTGTGTAAAATAATGAAGCTATAGTTCTTCTCACCGCCATATTTGTCCCCTACATCGCTTGTGGTGCAACAGCGCTGACGTCACTGGCACACAGCCAACTTGCTTTAGAAATTACGACAAAGAGTAAATACCACTGGAATAATAACCCAGATATAAATTGTTTATTAAACAATATTTATTTATCCAATAAAATCAAATAAAATAACAAAATTTTTGTTTTAGTGTAATGTTTTAAACTTTTAAACGATGATTGCTGACACCAAATGTATATTAAATTGAACACAAATTGTGAATCACAGAAATCAGAACTGACCTCAGCTCAGTGAGGGGGGTGATGATGACTCAACACTAAAACATTCAATTATTGAGGATGGTCAATTTTATCCAAAAACTCAACCTAGTGAATCAATATTCAATTCTTTAAACCTTCCCTGCACTGTCACCTCACTGAGCTGATGACCAAGCACCATCACCCCAGTTTTTGTTATGCCATGGCTATTTTGTGACCATGGGAACCGATGAGTCAAAGAACCATACAACCAGAATCATGATCTAGTTACACACAACTGTTATGCTAGGATACCTATACTGTGACACAAAATGAAATTAAAGAATTACTGCCATGACCAAAATTATCATCATTACTTTATAGGAAGACTCATGGCTTTTCCTGGACAGCGCAAGCATAAGGGGGCTGAAGAAGAGAGAATAGCTGCTCATTTAATTTATCCATATGCTGCCTTTTGACAGGGAAGCAAAAGCGTACCCCATTTTCCCCCATTTTCACAATTGTTGTAGAAAACTTACACTGACCAGTCTGTCATTTTTCCATCATTTTAAGTCTCCCTCAGTTTGTGTGTTCTTATCGCAAATATGAATTGTTACTCTTTTATTTCTGATCAACAACAATCACATTTCCTTCACGTTTTTTTTTTTTTCAAAAATGGGTCTGTATTTCTCTCTCATATGAAGCCATTTATGCGGGCTTCCTGGTTGAATTCTTCATCTTGTTGCTTTCAGTGCTAGTCACCGCACTGCGACCATGGTGGCTAGAGTACCCAAACCCAGGGCTGTGACCAGCAAACCCTTCCAGATCCCATTCTCCATCTGATTCTTGTCAGGAAAAGAAGCTACAAAGGTGTCCTAGAGAGGAGAGAAGTGGTCACAATACAGTCAACTTCATACACACAATGGCAAAATATTTAACATAGAGAGAATACATCATACTGAGTGATAGTTACTCTTAATACAATAGGAAAAATTCTAAGAACCTGTAACTTGACACTATTTGTGGTTAGATATAAATGAACAATATCTGGACAGGATCCAAGGTTTCTGGCAATCATAAATCAACACCTTGGTTGTCAGGCGGCACTAGTTCCAAAGGTATGCATTCCATTCAGTGACTAATATCACATAACTCTACACAGGATTGCCCTCCAGTAAGGTCAATTAGGCAAATACATACCCCCCCACCCACCCAAAAAGTTTTTTTCCCCAATTTTAAGTCATATATTTGTCATAATAAAATTGGGTACTTTTGTAGTATACCCCCCACCCTGTAACTTCCTGAAACTTTCATTTTTCAAACATCTTTTTACATTGTCTTTTTCACCTATGTCAAAACTGTTGAAATAAAATGTTTTTGTAATTACCTGTGGTCTTTTTATTAGTTTTAATCACGTTTAATCCACCCCATTGAAATACAATGTGAAAATTTACAATGTACCCGCAGTCAATAACTTGCCGCGTTTTCGTTGGCTAACTCTACCTTATTTTATGTGAACATAGGATTGATACATTGTATACTTGGACTTCCTCTGTGAAATTATTATGAGCTACTTGTTCACATAAAATTACCTTAGAGTTAGCCAACGAAAACGCGGCAAGTTATTGACTGCGGGTGTAAATTGAAGATTCTAACATTGTATTTCAATGGGCTGGATTAAACATGATTAAAACAAATAAAAAGTCCAATTACAAAGTAATTACAAAAGCATTTTATTTCAACAGCTTTGACAAAGATGAACAAGAAAATGTAAAAAACTGTTTGAAAAGTGAAAGTTACAGGGTGGGGGGGTATACTACAAAAGTACCTAAAATTGTAATTGTCCTTATTAAAAAGATTCACAAGTTAAATCCAAGGGTAGACTTTCAACTACATACATTTTTCGATATTTGTTATCATTTGTATGTATTTCTACTTTTTAAAATACAATCAAGATCTCTAATAAAGTAATATTAACAACAAAATATTAAATACATACCCAGCCACCTTGTTTATGTATCCAGGGGCCAAGTTTGGTCGCAACATATTCACCAACATAATCTGGAAGTTTGTCCATCAACGTGTTCATGTCGTTTTCTTGACAATGTTTCATCAGTCGAGATCCAAACGCGTAAATAGTGACAACTCGCCCCCAGTTGACTTCGTGGTCTGTAAATATATGCTCCAAACAACCATTAACAGTTTCTTTGCCATTTAGTTCTGATAAATCAAGTTTGTTCATCATCCCATTAAAGGTTATTTTGTGCTTTTCCAAAATTTCCGTTACCAGACGCCTCATCGTTTTTGAATAAGTATCGTTTGGTTTTGAGTTATTATATCCAACAGTCCAGAACAAAACATCATGGGCTATCTCTTTGGCTGTTTTTGCTATGGCGGATGAAGGTAAATGTTCTTCGCCTGTTTGAGTGCTACGGTGACCGCTGTTCACCAACCCGTTCAACCCCTGATCACGGACTTTTTCGGCCATTTTGTTGTTGTTGTTGTAAAAATTCTCTTGAATATTGGCCTTTATCGTACCCCTACTCCTCACCGATGGGTCCACTCCATTCTCGTTCATCTCCAGATCGTCTCCGAAAAGTGAACTTCTAGCCCTTCCGTCCGTAGATATCCGTAATGACGAAAGCGAAAAATTTTGGTGAAGGTGTTTGGGCAAACACTAAATATGAAGTCAACGACGAAAATAGCAGCGAGCGGATGACGTCAAGGTTTTTTGGTGCTCTGATTGGTTGACTAGAGGACACGTGCTATAGCTCGGAACAACAAGGTGGAAGTTGTGAAGTTTTTTAAGACTAGACGTTTCAGGAATTAACAGAAGAGAAACCAATAAAGAAGAAGTACGATCTGGGAGGTAAGTTAGATAAGAATACCCACAGTTTCCCCCCTTTTTTTAATTTCTTTAAATGTTGTTTGTAGATCTAATCCTAGAAACATCCATATTTTTACACGTACTGGTAGCATATACATTTGTTGATTAATTACCAATTACTGATTGGTCAGGATTAGTAATACGTTATTTGCGCCATTTTGTTTTTGTCTGTTGATTAATTGCCTAAGCATGTTAATTTTACAATTTTTATGCTTATCCCTTATATCTACCAACAGATTCAGACTTGTCGATCTGACTAGTATCCCTGGCAATGGTACTAGTGATTTACATGTACTAGTATATATCACTTCAATATAATTCAAACTAAATTCTAATGATAATTTTTGTCATTTATTTGCGTAACATAATACATCCGATTGCTCATCAATGATTATAATCCAGTAACTTGACAAAATCTGTTATGTATAAGGTCCACATTAGACTGTACAGTACTAAAACAAACAGGCTGATTAGTGATAAACAATTATATACTAGAACACCTAAAGTAAATAAATTTTCTGTTGAGACCCTCGTTTTATTAGTACTTAACAGTTTTCACTATTGAATAGTATATAATCCATGATATTGAAAACAACTTTTCAATCCCAATTGAATTTTCCACAAGAGAGAAAATATTTTACCTATTCACGAATCATATATTATTGGTCCTTGCACTTGGAATTCAGTGTTTTGTCTATTTCAGTTAAATTTTATTTTCTTACTGTGTGACCAAATATTTCCACTTCTCAAGTCACCTGTACATTTCAGAGGGAAACTATGCATGTCAGATACTTTTATTTGAGGGGTTAATTCATCATTTAAAGTCATTTAGGTCTGAATTAGAGAGAATACAAGTAGTTTTACAGGACATGTAGACACAGAAAAGACTTGGACAGTTACAAATATAATTGCAAATATAGTATTCCTTTAATCCCAGCCTTGTTTAAGTTTTACTTTTTTTATTTCCAGTTGGCGATATATGCAGGAAAAAACCCACAATAGGAAATGACTGTCAACATGCCAGATGAAGATCGGAACAGAGGTTTTCCAGCAACCAATCTCCCTCAGAATCTAGACCAGGTTATGGAACCAGTGGTCTACCGCCACAGAGCAAACAATAACAACACAGAGCCCAATGAAGAGCAGAGACGCTCTATGATAGAGATTGGCCTGACTTTGAGGGCCATTGCAGACATGTATGACAAGGAGTATCGAGTCAATAATCAGCGAGACGGCAATGGCTGAGGGTGTCATGGCTGCCGGATGGACCCCCTGGATGTGGACGGTACAATATACCCTGCCCTGAGCTAGCAATGCTGGGGAACTTGAAAGGTGTACACCCACCTCATCAGGCTGGACAAGAGTGAACTGGACAAGTGTGAACTGGGCTTTGTGAACTACTGGACATTACTTGATTAGTGGACCTTGGTGGTTGATGTGGAACTTGATTCAGTGGAAGATAGTTTAATAATAAAAACCAACTGAACTGAGTAGATTAACTGTTGTATAGGTCAGTCAGCTGACCACCAAACAGTAACTGATTAAGAACTAATGTTAGTCATCAGTTCACATGATGGTAAAGGAAATTTAACTGATGAGAGTTAATTATGAAAGAACTGAACGCATGATGGCATGTTAGCAGAATCATTTTTACAAAGCATGAAATTGATGTCTGAAGAGAAACGGATTCTTCTCCCAGTTGCTAATTCTTTCAATGTTGGTCATCTGTATGATAGTGTGTTTGGGGAGGTGTCAGAGAAGAGATGCTTCACAGATCTCAAAAAAAAAAAAATTCTTGTAAATTGGATATGATGAAGAATAAACGGTTTAACGGTTTTTACTTTAATATGGTGTACCAGAACTTTTATCATTATCATTTATTATATATGACATCAGACAATATACATAAGTGATTTGAGCTGTGTTGTTCATACATTAAACTATCTATCTAAACTGATGAAAAATAAATTAAACTCATTAGTTTAACTTATGCTACTTTTATTCTTGGCAATTACAAATTTTACAAATGGGCATAAAAGCTTCCGATGGGATGCCTGCCTTTGATGAGGTAAAAGGTAATCCCAAAATGCTTAGTAAAAATCTTTTGATGCAGGTTAACTTTTCATTGTTCAATTATTAAAAAAAGGTCGTATCTCCAACCTTTCCAAAATGTACACAAAGTAAATGAAGTGGACATTTCCCCACCCAAGTTGGAGAATGTAATGGTATCAATGGTGGTTTGATCTCTATTCACCGCTGAAGTTAGTACTCAGAGGGAGAATATTTTGACTGTATTCCTTTGCATTGTCCGACCTTAAAGAGTTTGCTGCATGTGATAACTGGAGAGCAGCGTCTGGGTGGGCTGTTCCTGGCAACAGAGTACACTCACGGTCCAACATGGTGGACAGGGCTTCTAGAAGTTCCATAAACCCTAAGGAAAGAGCTGCTTTACGGACCCTGTTCAACTCCTAAAACAAAAAGCAATTATGTACAAGTTTGGCTGGCTATGTAAAATGAAATTCAAAACAAATAGATCAAAAATATTATATACACTATAATAACTCCATACAATCAAAACAAGCAGCTTATCATTATTTTAAACTGAAAATCCAAAACTTCACATACATTTCAACCCCATGTAACTTTCTCCGTTATTTCTGACACCTTCAAATTTGAAGTAAAACATTCCCAAGTCATTCGTACCTTGTAGAACTGCTGCTGTTTCTCTGGCAGCTTACGGGCGTGGCGCAGAATCTTCTGTATGTCAGACTGAAATTGTGTTTTTCAAAAACACTGGCATTAATATGGTATAGCTTTGCTTATAAGGAAAAAATTGGAAATTATCAATGTAAGAACAAAAATACAGGTTATAACAGCTTTTAATAGATAACAGTTATTTCTATATTGAAAACACCCATCTTTTTCACATCATTTTATCTAGTTTTTATCTATAGCTCAATTGTACAAAATTGTTTAAAATGCATGTGTATATTAACAACTGTCCTAGTTATTTTTGTTACCTGTAGTCCTGTTGCCTTGATCCACACGACACAGTTCTGTGCATAGCTGCGTCTGTCCTGAGGTCTGACGGGGAATGGCGTGCGGTTGTCTTCAAATCCGTAAGGTGGCTCAGGAAATAGCATTGAGGAGTGGGCAGACAGATGGTCCAATTCTCCTAACCAAGGGAGAACATCTGTCCCTAAAATAAAATAAAATAAAAAAACATCCAAGAAGCATTTGAGATACTTCCTATAATATATAAATCCGACCTTATTTCAAATTTCTGATTAAATAACTTCTCCTTTTGTGTTGTCTAAAACAACTCAGCCTGCAGATTTCTAAACGCTTCAAACGTTTTAAACTACTTGTTTTTTAATAGATGTGATACAGATAAAATTCAACAATTTCAAGCTTTTCACACGTTGACTTACCAGGTTCAAAAATGGACAACATGAGATTTGATTTCTTCTTACTGTCAGCCCAAGAGTACAGCATCCCATACCAGTCCTCACTGAAAATAATAAAATAATAATTAGCTTACTAAAGTCACTGAAATAATATATATAGCATCCCATACCAGTCTTCACATATAATGTTAAAATAATGATAAGATTATTAGAGTCACCAAACAAATAAATAAGTGCAAATAAAAGTTATTAAAATTATTTATACATTAAGATCAAGATTAAAAAAAAAACAATCCTCTAAAAACTGGTAAAAGAAAATTCAATAAAAATCTTGCAGAAACAATGTCATTACACAATAAATTCAGGGCTATAACATTTCAAATAACGATAAAGCTGACAAAAAATTTAGGAGGACAATAAACAATGTACATCAATAAATGGACATAGAACTACTGTCAAATCTAAGTCTGCCCACGCAAAAACGCTCAGAAGGATAGGTATAAATGTATTATTAATCTTTCAACAATATGCAATGGAATTTTGATAAAATACCATTTCGCTTAAGACTTGGTTTCCATGCCTAAAACGATCTAACAGGATCGATCCATCTCCAAGGTGTTTCTCGCTACATTGCTTTCAGTTTAAGCAGCTTAGATGTGTGGCACGCCTACTGAAGCTGCTAAATGATAATTAATTACTCTTAGCACTTCAGTAGGTGTGACAGACCTTTTAAAAGTTGACTGCAATTTAACTAGAATCTCCTTGGAGATAGATCGATCCACAGTTAGTTAGGTAGGGTCTGGAAATGGTCCCTATGTGTTATGTTATATGAGCAGTATTCTACATCTGGTCTACAGCACTGCTTACCTGACCTCAACCAGCGCTACCATGCCCTCAACTTTAAGACTGCCGTGGAGAAGTACTGTAAAAGATGGTGTCTTGCCCTCCTCTGTGCCATCCTCATCTTCATCTTTACCATCAGCCTTGCTCTCTTCTTTGTCATGTGATTCCTCTAAAACAATAAAAAGTTTAAAGTTAGATAAAGTGTGGTAGAGATGATGAGGTATGTTTCATATCGTTACTTTAAAATCTGGTATCATTTACATACATGACAGGATAATTTTGCATACTTTAATCTGTCATCTTTGAGTTTGGTGGACCATCTAGCATGGACTGGATCCAATGAACTATGCACTCATTCAGTTACAGTAAAACAAATGAGACAGGCCGAGACTAAAACCATGAGTACCGTCAGCATACAAGCTGGTGGTACTAACTACTCATAGAAATGATATGCCCCTATATTTGTACTACACTCTAAACTTGTTACTATGTGATATACCCATACCCTTGTGATACATCCTATACTGTAATGCATTCCCTTACCCTTGTACTACACTTAATTCTATGCACAGACATGAGAAACTGCATATTTGACTAATCATGACCACTTGAAATGCCAGAGGACCTGCACAATATGACAGGTCCCCTATTTATGGAAAATACATTCACATAATAACTTGTAAACATAAATATATTGCTCGTGATGGACCAGCACAGAGGACTTGTAGATTTCCTATAGTGCAGGTCCCCTATAAGGTGTATCCTTACCCTTGGTTATAGCTCTGGGCAATACAAGGTGTCGAGATATAAAAGGTGGACTGGCCACATCAGTGGAATCTAAGAAACCACAGATACTGATCACTTCATTCACTGTCTTGTGAACATTCTTGAAATCTTGCTGTCTGGAAACAAAACAAAACATGTCAGAAGATGTCCCGCGTCCCAGCGTTTATGAGCTGATGACTTCCGGCAGCAGTGTAATGTTCATCTTAATGGCCATCAGTGGCCCAAAACAGAAACAATGATCAGTAACTGAACAAATTTGCAAATTTTACTGGCCAAACTTAAAATTTGCCAGAATTTGACATGCTGTAGGTGTTTGTTTCACAAATTTCTTCACAAATCAGGACACATAGGGAAAAAAAGACACAAATCTGTTGACAAAGAAACTGATGTCTAATTTAAGATTTATTACCACATTCACAAAATGCAGATAAATGTCAACTTACATCTGTTCAATATACCTGTTTGTTACCCACCTGTTATATATCAACTTGTTACCTACTTGCGATATGGCTATGGAGGGGGTAAACCAACTTGTTACCTACCTGTGATATGGTTGTGGAAGGGGGTAAACCTGGACATTACACTGCAAGTGGCCACATTGTAGCACAGCATAAAGTGGCGTAAAACACTGTTCCGCCATTTTTGTGAAACAAGTCTGAACGCTTTTTAGGCTCAATGCTCCTTCTGGTAAAAATAACTGCCCTCCTTGGTTGTTCAAGTCAATCAGCTTTTGGTACATATTCAGTGTTGTCTGTAAATTAGCTTCACTCTGATTAACAATGGGAACTACATGAAGTTTACAGGGAAACTGAAATGGCAGAGGAAATGTGTCGTCTGCTGTCCTATCATGAAGTGTCTGTAAGGAATGTTTCAGAGATCCAGATCCAATACCAGTGCTGCCATCTGTCACCAGGATCACCTGGACGTGAAAAAAAATACAAACTTCACTACCTATATTGATTTAATACAAATAACCAATGAGAATGCTTGTGTTCAAAGGGACTAAATATCAATGCAGATGAAAGGGAAAGCCCTTAAATATAACCATAGGCCTGAGTGTATATGGTCAAAGATCAAACACAGTCAATGTTGTGGGTCTTCAATAACTTATTACCTGTGCCGGAGTTGAGGATGTTGACCCCCATTCTTCTGTAATGACAGACCCCGCTGCAGCGAGAGCAGCCTCAGTGAAAGTCTTGTCAAAGTTTTCTGTTTTATCCAAGGCGGCCTTGATGATGTCATAGTCACGTGTAAATGGAACCAACTGCTCCCATAAGGAAGAAAATATTATCTAAAAAGAAAAAGAAACAAGAACTTGATAAAAGAAGATGGATATGCTGATGAAGTGAAAAAAATAAATGTTTTAAGATCTGTTTTGGCAGGGTAAATCAGGGATGCATTTGGTCCTCGAACCTTTAAAAAAATTGGCTCCAATTTGACAGATATTCAGCGTGTAAAATGGCCAATTTGATTTTGATAAATTGACTTTGTAAGATGAGTCAGGATGGAGACCGTACATTAAGGTTATACACAGTTTTTATTTTTTTATCCAGAGCAGCAAATAACTGCTGTGTTACCTACCAGGGATACAAACTCCAGTTTACTATTGGCAGAGAGGTGGTCCAAGAAAGCTCCTATGCCGTGTATGGCCAGGTGTCTTCTCTGATATTCTTCTGTACCGTCTGTCCCAGAGACTGGCCGCAGCATGGACAGGGACACATCCAGCAGGATTACAGTGGGCATACTGGTACAGAGGTCTGGAAACAACCCAGACAATGCTGGTCAACCCAGACAATGTGTGTGGTTATAGAATACATATAGCTATATAGAGATGAAATATATCAAATCAGAAGAGAACAAACAGGACAAATGAATGTGCCTCCATTAAAACAGAACAAGTAACTTATGTGTACACATGACTTTGGTTTGTAATGTAGTAAGTAGGAAGACCTGGCACAATATGGCTTTATAGCCAGGGGCATGGTGGCAAACCTCCAAGAAACAGATTTCAATTTGAAAAAATAATCACGTTTGACATGCAAACAGAGAAAACAAGAACTGGGGCCTTTAGATCACAGGTTTAGGAATGTGTGTGTGTGTGGGGGGGGGGGGGGATCCGCCATGATGTTGTCATTCACTCATTGTTTACATTCCATGCAAGTTCTAACAGTCATTAACTGGTGTAGAATGGTCGCAGCAGACTTCTTGAACTGCAACATGTTGTTTAAAAGTTCAAAAGATTCACAAAGTTTTTTACTTATCAATTGATCGAGATTAATCTACTAGCAAAATTAGGAACTCACTACCACTTGCACATGGAAAACATCCCCCTGCCACTGAAAATAACATGTGATCGAAAACGAGACTATATGGAGGAAGTCGGCTGTGCTCCACCAATGAAATCCCGGCGCTGTTGACCTAGTAATGTTCTCTAACTAGTTCACAAAACGTCACGCGTTACATAGCTGCCTTTTGATAATGCTGTGTGCTTGCCAGGGATGGCGAACTTAACAACCTCGGCTCACAGTTACTCCAGTATGGATACCGGGACTAAATCTACGGATATACCGTTGGAATATGGACCACTAGTGGTACTAACATCAGCTCTCTGCTTCCAGGCTGCCAGCAAGGTTGTTGATCTAATCGGAATTCCAAAATCTGCGCAAGACACTGAATTCCGCCGATGGAGATTCAAAAACATCACAATATCACTATTACATTCAGCTCTTACTGGGCCCTGGTCCTTGTTATGGTAAGTTGGTTGTAATATGAAACTTTTTTTATTTTTATAACATAGTCGCTGATCTGTGCGAACCTGAGTAAAACTAACAGTAAGACAAGTCGGTCTGTAGTCCTCCTCCCCTCACCTCGCGCTTTGAGTCCAAATATGATGTACCCCTTTAAGTCTTTTTTGCGTTGTTTTGTTTAAGTCGCACATTGTGTCTTCACTGGTTCCAGCAGAAGTGTAGGATAAGTAATCAAGTCCCTGTTTTTTCAACATTAACATTAAAACTGATTAAAAGTTTTCTTATGATAAAGGGAGGCGGGTCAGGGAAGGTGAATTCTTTAAGGGGCGGTCTTAAAGATGTACAATCATATCTGAAAAATGTGGGAATATGGATTTTAAACTGTTAACTGTAAAGATAAAAGATGAATGCAGGATCAGTATATCACCTGTATTATCATTCTGCATTGTTCTGAGCCTCATAAGACATTGAAAGTCCTCTACAGCAGTATAAATACCACAGTTGTTTGATTTCTACCAGTTATTATGTAACTCGCACCAGCCTTTTCTTGTTTCACAAAAGAAGTTAAGTCAACAATGGGTCTTAACCTTCAAGACTGGATATGTTGTGCACAGTGACCTTCCAGAAATCAGTATACTGGGTTATTATTATTATGAAGACTTTGGAACTTTTAAACAAATAGCAAAAAAGGGATGTTTAAGACCAAAAGTTTATTTCTTTTCATAAACTTATGTTGGTGTTTGTTGGGTCAAAAAATAATTTTATCTTTTATGTTTAAACCAGCCTTCAGTGTTAATATTTGTAAAATGGGGGTCCTGAAAGGGGCATCTTTTTGAACAAATGCAAATTTTTTATACCAAAAATTGGTGATAATTTTCCTGTTGTACTTTTTGCCACCTTAAACCATGAAGAATATGAAGTCATAAATTCTACATTTTCTTAACAAATTTCAAAACCTTGCTTTCTGCCTGCAGCTTTGTTCTCAGAAGCTTTAACGACCCTTTTTATGAAGATGACACAACCTGATTCCTCTGCAAATGAATTAACAGTGACATCTAGTTTATGTTAGATGTTGAGGAAGATTGCAATTTGATGACAGCTATCAGGCCTACAGACACATACATGCACAGATACATGCACACATACACTTATTTGCATGCATGCACACCAACACACACACACACACACACACTTAATTAGCACAGACAGTTCATATCAGAATCGTCAATAGGAATGCTAAGGCATGAATTTTCGTGCTAACGCTTAATGTGCAATGTTGTTATTAATTAGAAAACTTATAATGAACCTTGACATTCTTGAAACCGTTTGCAATAGAGGAAAAATTTAAGAATTGACAGTTATTTGTGTTAAATGGAAACCACTCTCAGCTATTGTTTGTCTTCAGGAACTTAGTAGTCTTTAACATTGTTCTTTTCCAGTTTTTACCTACAGCCAAAGTTAGCCGAGGACCTTATTTCTACATATTCTGTTATAGCACTGACATTGGTGTCAACTTCAGTAGGTGAGTTTGATTAAAAAATATTTTGAAAATAGAGAGATGTCCTGTATATATGTAAATGTATATTCCTGTGGAAATTTCCTTTTCTGTGTACTTGAACTCTCATCTCATCTTGGGTAAAGTTTGTAAAAAAAAAGTAGACCAGCACCTGGAACTGATACACAAGTTGTGTTTTTGTAGGATCATAATTGCACTATAATTGTTTTTATATGCATGACCTATGCAACTTCTGACCTTTGCTGAATTTGCTCAAATATTGTTATCAGTTAAAGCTTGTAACACCTCCAATATAGGTGATCTATTGTTCTCGTGCACGTGTTATTTGTTGTATAAGTTTGGCACGTGTTGAACCTCTTTCCAGTCAATAAAATTGATCTTTGTTCAAAGGTTATGTCGTATACAAATCTTCACTGATGCTTAAATAAACTGATAAGGTTAAAGTTATTTGAGCAAAACTCTTAAATCCAGTTTTATTAATGCTGGAACAAATGCTCAAATCCTGTTTTATTAATGCTAGAACAAGTGCTCAAATCCTGTTTTATTAAAGCTGAAACAAGTGCTTGGAAAATAAAACTGTAAAACTATTGAGGATGCTTATTCGGTCGTGTTCTGTTTTTCAGGGTATTTTGTCCATGATATAATAGACATGGCCTGGTCATATAGGAACCGTCAGAACTATGAGTTAATGCTGCACCATGCAGTGGTAGGTATTTTGCTTGTCCCCCTCCATTTTCAATCTTTTTCCTTGCTCTGAGGACAGCTAGTAAAACCATTTTAAATACCAAACTGATGAGATAACTATTGCTTATATTTTCATTATTTCTCCTTGTCATGTTTTCATATCACTACTCAGCACAGTACCATATCATTATGTAAGCTTTGTAGGATTTATGACAGTTCAGTGTGTAGCTTTGATATGATATATTGAAGTCACTGTAACATTCAGTAAATACAGCCAGTATAAAGAGGTGCAAAAGAAGTAGAAGTTTTTACATGAAATCCCTGTTCTATGACTCAAGACATTAAATCTGATACTTTTTTGGGATGGAAACCTTCAGTAGTTAAAAAAGAAGGAACACCTTCCCACCAAGTGAAGGCTGTGTCAGTATTGAGAGGAAACTTGACCAGATGAGGGGGAGGGGGCGGGAGGAACCTGTCCAAAAACTCTTGTGGTTTGTAAGCATTGATGGCTGGTGAAAATTTGTGTATATAACAACACTGCCAGAAAAATATCTTGTCAATGCCAAACATGGCCACCCTGGGGGCAGTAAGGATCAGATTGAACTCACCCAAGTAGAAAACCACTATCTTTGGGCCTGTTTGCTGGGGTCAGTTTGGAATAATAGTACTACCCTTATCACTTGATATTGGATTAGTAGTGTACGTGTATGTGAGGGGGCTGATATATATATATACTAGTATGTGTGGGCAATAAACCCAAGTTAATATGACTCCAGTTCCTAGGGCAGCTTGAGTCACTGTCTGCTGATTGTTGCTGTGTTGTGCATTTAAAATAAAAGAACTAGGTCACAAAAGCTGTATCCATGCTGGCAGGGAGGAAAAAACATTTGCTGTTATTGTAGGAGTTTTATTCCATGTAGCCCCATTGTAGAGGTCAGCATAATCAGGCAGTCCCACCCTAACTGTTTACTTTCCTATGGAGATATATTGGTATGCCTGACATGTACTCCAACCCATGTTTGCTGTGTGTTCATGAATTATTACAGTGGAAGAGAAGGCTTCTGCATAATATCTGGGTAGAAATGCTGCAGAATCCAAAAATCAAGCTCCTGTTATTATGCTCATCAAGTGCTTCTACTGGTGATGCTGTCTTCAACTGTCAGATTGCATTCTAGACATACCTATAAGCTATGTCATATATATAGAATGGATTTTTGGTTACTAGTTCAGGTAGCTCTGATTACATAAGTTGCTACTTTGGAAGCCTTCATTAGTGAGTCTGGTTGGATAAAATAAAAAAATCTGGTCTGATGCAGAATTGATTGTTGGCTGAGTGTTGTTCAGCTATTAGTCACCCTCCACTACTAGTATATACGTTCAGATTTAACCCTGGGAACAGAATATTGCTAACACTCGAATTATGAGACTAGTTACATGATATTACAGATGTGTGAAAGAATATTTTTGATATTAAGTCTGTGTACTCTATTCATTATGTGAGACTCCCCACAGTCCAGGCTGTCATGTCTGAGTGAATGGATGACTAACATCCTGATATGACTGTATGGTAGCCTGATCCTATAGCCTGATCTTCACACTCACAGCCACTTTGATGGATTCTCAGGACACCATTAGGGATAAATGAGCTTTAAATAACTGATTTACTGACTGTTAAAACAACTTAAAGAAATTTAAAAAGAAAAATGAAACAGAAAAGTGACTAAGGTTAGCTGTGGAACACAGCAAGGTGCTCTCACAGCAGGATGCTGGAGTAGAAAAGTCCTCAGCTGTGAAGATGATATTTCTGATTTATTTGCCTCCAAGCATGCAAGCCAAGTAGCAGTTAGATCCTGAAGATAACTGATGGGAAAAACAGCTCCTTACTCCTCCCCGCCCACAGTTCCATACTGATTAATTATCAGCTAGATGAAAAATAGCGAAATCTGGTCCATTCAAGCTTGTCAGCTCATTTATTAAACAGTTGGAAAAAATTTTGATATTGAGAAAAATTTTTTTAATTAGTCAGACTTTACTAAATGTAAAAACTGTGTACATTTCTACATTGGGTATTTTTGTGGCGTAAATGAAAGTAAAGCATCAGCATTATAGGTAAATAAGTAAGAACAGATCACAACATCAAAGTTTTTTTCTTTATCAACGTCTATGAATTTTTGCCAACCTTCAGTTGAACCTGTTATAAAATATAAACATGTTGCTGTTGTTCAGCAAATATATGTCACAGATTGGATCCCAATCAGTCCATGTGCTTTTCCTTTAAACATTTATGCAATTATCTTAAAAAGTATCATCATCAGATTTTTTTTATTGTGTGTGTGTGTGTGTGTGTGTGTGTTTATAAACCACAAGAAAAAAAAATGAATACAGCTTAATTTCATTTGCCAGACCTTAAATTTATATTAAAATATACCTTGACATGTATAACATCCACTATTAAATTTCACTTACAAACATGCCATACAAACAAACTACCAGCTCACCTGTAAATCACTTGGCCAGTTAACATGTTCATTGTGCTGTTAACAATGCAAAGACCCATTCAGATCAAGCCTGTCACATATAAATGTGAATCATAGAAAAATATCTTGATCTCTGATAATGAAGATGTAATGATTCTAACACTCTGATAGCAAAGATGTAATGATTCTAATACTGATACCAGAGATGTGATTCTACCACTTAGCACTTTGTTTTGTATGTATCACCAGAAGTCCTGATTTGACTTGCAGAAGGTTTCTACCATGGCCCATAGGAGCCTACGCGTGCGTCTTTTAGACGCCCCTTTACATGCGAAAACAACAAGGCCTATGCCGAGTTCGTCTTTTACTACAAAGCTTTGAGAGCCGAAAATGACATGGCTGTGTCTCTTTTGCCACTTACTGAACTCCACAGATGCGAGATTGACACGACCCATGTCGCGTTCGTCTCTCAAATGGCACTGTTATAAAACATGAAATAGGCATAACGTGTGATTTTTGCAGCTGAATAAGTAGACCCTTATAAACGAAGTTGACGTAACTTGAGAGTCATGTCGCTTTCAACTGTTACAAACCTCCAACAAAATCTATCTCCACACAGACGTGCGCGACATGTACTATTGGACATGGGTCAGTTGAAACCCTATTAACCTAAAGGGCTCATGTTACTTTCAGCCAACTCTTATATGTCAAATCCAATTAATTTGAAACAGTGTTGTGCTGTCCCAAAACGTTTTTTTCATTTGAATCCCATCATAATTAAGTGCTATCTAGATAACAGTGTGGCTAATTGCTTGTAATAATCATATTTTTATTTTCAAGGATTCAAATATAAATGGTTTTTAGACAGTCCTTCTGTTTCAAATTAATTGGCTGAAAGTAACATGAGCCATTTAGGTTAATGTCGCTTTCAACTGACCCATGTCCAATAGTACATGTCGCGCGCGTCTGTGTGGAGATAGATTTTGTTGGAGGTTTGTAAAAGTTGAAGGCGACATGACTCTAAGGTCATGTCAACTTCGTTTATAAGGGTCTACTTATTCAGCTGCGAAAATCACACGTAATGCCTATTTCATGTTTTATAACAGTGTCTTTTGAGAGACAAACACGACATGGGTCGTGTTAATCTCGCATCTCTGGAGTTCAGTAAGTGGCGAAAGAGACACAGCCATGCCATTTTCGGCTCTCAAAGCTCTGTAGTAAAAGACGAACTCGGCATAGGCCTTGTCGTTTTCGCATGTAAAGGGGCGTCTAAAAGACGCACGCGTAGGCTCCTATGGGCCATGGTAGGTTTCAATTCACATTGTGGCACATAATGGCCCAGTTCATGCTAACTTGACTTTACTTTCAAATAATTTGGGGTGTTGTGTGTGTGTGTGTGTGTGGGGGGGGGGGGGACCCATGGGTTGCTGGCTTGTAAACCTGATATGTAAAATGGATTAGAAACTGATCACATGGTATGAGACTTAAATTTTGGAAAAAAAAAACCCTTTAGTTTTGAGAATTGAATTTTGAGTTATTATTTATGAACATTTGTGTTTATCCTTCTGTTATTTGTCTAAGAGTGGGGCAGAAACTTTGGTGTAGCTATTTAGATAATGGTGTCGTGACAAAATTGGCATCTTGTGGTATCACCTGAGGTATGCGAGATATGCGGGTAGATATGGATGCCTTCTGAAGAACCAACATCTTATCGTAGGTCCCATTCAGAATGGATAATCCTAGTACTTACTGATCCCCCGACTAAATATGGCCGACCACAGTTCAAAAGCCATCCTGCTGATTTCTGATGGTCGCCTCGCCTCCACATGTGCATTTAAAGAGATTAAATATCACAGTGCGTGTGGAGGGGGAGACCATCAGGAATCGGCGGCATCGCTTTTGAACTGGGTTGGCCATATTTAGTCAGCAGGTCAGTAAGTACTCAGATCATCCATTCTGAATGGGGCCTTATATATATGTCAGTAAGACCTGCTGTAGTCTGAGGACCCTACTAGCATTGGTGTGTTCATTTGTCAGCAAGATAACCAAGTCTTAAGCAAATAAAACAAAATTTAACACAATTTAATCTTCTGACTATTATCAATGCTGTGTTATATTAGTGAGTGTGTTCAGTGTACAGTAATGTTTGAAGTCAGCCTTGGATTATATAGACCACTGTTGTAAGGGTCGTTGTTGACTCTAGTAAGAGGAGGTATCACATCTTAGGCTTCGTTCACATGGAATGTCTATTTTCTAAAAATCTATTTTCTATTTGTGCTATCTTATGATCACGGTCTGTGCCCTGAATATCCCACCGTGTAATTACTGGCAGCGCGAGCCAGTTACTTATAGTAATTTATAGTAACTGGCTCACGCTGCCAGTAATTATTCCGCGGGATATTCAGGGCACAGACCGTGATCATAAGACATACCGCGAATAGAAAATAGAATTTAGAAAATAGACATTGCATGTGAATGAAGCCTTATTTCCTCTACCATGTTTGACTGTAACACACAGTTTGCCTGGTGAAATGTTCTGTGCTTGATGATATATATGGGTTTTCTATTTACTTTCATTTACTTTCGTATAGAAATACTGTAAAACATATTTTGTCCCCAGTAAACAGTTATTGTTTTTAATCAGTTTGAATTAAATTAACATAAACAATCTTTTGTATATCTTAACATGTATCATGTCCATTTTTCTTATGTATATTGTACTATATTACCATGGCAGTGATGTATTTGATTACAAAATACTAGTTCTATATATTGGCTCTTTATTTCCTGTAACTTCTACAGAGGACCTGTAAAACAAACATTTAGTCTCCAGTAATGTTTACTACAATGGCAATCTGAGACTGACCCGGAAGTGACTGTAGCCACCATGCAGGAAACTGTTGGAAACTTTTGATATTGCCAAGTTTAATTAGCAAATATTGACTTTCTTTCACTTCCTACAAGTTGTTTGTTATACTTTCAAGTTTCTCTTTCTGCAGTGTTGTCTACATGGGGTGGAGAGAAAAGCATGATTGATATACTTTACTTTTTTCATTGTAATCTACTTGACTAGATAAAAATGTCCAATAGAAAATAATGTAATTCTAAATATGCTTTTAGACAATGATATAATATAATATGCCTACTCTCAACTGAAAACAGATATTTGGCTAAGCCCAAGTTGCTCTTACTACTAGTCCTCAATTGCCAGTAGCTAAAGCACTGGTCATGATCCCTAACCAATAACAAATAATGGTAAAATCATAGACAGAGTGAAATTTTGTCTCAAATGTTTTTGTATTTAGTATAAAGATTTTAAATTTGAAGTTATCCATGGAAAGCAAATTAAAGGAAGAGAATAGTCACTTGAAGGGATTTTGATTAAGGTTTCAGAACTTAATTCCTCTTTTCCATTTGATTGTTATTTGGACATTTAAAACACTGTACTAGTAGCCAGTTGAGTTTTCTACATTTCCACAGATTTTATAGCTGTAATATATCTTCACTTGATACTATAAATACTTTGATCTAGGCTATGTGATGTTCATAAGAAGGGGTTATTAACCAAGAAATGGTTTACAAGTTAAACAACTGCTGGTCTTATAAAGGATTAGGCGTTTACTAACACTACCCACAGGTCTTTTAGCACAAATGCCCCTATAACCACAAAACCCACAAATTACCCAACACACTGTACAATTACAAGCGATACCTAGCACTAACATTCATCCGCTCTGGTAGTGGTGGTGATGGGTGTTGGTGCTAAAAGATCTGCGGGTAGTGTTTATAAATGCCTAATCCATATATAAGGCTTGAACTGTAAAAAAGGACAGATTACCATAATTACAAAAGTGTTGTCAGCCATTTCAGTCAGGAAGTGTTAACCTACAGTTTTATGTTGATGTATTATCATCTGCAAAAATTTTATATCAGTAGTTTTTCTTTATATGTATATAAGAATTTGGTATGTAAGACAATGAAAAAAATATTTTGGTGATTGTGCCCCGTAAACTCAGTTGTAGTTGGTGGTACAAAACTCAGGAGGTGGTCTGTGCCTCTCTGATTGTCTTTCAAAGCACTTTTATTTAGTTGATTTATTGTGCTGAGCTATGTTGCATGAAGGTTGTTTTCATACTGTTTTATTTTGTGTTTTATTTTATTTTAGGGTATTATTTGCTTTGGTGTAGCAGTGGTCTATCACCGTTACATGGGCTATGCCGTGGTAGCTTTGATTGTAGAATTAAACAGTATATTTCTACATATAAGGCAGTTGCTGCTAATCTGCAAAGTCCCCAAAACAAGCAGTATCTATCGCCTAACCAGTCTGATCAATATAGGTAAGTGATGGGAGACATTTCCTAGGCAGCACCTCTTGACTTAGTGAGATTTTTCACCAAGGAAAGCGCTGAACTGTGAAAGAGTTGAACATTTCCCTGGGTTGCTAGCGACATATAAGAAAAATAAGCATCTTGTAGCAAGGTGCAGTTGGGCTCAGCTACTTGCTTAAGATTATATTTACATTTTGTTTCCATATTTCAAATTTTGCCTTGTGTAATTTTACTATAGCTAAATTGAAGTTTCAGATTTACACACTTTGTTTTATCATTGAACGTATTCGACAGCATGTTTTATTTTATTTCACAGTGGCTATAGTCTTCATAATTGCGTAGTTTAATGCTTTTCCGTGCCAGATCAATTTTCATTTAAATATTATTGAGACAAAATTTAAAACCAATAAAGCATTTTCCATTGGATTGTGTTGTTATATTCTCAGTTGTTCTCTTTCTGTTCTCCAGGTACTTTTATAATGTTCAGAATATCCACGATGGCTTGGATGACGCGCTGGTTGGTTTATAACAGAGATAAGGTACCTTTCCTGATGTTTACCTTGGGAAGTCTGGGAATGGCCATCATGACCGTCATGAACATAGTGCTCTTCTGCAGAATCCTCTACAGTGACTTCTTCAGGAAAGGAAAACTCAAGAAAACAGACTGACCAGGACTGGTCTAGTTCAAGACATCAAGATGGTACTGGGGAGATAGGGTGCTCATACTGTTATTATCCTTATACGTTTATTAAAGGTTGTTTTTACTAGTACTTGGATTGCCAGAGTATCTTTTATTCACAACTAGGTTTTGTAAAGTGAAAATGCTCAACAGAAAGAATTGTAATGCATTTTGCTCTTTCTTGTTGAGAAAATTAATCAACCCAAATATTTTGAGATACTTAGAACATAAATACGGGTTTTGAAAATAGTGAATCATAGCGGATAAGGAATGTGTTGAAATTTCTAGGAAGATATAAAATTTTGCTGTATAATTGTCTGTTGCTCATAATGTGCCTTCAACAATAAGACAACACCTGGATATCCAGGGAATCTGCTGTCTAGCAAATTAGATCATTATAACATATATAAGACAGGATTCTCCAAATGAGCTGTAGTAGAATGAAATTGCTACCAAATATACCAAGAGATCAGCAGGAGGTATCCAGGGTGGTGTTCTGTCTACAATGAGATAGATGGCGCTGCAAGCATAGTGTAGTTAATATTATCAAGGTAACACTTATCATAACATTGTATATCTTAGTAACAGGAAAGATATGAACTTGCAGTCTGAAATACAAGGTTGAGTATTTAATGTACATGTATCTAAAACATACAAAAATATGAGTTCACAAAAAAAAAAAAGGAATCAGGTGGCGAAGAGGGGAAATTGATGCTAGGTAAATAATGGTGCATTAATATGTTATTTGTGGAATATTGGAATTTATTGCAAGTTTATTTTTGTATTGAAAATTGTATGTAATGTCATTTTGTTGTTACGGACATGTCCACTCATTTTAAGTGTTTTTAAAATGTATTTATAGTGTAGTTTGCACTCCCTTTTTGTAAATAGAATTCTTTTGTATTTATTTACTTTTACTAGATAAGCCTACCATGGAGTATTCTACATGCTTTAGTCAATAGTTATCCTAAGATAATAAATGGTAAGCAGAGAAAAGTAATTGTTAATGTGAAAACATGTCACCATATTTTTAAATATCACAAATATCAGGTGAAGAAATTCACCACAAGAATATCATGGAAGATATTGGAGACAAACAAAATGAACATAATTTTCTTTTTAAATGCCAACTCTGAAAGTGGTCACAATGTTATTGTTCAAGCACTGCTGTATGTATGTCATTGTACCACCAGCCTGCAGAGCAGGAGAGGTTATGTGGTGGCACACGTGTCCCTCTTACCTCTTAGTTATATATGTGTTTATGAGAGATTCACTGGTAAAATGTCTTACACCCCATTCCCATACCTAGATCCATCTGGCGAGATTGGTCCATTTTCGCTAAACTGTTTTCAGCTAAGTGACTTACATGTCTTGCACGTCAATTGAAGCTGCTAAGCAATAGATAATTTTTTCCTTGCAGCTTCAGAAGGTGTGCCAGACATCAGAGCAGCTTAAGCTGAAAGCAATCTAGTGAAAATCTCCTCGGAGATGGTCCGATCCCACTAGATTGATCAAGTTATGGGAACAGGGTCTTAATGGCTGAAGGAGGCTGGAGAACAGATCCATCCTGCTCAAACCTGGCATGAGATCACGGAGTGGTTCTGTTACATCCAGCATTTCATTTCAGTGTGGTGTCTTCAGTATCTGGGCATCATACTCTCCATTTACTAGGATGCCCATGCCTAGATTGATCCATCTGGATCAGTCTAACTCCCTGGGGAGTCTCACTAAATTGCTATAAACTTCACTGGCTTAAATGTCTGTCACGCCTACCAAATCAGGTACTGTAGGGTAAAGATAATAACTCCCTAACAGATTTACTTGGCGTGACACACATTTAAGCCGGTTAAGTTGATAGCTATATAGTGATACTCCCCAGGGAGATAGATCGATCCAAATATCTGTGGGAATGGTACCTAGGACTTACGTCAGTTATCCACCCCAATTTTATAGCATCTTTGTTGATTTGATATTATGAGGAAATAAATAGATTTTTTGTCCGTGTTAAAATGTAGACAAGGCATTTGGGCATTTCTAAGGTGCTACATTTTCATCTCAGCCAGTGTCTTGTAACTATGATACAGGTGTCCTGTGCATCCCACCTGATTGGAACTCTTCACTTGGTGTGAACATATCACACACTAGCTGGCAGGAGTTTAGTAAGCACACTGAAGGTAGTCATTCCTGTAGTTTTTAAGACTGTATCTAGAGATAAGCCATGCCAAAGGTAATAATTACATGACCAAATGATGTAGGCTAAAGCTTCGATATGGTATTCTAACATTCTATCCCTATTCCTTTTATTTTCCTGACCTCAACTTCCAACTTCAGAATGTCCTGGAGACAATTTCACAAATAAAATAACTTCCAACTAAAATGTCACAACCTAAGTTCTAGATAAATCTATTCATGTACAACATGTCTTTCCGTAAAAACTGGTGTAGTAAATACTACTACCACTGCTTTATCTTGTGACAAAATATGGCAGAAGTTTTTTACATGTGAAAACGGCCCCAGGACCATTTTGTATCTGAAGTGTATACTCTGCCTTTGAATCCATTTCTTTACATTTACTTCAAATCGTGCTCAAAGGTGTAACAAACCGAATCATCATCAGAGCCTCAGTACAGTCATTTTTAATGTTAATTATGATAATAAAACACTCAAACAAAATAAGCCATTATGAAAGTCGAATTTTAATGATAGAATTTGATTCATTGATACCAAATAAGTGTGTTTACATTGAAACCAACGTAGGATGAGTACATCAACCTTCATTTCAAGTGAGATGTTCTTCACAACACCAATGTGAAAACCCTTTTCCTGTTATGTCTGTGTTGAAAGATCTGCACATTTGCAGGTAACTGTGAAGGTTTCATCTCGATGCATTTTATGTTATACGTTTGCCAGTAAAATAAAGCCTGTTAATCTCAAACTGATTTTCATTTTTAATGTGCTTTTCCATTGTTATACTACAACATATTTTGAAATGACTGTCGATTGAATTTCCACAAAAATATTAACTGATAATTTTCTAACATGTATACTTAGGATTTTAAATAATGACAACAGTGCATGTTTAGTTCAAATAATTTATTATCACAATATTAGATATACAAACTACAAAATCTAAGTGCTATGTTACTTGATTTTCTGGGCATGACAATGGCCCCACGAGTGAGCAGCAGGCGCGAAGTTTGATCTATTTTTAAAATTACAAAGCTCCATGTCCGTCCCATTCCCTTTTCAGAATGCCAAGGCAATCGCCACAGCTATGTAAAAGCCTTTTTTCAATAAAGATAAACAAGAAAGCTTGGTTCTGCCAGCTTAGAAGACGATATATATAACACTTCCATTCAGCATTTGTCTCAATGCCAAAGGTTTTCTTCAGTTGTTATAAGCATAAAAAACATTGAAGTTGTCACCAAAGGCCAGCACTTCATGTGGTGTGGTCTTCAGTGTTAAAAACACCCTGTAAAATTGGGCTATGTCTAAGTATACATTCCTGAACTTTTTTACATCCACAATATATGTATGTATTAATCCAGCCATTCGACTGCCAACTCTCAGTAATGACTGATACAAACAGGAAAGATGCTGAAATTTTCTGTTATTTTTTATAAGACCCAATTGTAATACCTCAGTCATGCTACAGCAACATTAAATATTGTATCATCACCATTGTAACTTGGTGTGTAATTACTGTTGCTACATAATACAAACTATGCCAAGCATTTAACAGTGTGATACAGATTATCACTTCATTCACAATCTTCACCCCCTCCCCCCCCCCCCTTAAACACTGCAAGGCACATGTGACCTGTGGTACATCTCACTTTTCAAATATATATACATATAAACTTGAAAAAATAACTGAAATTTGATCACTTCATTTCATTTTGATGAGCCCTTCAGAAATGTTTGAATTACACATCCATTCCTAATCTGTTTGAGTCTAGACAACATGATTAGTGATGGCTGACAGGTGTTATTTCTACTACAGACACCACCCTAAGGTTCTCTAAAGCATAGAGGTAAATTACAGGCTCCAAATACTGTGTGTAGTGGATTTTGACTACACTTTTGATAAATCACCCTTAGGTTAGACAAAAATGATAAGTTGGTGAACAAGTGTGACCTACCCCAATTCTTAGGGCACAGGTCTGATTTTTTTTTTAAAGAAAAGCAGTGGGCATAGGTTCAAGAACCGAAATTTTTTATTGACCCCAAAGAAAAACCTTTTGTTTTTATGCTTGACACACACCAATACACCCAATTAAAAAATAATAGAAACACAAACAGACCACAAATTTTAGCTGCTATGCCCATCAAGCATCATGAAAAAAATGTGCTCCAACCCCGATTGCTTGTTTGCTCGTTATCCAACTTATCAAGTTATCTTGCCTTTATTCTAAATATTTATTTTACCTTTCACGAATTATCAAAATCTTTGTCATGATTATAAAGAGCATTTTAATTCTTTAAAATCGATGTCAAAATGTTTCAAATGTGACATCTTGAAGACACATAATGGTCATAACATCATTAACAAAACTAAGTTTACTTTGAAACTATAAATTTGCCATATATGCTTTACACAAGATCAATCTAAAAACTGCAAAAGAGATGGACTTCAAACTTTTTTCACCGGTGTAAATATGTATCATATGCTCAAAATAAATCTAAATCATATTTTGGTCATTAAAATATTTTCAAAGCTTATTGTACCTCTCAAATTATCTAAAACCAGGTCTTACTTCAGCTTAGCTCTTTATATTTACAATTCAGTTGATACATTAATGGAGATGTTGAAAATGTTTATCTGCTAGTTGCACTACCTAGATATACAACGGATGGAGTGTATTTCTTCTATTGTATTCTCTGTCATTTATTAAAACTACATATTGACACTGAAAATAAAATGACCTGTTTCCACTTGACTTACTTTGGTAGTCATCGAGATTCCAGTACAAAAAAAAACTACTGCTCAGCCACTAAAGACTTGTATATTTTCTCAAATAAACTGATCAAAATACAAATATATGTTACACTTAAAAAACTTGAAAAATATCAGTTTTCTACATGTCAACCATATAGATGTGAGGACAGCTGTCTGTCTAAAAATAGCGGGGGCTTTTGAACCATTTCACCCTCACCCAGATTCTTGATTATCTTTGTCTGCAATGGGGTCTCCACTTCTAGGTCAAGGGTGGACCAAAGCGTCCCCTCATTTTCTAGGAATTTCCTCTAGAAATGGCAAAGCTGCCATGCAGCTACCTGACATTATTCTCCATCATAACTCCCCCCAGCAGTAGATCTTGTGCTGATCACACTTGAACTTCACATAAAACTAAATGTGTCTGTGTCTCTCCTTTGATATATCCAAGTCTTGCTGATTTACTCTAACTTGACAGAGGCCTTCATGTAGCCATTCTTGACTTCTGTGTTTCCATTGATTTCTGGCTTGGCTCTTATTTCATTGTTGTTTCCATTCCTCTGCTTCTTATACTTATAGTCTGACCTGAGGAAATCGTTCTTGAAGAGCCTCCAGAGCAGAATGGGGTTCATAACAGTCATGCAAAACATACTGGCCGCCAGCATCCACCAGTAGAATGGGGTCACGCGGTCCGCCTCCGTAGCCATACCATAGTAGATACGAATGAGCCCTCCAAACCGGCATACTACAAAGGTGATAATGTTCACAACTGCATTGAGGCGATACCCCCAATGGTTGTAATCTACTTTAGACAGTTGTAGAAGCTTGCGTGTGTGGAGGAAAACTGTGTTCACCTCAGCTAATAAAGCCACCACATTGTAGCCTATACACGTGCAGTAGAGCACATGGTAACCAAAGGTTACATTTATCTGAAAATAAATAAAACAATACATATAACAGAACAATAAGTCAACAAAGAGGAAAAGAACAGAAACGTAAAATATTTGTCCAATGTGAAAGCCTTACAAATGGTGCCAATCATATATATAAATATTACAGCTGCATAAAAATGTTCTGCTAAAATCAGTATAACAAATCACAATTCAAACAATACTGTCTCTGTGCACAATGACAACTGAAATATAATACCATAGTAACATAAAGTGAAAGTAAAAACTGAACTTTTGATGAATAAATGTCATGCTTACAATTGCCTATTTGAATAATCATTGCAATTAATCAATTAATTACTAGTAACTAATTAATTAATTAACTAATTACAGATCAGTGGTTTGTGACTGAAACATTTTTAGCCATGCCTGAATGCAGAAGTTTATCATTGGAGGAAAGAAGGAGAGCCGACAGATTAATATGATGCAGGCTTTGGTATAGGAGACAGTGTCAGAAGACTCGGCGTCAGATCTTCAGGTATTCACAGGCTGTATAAGAAGTATACAGTAACAGGGCCATTCAGAGACACAATGTATTAAGCATTTCTAAAACTGAAATTTGTGTCAATTCTGCTGCCAAACTTAGCACAGGATATATGCTCTGTATATCATCGCTGTTCTGCTATGTGTGTTTGACATTCATCTTAGGGACCATTCCCAGACCCTATTGTACTAACTGTGGATTGTTCTATCTCCAAAGGGATTCTTGACAAATTGCACTCTACTTAAGCGGCTTAGATGTCTGTCATGCCACCTGAAGCTGTTAGAGGGTAACTATCATTTAGCAGCTTCAGTAGGCATGCCAAACATCTAAGCCGCTTAAGCTGAAAGCAATTTAGCGAGAAAACCTCTCTGAGGTGGATCGATCCTGTTAGATTGATCTGGGTATGGGAACCCAGTGTTAATGTGTACTCACTGCTATATGGTGTGCCTGCACCTCCCACATCTTCAACATGTGTTTATTTACCAGGATATCTCCAAAATCATATATGAAGTAACCTGAAGTATAATAATAATGATAATATCTATAATTAACACATTTATAGGGACAGAGTTTAAGATTTTAAACACATCTTAAATACATAAAACACTTTCACTTATTAAAATTTCAATTTCTCAGTTTTTTATTAACAGCTTTTCTTTTGTCATACTGGAATTTACTCAAAGAGCAATGAAAGTGTTCAGTTAAAATAACTGGAATAAATAAAGTTTAATTCAATAGTAGTAACTCCCCACTCCCTCTAGCCCTACTGGACTTGGATCATTATGGTGAAGTAAGAAACAGTCAGATGCTGAAGATTTTATTCATATTCACAAGGCACCAGATCTTATGCACTTCTCTTGTCAACATTATCATGGCAGGTCAGCATTTCTACACTTGATGAACTGATCTTTTACCTTATAAATGCACTATAAGATCTTGTCCAAATAATCCCATTTCTGCCTGTGCATATGTGTATAATGGCTGTTGTGAAGTGACAGTTAACTCAATCCCTAGTGAAGGTTAATTGATATATACATATTGGTATTCAGTGCAATGTTTGCCAAGTGTTTTGAAAATAAGGCACTGAGTAGGGGTATATGTTATGTGTCAAAGTGTAAATAAGAATGCCAGAATATTACATATTGGACTCCACAATGCCAGATAATAACGTTACCATAATCAATACTCACCTACAGAAAAACATACAAGCAAATACGAATACATGGTGTAATGCCCCACCAGATCATCCACCATCTCGGGTAAGACGACGAAACTGAAACAAAATGAATATATACATGTATAAGTTTGCCAGTCAGAAATATGAAAGCACCGTGTTCTCTTTAACTCGTTCAAGTTAATGTTACGGTACTCGACATTAATCATCTAGAGTTTGGGAACATATCACATAAAGTAGAAGAACCCTCTATGAAATACCGACTTCCCCCTTCACTGCATGCAGTAGACAACGTATATACAAGGACATACCAGCTCAACACCCAAATGGCGCAGATCAGGGCGTGAACCCAGGAGACAAACAGATTCCTCCATTTCCACGGCTCGTCTTGAGCATTCTTTGGAACTCCGGTGTAGATGAGAACTCGATTTAAGAGCTGGAAGAACAAAATGGTGCTAAGCACGGCGTAATATCCTATTTTGATGTCTATTGGTTCTTGTGGAGTAAAAATTCCCCCTGAGGCCACTTTTTGAACGAGATCAGAAGCGTTTTCCACGACGCCCATCTCTGAATCACTGCCTCCCATGGCGGCTCGTCTCTAACTCGTGTCACGTGACACTGTCGCTTAGTGCAAACCAAGCTTCATTCCTGCCATTCAGCTTGCCACTGCCCTGTTTTGACGTACGCTATGAAAAACCAAAAATTCGATGTTAAAACTACATGTTTCAAGTTTAAATTACACAGTCACATTTTTGTTCTTAAATACCACTGAATTTAATGTGAAATATATAAATATCAATTTATTCAAGGCAATTGTTAATAGCGCCTAAGCTAAACAAACAGAGAAACCAGGTAAGGTAAATAAACATAAATACAAATATCAGCCGGTGTTCTGTTGTGGAGGCTGTATCCAATAGCCCTGCAAGTGCCTGGTTTTATAACTGTTTGAAAGCCATTATACCATTTAACAAAACATTAGTTCTGTGTGTATTTCAGTTATAATAATTTATCGTGGGGTGATTTAACCGCACCCTGCCAGACTGAGAGATCTATCACAACTGTAGGCCTACATGCCTGACGGATCCGTTTTCATTTTATAATGAAACTGACTTGAAAGCATTGAATTATCTAATCGTCACGGACCATTGACGCATCTGAAATGGAATGAATATTCACCTTTACATTTTCTTTTGTTTTTCGGTCTCTAGCGAAATAAAAAATGTTCCGCAAATGCATGTCTACTTCGGCTGTTTTCTGCGCAGTTGTTTTCCAGATTAACTGACAACCAACCAACACATTTTAATATATTTTGAACTTTCAGAGCAGGTATTATCTACTTTAAGCTATCCTGCCCAGGGATTCCCCGCAAAATCGAATTTTCCTTGAAAAAAGGAAATTAAAGTGCTTGACCCATCTCTGCACTTATTAATTAAATTCGATGTTTTATACCATTACTGATTAAATAATTTTACTCCTTAAATTAAAGAAATGGCGATATACGTCTTACTTTTAATTTAAGTGGTTATATCGTTCTTCAAGGAGAAACTGGGAAAGATACATGTACATAACTTTACAGCTTGGTGAGCATAGAAAAATCTGACATTGGAACTTTTTCAAACACTGATATATAGTCTGTCTTTAATGTTTTAAACTTTACAAGACGATGCTTTGGTAACACATTTGAGTTGGCCTAATTAATTAAACGACAGAAATAACAATCCTCGTCCATTTTTTACCACTACACTTTCATACCATACTTTTTATTCATGGCAAATAGATATTTTCTCACTCTTTACCGCCCGAGTCTGACGTGGAAGGGGAGAGGTGCTATCAGACTGTCTTTGAACGGTGACATCGGAGTTTTAAATCACATATATATATAATTCAGAGAAAAATACTCAAAGTAGGTTTCAGACACCAATAAAACCAATACATTCTCACATGCCGTAGAGGAGATCCTGTATTCAACTTCTACGTATTCATTTCCTTGCTTTCTGCTTCATATAAGACGGGAGCGGTTCCATTGTCGTTGAAAAATTCGTATTTAATACAGAAATTCATATTTTAACATTTAGAGAATGTTTAGTAAATCAGTTGGAGAGTAAAATATTCTGAAATAATGCTAATATATTTCTATGTATCTGGCATTTAAAAGCATTTTCTGTCCAGTAAACTGTATATAAATGTACCCTCTACCAGGGCGGCAGATAGTATAGCCACTGTCAGAAGATTGACTATATTTAGCCAGAGACGTCATTATCTGTGAATATCTAGTGAAAAATCAATCTGTGGCCCTGGTAGAGGGCAATATAAATGAGGGCATCCAAGAGTCTAACACTCGATAAACGTTTTGTTACTAGCGTTTTCTCCTACAGCAAATTACTGTTTTAGTATATCTTTCCCTCATTATTTTATTTCCTTCTAAAATAAATCTTTCATTTTCCCCCCCAACATATCTTAGTGTTGCGCCATAACCAGGTGTGGGCGGTTGAGGTCGGGGGTCAGGTTTTCGGATATTTGACATCAAAAATGGAGCCGTTATTGTTTCCATTCAATTTAACTAAATATTTCGTGCACGTACGCATTTACGATTTTACAAATCGGATGAAATGGTTGAAAGGAAACAGACTGTGTCCGTCATGTCGGTCATGTGACAACCTTATATTTTGCAAACAACGTTAACATGCAAGCATACCAAATAATACTTGATATGTTACTACTGCTAATATAAAGGAATGTTCTATACAAGGCTTTCCAGACAAACCAAATTTTCCTCTGTAAAGATATTTTCTCGTACTCCCGAATTATTGCTAGCCCGGCCCGTTCTTGCACATCGGCGTCTTATACCATTATTTTCATAAAATGATCTAGTTTTTACTGGCAGATCTCCCTGTACATTTCATAAGGATATACCTACATCAGGAACTTTTATTTGAGGGGTATTATAGTTTTGAAGGTCCGAATCGGGAAAGATAAGTAGTTTTACAGGATATGTAGACAGAAAGTGACTTAAGGTGATCTCCAAACGCAGATAGTGTAACTTAAATGTAGGAAAAAAGCTTTAGAAGGCGTTTTTCCTTATCCGACTATTAAAATCCCCTGCTTTCTAAAGACCCTTATCACACGACGTGACGTTGTTTTGGACCAGGCACAGACGAATAAACAACGCGTAATCACAAATATATCTCTTACATCCATGACCCAAGTATTGCGGGTTCGAACTTTTCAACCTGGCCCAGCAGATTGGTTTTCAGTGTTGCTGTTATAAATGAAATTTCCTTTAGGCAATAATCTGTATTTACTGTATTCTCATAATTTTTCAATAATATTGAAAAGATGGATCGATAATCACTTGCGCTACTTGTACATCTCGCTCTCCCTTTAACTGCCGTTTAATTTTGTCCTTTACTTTGACTTTTAAGTTATCACAAAAATTTGAACTATGGCACTTTTTTTTTTCAAAAAATTGCTGTTTGACCATCGATGTTTTAGTGGCCGAATAAACTGCACACAATAACTGGCAAATGCGTTGCGGTAAGTGTTACAGAATTCTCCCTGTTCTTCTGTCGTCAAAAACGGATTCTTTAGCCAAGATACAACACGTAGGAATACAAGGTACGTAATACTCGATTTTCCTCCAGCAAAGGGCGTACTAAATACCAAGAATTGTCAAGGCAGCGACTATAGATACAATAGCCATAAGATTAATAAAAAGCTCAGCGAATTTCTGGTGAGAAGTGCAACATCAACAATAGAGGTAACGTTTTTCACAGACATCAAGTTTTGGACTCCATTGATTAGAACTCCTCGAGAGCATAATATACAGAAAAAAATCTATAATGTCCACACTAGCCGTGAAGCCCCCCACGACCGTCATTTAACACTATGGTAAATGATACGACTGAAGCAGTATGAAAGAGACAACTACAGAACAGATATATTAACACCTATTGAGTGAGATATATAAGACATACACCAGGTGTATGCAGCTGTGAACCACTCAGCTTTATTAGCAGGTTAACTTGTGACATACATCTGTTTGGCATTAGGAACTTTTGAGAAACACTTCGTTCCTGACTCTGTTGCAAATATTAAAAGATCCTTAAAAGTAATGGACATCTTAAATCTTTGACTAAAAGTAATATCCCTGAAATATCAAAGGAAATAAGATGGCTGCCAAATTCAGTTATACTGATACAATCTGTCCTAGTGGGACTACAGTGACCTGTTCCTCACATAGTCCCTGACAGTTATATATTCTGTCCTAGTGGGACTACAGTGACCTGTTCCTCACATAGTCCCTGACAGTTATATATTCTGTCCTAGTGGGACTACAGTGACCTGTTCCTCACATAGTCCCTGACAGTTATATATTCTGTCCTAGTGGGACTACAGTGACCTGTTCCTCACATAGTCCCTGACAGTTATATATTCTGTCCTAGTGGGACTACAGTGACCTGTTCCTCACATAGTCCCTGACAGTTATACTGATACATTCTGTCCCCCTCCCATCTCTTCCAACAAATACAAAAATAATCATGAATTACTAATGTGCAGCTAGAAAGCAAATAAAAAATAGCAAATAGACAAATTAATCTTATTTCACGTTAATCTGAAGTGCCATGATGCTTATTTGTCTACATTGAGAGACAGAGTATCTGGCACAGTCTGGGTTTATATGTCACATGAACAAACTGGTGCCACGCACAGGGAGGCTACTGTTCAAAGTCCATGTGGTGTATACTATATGGCCTCAGGTATCTGGGTTTATATGTCACGTGAACAAACTGGTGTCACAGTGAGGCTACTGTTCAAAGTCCATGTGGTGTATAGTCTTTGGCCCCAGGTATCTGGGTTTGTATGTCACATGATCAGACTGGTGCCATAGTGAGGCTACTGTTCAAAGTCCGCAATGTGTATACTCTATGGCCCCAGGAACTTCATAGCTGAAATCTTAGCTCGGACTGATACTGGTATTTCACCTCCATATAAAATATTCACATGGACCTCAAAGTCACGTACATGGCAGCGAAGATCTCGCACAATATCTAAATCATCTCGCAATCTGGCACCACCATTTTCATCAAAATGTGAATTTCGGTTATTCGACAGATTTTCTGTCCAATCTTCTAAAAGTTCCAGTTCTTGGGAGGCCTGAGAGTTATCCAGGACAATCTGGGAGTTGTCCCTGGGACCTTGTGCTGCCACACGCCTCAGTTTCAGTGAATTGTGGCTGATGTAAGTTTTCAGCATGTTGTAAAGCAGCAGTACCAGTTTGTGGCATTCCTCCCTGCTGGCATGGTTCCTGTGTGGCTCTACTCCCAGAACTTCTGCATACACCTCTGCATCAGGCAGGAACCTTGTACTAGCCTCCTCTGTCTGAGACCAATCCTGAGAAGACTGGGCACCTGGAATATCATTACAGTGAAGGCATGATGAATGTGCAACTTTCAGAAGCACTAAAACAGCTTATTACTTTATTCTTGGGCTCTTAAATTATGTCCCCATTTGCATTGTGTATTATAGAATATCATGAAAACCTTGTTGTTTAGGTGTGCTATGACATATAGTGGCTGTGTTAGGTGAGCTACAACATATAATGATTGTTTTAAGTGGGCTAAGAATGACAATGATTGTGTTAGGTGTGCTGTGACATATAATGATTGTGTTAGGTGTGCTGACATATCATGATTGTGTTAGGAGTGCTGTGACACATAATGATTGTGTTAGGTGTGCTGACATATAGTGATTGTGTTAGGTGTGCTGTGACATATAATGGCTGTGTTAGGTGTGCTTTGACATAATGGTTGTGTTAGATGTGCCATAATATACAATGGTTATGTAAGGTGTGCTACATCATTTAAGTTGAATGGGCTACAGTGCAGATTAAATGAGATGAAAGTGCTAACATGCTGTAGAGTACAGTCGTCTCCTGGCAGAGTTGTGGCCTGGCAGAGGTCCAGTAATAGGCGTCTTCAGCAGGCTCTTCATCTCCTCAGTGCAAGCATAGTCCAGGGCAACACTGCCATCTTTGGTGGCAAGACTCAGCAGTGAGGCACCTTCAAGCAGAAGTGGCAAAAACTTATTAGTAAATCGATCTTCTAAAGATGAACAGAACCCATAAATTTAACATACAATTATGGGTCTGAAAACAGCAAAACTCTTTTTCTGGAAGATGAAATAAAACTCTTTTTAAGAAATGCCAAATCTTCTACCTAATAGTGTCTAAGTGCTCCCGTTGCTTGCTTACCCCCATAGTTCAGTAGTACCCTGGCCACCTCTAGGTGGTTGTTCTGGACAGCGTCATGGAGAGGTGTGATGCCATCCACATTACACACCCTCAGATCCACACCTGACTCCTTATGACCTGGAAGTAGCCAATTTTAACTTTCATATATCACTTCCTTCTTGTTTATGACATCCATACCTATAATACCACTTTGCTTACTGCTCAAATCCTCAATTTTTATAAATTACTGCTACAACTGATCATAATTTCAAACATTACTTTTTCTGACATGAACAGAGCATGATATTTGTCATCAGAAACTCACACTCACAATTATTATTATCAAAGTAGCTGTACATAGTCTTCTGTGGCTTGTACTTGAGCAACTCCATAACACAGTCAATATGGCCGTGGTTGCAGGCCTCATGGAGGGGGGTCCAGCCTGCGTAGTCCGCGGCATTCACATCTACCCCTATTCACATACATAATTTATATGAATATGGCTACATGTCTCTTTATAACTAGTAAAGTCTCCACTTAGAAATATCTGAGAGACCGCTTTCAGAACAGATGAACTGCAGACTAACTAGTCCGTGGATCAACTATGGCCGACCCCTTATGAAAGCCATACTGGTAAATTCCCTAATGGTCTTCCCAACTACCACACGTGCAAGGCCTGCAGGTGTATAGCAATTACATGGATTAAATCTTGGCTCCGACCTGTAGGGAGATCATCTGTTCTAAATGCAGCCATAGACTAGAACTGTATCATTCAGAAGATCATTATCTTTGTACAAAGCATGCATTACTAAACAGTATTCTCTTTAGCACCCATAAACATATAAGCTTATAAGATTACTAATAATCAATGAAACAAGAGACTCCTAAAATTACTATCTATTCAAGTTTTCCTAGAAGTTACCTGGGGTGGCCAAAAGTTCCTTCACCTTGGCCACATTATTCTTGATGCAAGCCACGTGAAGAGGTGTTTCACCTGATTGAAAGAGAGGGAAAGAGAAAAATTGAAATGTTTCACTGAAGTGAAATTATTAGCAAAGAAGGGAGGTAGGACAAGTGGTTCCCTATTCATCATAAAAATTATCCTTGAATAACAAAAATTTAACTATTGAAAACACCCACTGAATACAGGGAGCTGATATTACGGTTACATTGGAATTGATATACAAGAAGCAGATCACCAAGTTAACATGTACCTCTTGGATTCCTTTTGTTGACCTGTGAAATCCTCCTTTTTTCTGCCGGGCTCCAGTGATTAACCGTTCCCCTGGGGGGTCTACGGGCCTGAGTAGATATACTGCCTTGGTTTGGATCACTACAGGGACAAAATAATCATAAATAAATTTGCTGCAAGCACACAATCCTTTGCAGTAAACACTTATTCAGAATCTGTAATCCAAAACACTGGCTGAGATTAATAACACATTGGAAATTTTTATGTAAGAAATGTAGTCAATGTGTACATTGCCATACCACTGTGAGAGCAATGCTAAAACACTGTACTCAGTTCAGGCATTACTTCCTGACATCAGCCTCTTGACACACTTGCCTAACTTTACTCACCCCAAATCTTTTAAAGGTGTGCTGTTCAGTGACTTCAGTTTCTTGTGTGGAGAAATCAGTGACTTGTCCTCCAATACTGGGAGTACATAGAAATATCTGGACACCTGAAAAATCACATGCAATTGAACAACACTATGAGAGACAGTAAACGAAGGAAAATTAGATGAAGTCATTTAAAATGTGAATATATTTTATGGCTGTGAGCTCACAAGTTTGATTAATGGATTGATTAATGGACCTTCATTTGTAGCATAAGAATCTCCACAATCTATAATACCTTTTTATAACTTTAAACATCAGGACTATGTTTACAACATTCTTCTAAATGCACAATATCATATATCAACTATTCTGATCAGTTCACAGTTCGACTTACAATCTTCCTGAGGCTGAGTGGCTCCCCCTGGTAGCAGTTCAGTGGCAAAAGAGACTCGTCGTGTAAGTCGAGGATATGTTCACAAACTTTCATACAAAGCCAAGATGGTTTCAGATTGTTTAACACCAGCTCATAGGAAGACACATCTTCAAAGTTTTCAGCTGAAACCAAGAAATATGTAAGAAATTTAACATGAAGGGGGGGAACTATTTAATAATAATAATAATAAAAAGGTGCTGAGAATTTCCAAACCTTATATATTATCCAACCTGCATACTTACACTAATTCATCTTGTAAAATAAAATTCACGTATAGAGTAAAACATCTGACCTGTGTGTGTGTGTGTGTGTGTGTGTGTGTGTGTGTGTGTGTGTGTGTGTGTGTGTGTGTGTGTGTGTGTGTGTGTGTGTGTGTGTGTGTGTAGTTGTGCGTGTTTTCATGACTTACTCATAATTTTGAGGGCCACCTCCCTAGCAAAGTGCACAGCTCTGTCACCAATATTGGAGGTCTCCTTTGTCTTCACCCTCTCCAACAACTGTGTGTATGCAGCTGCCATGGTAATCAAACTCTGCACCAAATGAACAGCTGTGTTCTGAAATAATTACATAATTAACTGATCATAGCATTCATATTCAACCAATAGTGAGTTATATGACTTTTATATTCATTATCTGTTATATCCTGGCTGGCTGCTATAGAGGTGTACCTACTTTATCTGTTATATCCTGGCTGGCTGCTATAGAGGTGTACCTACTTTATCTGTTATATCCTGGCTGGCTGCTATAGAGGTGTACCTACTTTATCTGTTATATCCTGGCTGGCTGCTATAGAGGTGTACCTACTTTATCTGTTATATCCTGGCTGGCTGCTATAGAAGTGTACCTACTTTATTTGTTATATCCTGGCTGCCTGCTATAGAGGTGTACCTACTTTATTTGTTATATCCTTGCTGGCTGCTATAGAGGTAAGGTAAGCCAGCAGTTCTTTGCAGTAGGTATTCAGGGTTCCAGGGGGACCAGAAGGCCACAGTATCTTCCCCAGCATACATGATGGTGCCTGTTTGTTGAGGGAGCTATTCCTTGTTCTGGGTGTAAAACAATGTACATCTCACACAAACATGTATCATTCTTAATCAATACTGATTGTCAACTTTGTAACTGAACTCCCTTATCCAGAAGTTAAACATTATTTCTACATAAGATTATTTTAAGCGAGTTTGAAATCCATTACATTGTGTTTATGTTATTTTCTGGCATTCCTGCTTCTCAGTTCTGTCAGTTCCAAATCATACAAAGCCAAAGAAAGAATCAAAGCCAAAAGACCTCGCTCAATCCCCACCCCACATAAGCACAGATAATGCTCCTTTATGCCACCACTCAATCCTCCACATAAGACAAGAGTCTCTCTAACCCCTGAGAGTTGTGTCTGTATATTCAGCTACTCACCTTAACATCATATGCTGGAAGTCCTGCTCTAGTAATGTGACTAGGTACTGTAATAGTAGAAGACAGCGGGTGTGGTGCAGGGGGTGAAGGGACGGTGCCTCTTCTCTTTCTTCAGGACTCTGTATCAGCTGTCTGCAACAGAAACAATGACAGCTGCATAATATCAACAAGCAGAATTATTCAGTAAGAAAATGACAACAAAAGGTGAATTTATTAAAGTATAAGACTAGGACAATGTGTTTGTCTTGACTGGTTCAATAGGTAGACTATACTCACTGAGCTGTGCCATTATAACCAGATGTGGTTGTTAAACATGCTATATCTCTGTAAAGACCACCAAGCTATCACAACCTGAATTCTGCACACTGTATCACCTGAATAGATACTCACTCCAGTATTCCTCTGATACAACAGCTATATAGATACTCAATCCAGTATTCTTCTGATATATCATCTATATAGATACTCACTCCAGTATTCTTCTGATATATCATCTATATAGATACTTACTCCACTATCCCTCTGACAATCATCTGTATAGATACTTACTCCAGTATCCCTCTGATATATCATCTATATAGATACTTACTCCAGTATCCCTCTGATATAAGAGCTATATAGATACTTACTCCAGTATTCCTCTGATGAACTCCCACTCTGCTGCAGTATTCTCCTTGTTGCAGACACCATCTTTATGAAGAGCGTGGAGGTAGACGGTCCTCAGGGCAGGTGTGGTTGGCGGGTGGCAGGTACTGATGCGACGCAGAGCATTATAGGCCCTGTACATGGTGACCTCATCTGTAGACACCTGATAATTTAGTGTAAAATAAAAATAAAAGTCTAAATTGATTGATATCAGCCTGTGTGGCTTAAATAAACTAACTTCATCAGTTTACACAATTATATAACAGCAATTAAAGTACTGATACTGGGACAGCTAATCAACCGGATGTTATTCATCAGTATTGATAATGTGACAGCTTACCAACTGGATGATAATAATGGGATAACTTACCAACAGGATGTTATTATCAGCTGGTAAAGTATTAATAATGGGACAACTTACCAACTGGATGATAATAATGGAACAGCTTACCAACAGGATGATAATAATGGGACAGGTTACCAACAGGATATTATTCATCAGTACTGATAATGGGACTTCTTACCAACAAGATGTTAATAATGGGACAGCTTACCAACAGGATGTTAATACTGGGACAGCTTACCAACAAGATATTAATACTGGGACAGCTTACCAACAGGATGTTAATACTGGGACAGCTTACCATCAGGATGTTATTCATCAGCTGGTACAAGGTGCTGGACTGAGGATATCTTTGCCTCGATACCAGGGACATCAAGGAGTTGACTGCCATGACCATCATCCCCTCCTCCAGCCCCGTCTCAAACAGACCGGTCACCGTCCTGGTCAGCGGGTGTGACCTCTCCTCAGTCAGCAACTGGAAATCAGAGCAAATATTTGTGACCACTTTCCCGCTTGTTGTATCACGTGGGGGGTAAGTATAAATTCCCTAAGTCACTTCTAATACGTGTTATTTTTGCCTCAGTCATTCATCAAATGTTGTGTGTGTATTTTTACAGCAAATAAAGGAGCTGATAGAGAAGTTGATCTGCTTGCACTTATACTCTTAGTTACAGATCTAGTCAATGGACTTAAGATTGCATAGAAATAATCTGAAATATCTTAGAAATTGATCATCTTGGCAGTAAGAAGGACACCAGTGTGTAACTGGAAACATTGAGAAATTTTATTCCCTAGTCCCAAAGAAAAAAAAAACTTGGATATTCACCTTGATGAGGAATCAATCAAGATAATCACAGCAGTGCTTACCATGCCATTTTTGTCTTTCAAACTTGTAAGGAAATCTGCATTACGAGGACGCCACATACTTCCAGTTCCAGGAAGCTGAAATACAGGTTCATGTAGTAGTAAATATCAGTATCATTATCAATCATTCACTCCATATAACAGGTCTTGTTGCTTAAAAGGTCACCCTCAAACACTGAAATTCAACTAATTTTACATCAGAATGTCTATTTTCAAGTGCTTAGAATATCAACTGCATTCAGTAGTCACATCCTTGACTTACTCAAGTTGTGAGACAGATTATCACCTTTTTCCGTTTTCCAGTTATGTTTTCCTTCTCCATGTTTTCCTCCCCACCCAGTTTTCTCTTCCTGTTATTACTTCCTCCCTGTGAAGACTGTGTGTGGTCAGAGTAAGTAGTTAATGAAAATGGCAGGGAGTCCGTGTCCATCTCAAGCCGCTGTAATTTAACTCTTGGCTGCAAAGAACCCACTGAAGTATCGCTGTTTTGAGAACAGTCATAGTCTGAAATATATACATATCTCTATTATGATATAGTATTGTATTGTATCACATATATTATATTGTACAACTCCATTATTAGTACCTTGATTTCTAATACTGTTTTCAGGTAAATAACACATCACATATTAGTGTATAAAATAACAGTTTTGCCAATATCCTGCTTCCACTTTGTTTAAAACTCGCTGGCTTTTCTGTTTGTTAACTTGTCATCTGTAATAGTACCAGGACCTGGCCATGAAAACCATGGACACCTGCTCCTTACCTGAGGCTGCCACAGATTCTGGTGTATTCCTGACCTGAGCTGATGAAACTAGATCTGAGTGTTCAGGTTGACAGCAGCTAACACCAGGGGGCAGCAGTTTATCTGCAGTTCTAGAGCGTGTCCTCAGTGGAGATACCGTGCCAGATGTTTTCCCAGCATTCCAATCTGTGGCTGTCTCTGTACTTTTGGAGACATCTTGTTTGTCCAAATCTTTCAACAAGTCATGTGTTGGCTTTCTCTGTCCCCTTAACATACTTCTCTGATAAACTGGGGATGCCTTGCTTGGGCTCCGCTCATTTAAAACTTTCAATTTTGGGTATTTTCCTGTACTTGCACAGTTTGAAGAATTCCCAGGTTTCTCAACAGAAGAACCTGTCAAGGCATCATTGCTCCCAGAACACTGGGGTTTCTGGTCCTTTGGTTTGGGGGAAGGCACAAGAAAACTCATAATGCTGGACTGTTTGACTTTGGGAGTTGTTTTGGACTCTTCTCCCTTGAAACTGATAGCAGATGTTTTTCTAGATTGTTTCACTTTGGGACCATCACGTATCCCTGCCTTAGACTGTACTTTGTGGGAACTTGTAGCTTTTAATGGGGACTTCTCCACAAGGTCACAATTCTTTGAAACTGGATTTAGCTGTTGAACATTGGCACTTTCAGCTTGTTGCACTCTGGGAGTACCAGTAATTTGAAAACTATGACAATCAACTCTGGATGTGCCAGATGGTGTTTTCTCTTCAGGTTGGTGGTCAGGACCTGCTACTACAGAGAACTTGGTAGGATCTGGACGCTGGTTGACCTCCACAGAGAAATTATGAGGATCAGGGGGAGGGTCCTGGAATCAAAGACAGCAAACTGAAATCCTGTGCAATGATATACCCTGAAGAGTTTTATAGGGAAGTTGTTTGATCTAGGAATAAATGACTGAGGTAAAGCAGAAATATGTGGTTTTTAAATAAGATATTGCTTTCTCTTTTAAAAAAGTTTCTTATTTCTTATTATTTTATTATTGAAGTTCCAATTGGATTTTTTTTTTTTTTTTTTTTTTGCAGTGTGTTTGTGTGATTGGTGGTGGTGGTGGTGGTGGGGGAGGGGGGGGGGGCAAAAAGAAAAGCTAAGAACAAAATTCAAAACCAACCTTAAACAAAAACTCTCCTATGTACTCAGGTCTCAGGCACCACGCCCCTTCCACTGCAGCCCCTGGGGCATTCTCACGGTCCACAAATATATGAGTTAAACTGGACACCTGCTTGTTACAGCTGCTCAAGGGAAGGGACAAGTTGTGTACGGTGGCTCCACCTATCTTCAACAACCTAAAATATAAACAGGTGAGAACATGTGAAAACACGTCCAATTTGCTGTCTTCAAATATAACATGTTCAAAGTTTTTAAACTTGATATTGGTTTAATGCAGAATCTCACCTCCGGTATACTTGTTTCTTGGTGGCATTGCTGACCACTACAGCCACCCTCCATCCTGCGAATGCCCCCAGGCCAGATCTTGACCAGTTCAGTCTCCAGCGACGTACAGCTTGTACAGCCGGCAGGAGGTCATCATAGGGCAGACCACTGGCCTTGAGGGCGGATGCTGACCACTCATACTCCTCTTCTGACAACCACTGCTTCATCTCAAGGCTGTCCTTAATGTACCTGGGCTGAAGAACCCAGCGCCCTGGAAAGAGGTATATATAATAATATTATGTATTATAAGAATCTAGCATCCTGGAAATAGATATAAATTGCTGTAATATGTGCCCGAGGCTTGGTGTAGCGCGTCTTGGTCACGTGGGTTTGGAAAGCGCAGGAAGTTGCAGTGTGTGATGAGCCACATCAGGTGGAGGATACTGTGCAACGATTCTACCACAATAATCTTACATGAAGCTGTTGGTTTCACCCATGAGTTTATGATGTTAAAGGGATAATAACTCTTCGTTTTGGCCAAAAAATACATTTTCCTGGAGTAAAAAAACAATTTTCCCATACTTACCAATGGTTTATGAATCCATTTTTACATTCAAAGTTAATCTCTGTTTTTTCTAAAAAGTCTTTTTTTTTGCCTTGTATAGCCATCAATTTAGGTCACGTGGTCTAAAGACAAGCTCAGATATCAGAATAATAGCTATAACTGCCATTTCTATGGTACAACAGCATATATTATATTTCTATGAGTTGTTCACAATGTTTTTATTGTGAAATAGAGATCTCATACGAAGAGTTATTATCCCTTTAAACTGTCTAACAACAATATTATGTATTACAAGAACCCAACACTCTGGAAACAGATTGTCGCATAATACACTGAAGACACATGAGTAAGCACTTGGCAGTAAATTTGTAATAGAGCCAATCCAAATGGGAATACACTTTTGAGTTACATCTTAATTAGTAACACACACTTTGTGTAATATCTGAATAACTTTTAAATAACTTTTTAATTACGGTTAATTATTTCCATACTGAAAGGTGCTATAGTGTTTAGCAGTGAAAATAATAGGGCAAGGCAAAATGTAAAATTCCATAAAAGGAAGCCATGTAGGAGAGGATATAGAACCCAGCAATGAACTGTAGTGGAATTAATCCATCATACAAAAGTAGCCAAGTACTGGACACCAGAGAGACACAGAAAATTAGGCAGGTCTAAGACCACATGCAGAAGGACCGTCAGAGCAGAGTTGAAACAACTAGGAGAAAACTGGGAAACCATTCAACACCTAGCTCATGAAAGAGAGCAGTGGAAGATCTTTGTTGGTGCCCTAGATGCCCAACAGCATAAAAGGAATTGATAATGATGATGATATCTGGGCCATTGAACACAAAATGACACATTTCCCTATAGGCAGTACCAATCACAATGTCTGATCATTACTTTATTCATTATATTAGATTTACACTTTCTTCTTATGTGATTAGGCTAAGTCGAGTCATTACAGTACGTACCTGTGGCACATGCTGCTAGGTATTTCTCACTCCTGCTGGGTTTACCACATATCAGGTGGGTGCAACTGGGTATATAAGCCTAAGAATTATAATATATAAGAATATAAATTGTACTATATATAAATAGTATATATTAATAGGAAGATCATTGTTTGATTATAGATCAAAAACATGTGTCTATAATAATGCCATTATGAAGTCATTATAAAAATAAAAGTAATATATACAAATCAGAATTCTACAAAAATTGTTCTTCTTAATCTTAACATAAAAATGAACCAGCTCACACCCACCTCTGAGTCAATATATGTCCCTCCCAGGTCTTCTATCTGCTGTCCAATGTTCTCTCTGTCCACCAGAGACAATCCTGTCACCTGGAACACCTTCAAGGGTCTCAGCTCCATCTGGTTAAAGAAACAATAACTTGGATTTAAGGGTGTATCTTGGGGCCCCATTCAGAATAGGGGACTAACTAGTCCAAGGGTCAAATATGGTGACACACTACAAAGCTTGCCGTCTTATCCATTAATAGACACTTAAGTAGATATCCCGTGGGGAAGTATTCAAGTGGGTCAGCCATATTTCACCCTTGGACTAGTTAGTCCCCTTTTCTGAATAGGGCATTGGATTTGTTTTATAACTAACATTTCTTGCAAAACTTTGCATTTATTACCACTGTATATAGGACATGTTATACTTAAACAAATTAATATCAACCATCAATCACTCAGCCCACCTAATTATCATTATGCCAATTTTGAACATAAACAGGGCCAAAGACTAGACTTAGATCGCATTCACAACGAATGTGTCGTCCTAATGGAGCCGAGATTTAATGACGACGTGTGGGGAGGGGTGTGAGAGGCGGAGAGACTATTAAAAGATTAGGCGGTTTTTCTTTCATATACGACTGCCATATTTAGTCCCCAGGATTTGTAAAGCCTGGCTCAACTCGTTGTGAATGCGATCTTATTATATACTGCCCAATTCTGAAGTATTGAACATATTAGGCATCAGTTCATCACTGTCATTATCTTGGCAGAATGGAAGAACTTTATTGATATAAACCATAATGTACATAATATTTTCAAGCTCCACATGATTATAAAATTACTATACAATTTCATGAATAAATAGATAAATACACAGTACTCAGTACAGTTTGACATAATGATCGGTAAATATAAATAGTGTATCATAACTATAGCCCCACTGCCGAGTCAACTGCTCTCAACAGTGGGTTGATATACACAAAAATATAGGCCCTACATGGTTTTACATAAAATACAGTTTTATATAATGAATAAATATAAATAGTGTGCCATAACAATGTGACAGGTTTAATCTTACTGCAGAGTCAACTGCCCACAACAGTAGGACCTCATACGTTTTTAGACGTACATTCAAGGTTGCACCATTTTAACTCTCTCTCTCTCTCTCTCTCTCTCTCAAGCATTGGTGTATAAATTTTGCGATTATCTTTACTGACTCGAAATCATTTCTTTACGGATGTTAAAAATATTATAATTTATGATAATGATTAGCCCTGTCGCTAACAAGTGTAAACACCAAAAGACCGAAAACTTCACCACGGCGAAGTTTGCGCCTTCCCTTGCTCACATAGCTGTTTAAATGTATAATCGGTACCAGAACAAGAGAGGTTTTCGGTTCTCAAAACTGAGATAATTGTTTGGCATCTGAGATAGAGTAAACTGCATACTTACAGCCAGGCACCCCTCTCAAACAAAACCGCGAAAATGCATGTTGGACTAAAGTGCACTTGATTCAGTGACGTCATAGAAACCTGCGTACACAAAGCCATGCTTCCTTGTAAAAATATCTACCGTTGACAGTGCAGTGTTATTTTAAGTTGAAAAGGATTTCCGTTATTCATAATTATTACAGAATGCTGATTAAAATTATTATAGATTGAGAGATATTTTAGGGATAACAACTTACTGGATTTGACGTAGGACCAAATCAAAGGCATTCACAATGACAAATTTTAGGTAGAACTTTGGAAATATCTTTACTTCTGTTTTAATTGCATTTTTAAATATCATTTAATTTATACTTTTATTTTCTTTCGACGAATTATTTTTGGTACTTTGTGATAGTGGTATTGGTCCTTGTCAATCTCTATTTATTTGACTACATCTGCATATAATGGCTCAATTGCCGATTTTATTTGGCTTACAACTACACGTAGTACAGTAACTTGAATTCAAACATTTTACACGGTGGGTCAAAGTAATAATTTCTGTACTTGGGGAGTTTTCAGGATTTTAATGCACTGAGTACTTTTAAAGAGCATACTCATTATCTCCACTGAGAGTGTGTTTGTTTGTATTTTATAGGATCTACTTGTGTACTTGGAATGTTGGAAACAAATTTCCTCTCAAGAAATTTGATAACCTCTTGGGATTTGATTCACCCAACCTGCCTGATGTATATGCCATAGGGTTTGTATCTATGGTTTTATAATACTGGAAATTAAACTGCAGGAATAAACAGACATGAAATTGGCAATTAATTTTGTTAAAATGTTCAAATTTGCAATCTATTGATTTCAATCATTTCTATTTTAAATACTTTTTTTATTTTTATCCGTGATATTTTGATAAATTTTACTTGAGATTGATATGAAATGTTTTGTATTTTGTGTAACATTTGTATTTTGTTTTCTAGACTACAAGAGGTCAAAGGTGGCACAGCGAGCATTGTCACCAGTTATGTTATGGATGATCCGTGGACATCAAAACTCACAAAAATACTAAATGGTCAGGGCTATGTCAGGGTGAGTGAAATTGGTCAGGGCTACATCAGGGGGAGTGAAAATGGTCAGGGCTATGTCAGGGTGAGTGAAATTGGTCAGGGCTACATTAGGGTGAGTGAAAATGGTGCCTGCACTTACTGGGGGTCCATGCACCCTGGTCCTTCCTTTACATCTCAGACTTTTGAAGTATAAAATTACGTAATATGATCCATCTAAAAGTAACAAGAAGAAGGGTTTATACCATTAAAAAGATGGAAAATCTCATAGGAAAGCAATGAAAGCATAATACATCAGTTCTTTCCTGTGGAAAAGGTATAATTTCAGTTTAGAAATTTTGTCTGTATGTTAAGCCATGTTAACACATGCTTCTTTGTTGTAATATAAATAACTCAAAGTTGGCTGCTTACATGGTGAAGGTCTAGAATCTACACTGAAGGATTACTTTTAAAAGGCTTGCTTGCTTTTTGTGCTGCTTAATAGGTTTACACTTTTATTACGTAGTATTTTAATAGATGATAGTGTATTTCAGATAAAGGGAGTCCGTTTGCAAGGTCTTGTTTTAACAGTGTTTTGTAAACGTCATCATCTTCCATTTATGACCAACATTGAGTCAGAATACACAAGGTCAGGATTAGGAGGATGGTGGGTAAGAAAAATAAAAGTTGTTCTTACAATCTCAGCATTTACTAGTACAGTATTGAAATTTTATGATATATTGTACCGTGTTAGTAGTTCTCAGTTTTGACATTTTAATTAGAATTGTATTGTTAATTAATTAATAATTAACTGTTTTACCTGTGGCACCAATCTTTATTGTTAACAGTAGTTGAGGTCAGTATGTATGTTAATTTCAGGGTAATAAAGGTGGAGTCAGTATACGCTTTGATGCATATGGTGTAAATGTATGTATAGTCAACTCCCACTTAGCTGCTCATCTGGAGGCTGTGGCTGAAAGGATAGAGGTTAGTTACTTACTTTGCCTCAGTGTGTGTGTGTGTGTGTGTGTGTGTGTGTGTGTGTGTGTGTGTGTGTGTGTGTGTGTGTGTGTGTGTGTGTGTGTGTGCGCGCACTAAGCATCACATTTTTTTGTATACTAGAATTAAGTAATTTTATAATGATCTAGGCATTGTTTTACATGGCAAAATGTACAGAGAGCTGTGTAGATACAATAACAACACTTAGAAAATGTTGTCAAATTATTTCTAGGACTACAGTATCATAGTGGAATCACAGCAATTTAGGGAGAAAGAAACACCAAGCATTTTAGACCATGAGTGAGTATACTGTTTTTTTTTCTTCCATAAAATTATTACTGTGCATTTAAGTATTTTATATAAAAGTGTAAATCTTTTTAGATAGTTTTGAATTTTATTTTTTTTTAGCATTACTAATGTTTTCATGTAAATGTGCATATCCTGTTTTATAGGACATCATTTGAAAATTATCTTGAATTGTGATGTACTTAGACATTGTGCTGACAAAATGGGGAGAGTTTGCTCACAAATACTCTTGTAAGCAATAAGATTATTATCCACTAGTCACATAGGGTACGTTTGCTTTGATATCATTTTATAAATAAAAGACACTGAAGTAAAAAACTTTCTCACTTTTTCCCAGCTATATTTTCTGGATGGGCGACCTTAACTTCAGAATAGATGATATCCCAAGAGATGATATTATTCGGATGATTAAAAATAAGGACCTGGAGTCACTGTGGTCACATGATCAGGTAAAGGGGTTATAATATAGACTGGGTTCCCATACCTAGATCAATCTAACAGGATCAAACCATCTCTAAGGGATTTTTCAGTAAATTGCTTTTAGCTTAAGCAGCTTAGATGTCTGGCACACCTACTGAAGCTGCTGAACAATAATTAATTACCCCCTAGTGGCTTGAATAGGCATGATAGACATTGAAGCCACTTAAGTTAATAGCAATTTAGTGATAGATCCATCCACAGTTAGAACGATAGGGTCTGGGAATGGTCCCATAGTCACAGTTTTCTAACACGTATCATGGATAACTGTTACACACTCTTATATCATGGGTCACAGGTATATACACATCATTGAAAAATCATGGAGATCTAATCTTCTGTCCCATGCAAAAATTTGTCTCATTTAACGTTCACTTACGGTTCTCAATTTATTCTAGAACATCTGTTGTATTTTTTTTCAGTTCTAATGTTGTTGTGTAATTAATGTAACAGTCCGAGAGCTGTTTTGGGGAAGTCTTTCAGAATGTCCTAGAACAGATTAAAAACGTTTTTCATTCAGAGAGAAAAAAATATTATGTTCTAGGCCAGATTGCACTTCATTTTTCTTTCACGCCTTTTACAACATGCACAAGTACAGGTATATAGCTGTATAAAACATTGGTGTTATTTTATCTTAATTGTGCCAATGCAAAACAATGAAGATAACACTGATTTTAAATTGATGTATAGTTGAAATGTGTGTATGTATTTCAGTTAACTAAGGCAAGACAGGAAGAACTTATTTTAGTAGATTTTGAAGAGGGCCCACTTACATTCCCGCCGTCATATAAGTTTGATCCAGGGACAGATCACTACGATACCAGGTAAATATTTTTTAAAAATATACAGAGATTGTTGTACATTCTTACATGGGACATATTTCCTTCACCAAGCATGATGTGTTTTTTTTTTTTTTTTGTTCATGTAGAGATCTCTTTGCAAAAGACAATTCATCTTTGAAAGGTTCCCATCAGTCACTGAAACATATCTTTTTTGATTATGGAAAAATACAGATAAAGTTTGTAGATTGATGATTACTTGATGAGTACTTGACTGCAAAGTACTGATTGTATTTGCTGTCTAGGAAGTTATTTTGCAAGCATTGTGTGCTGTATTTCCAGTTCAAAGCACCGTAAGCCTGCCTGGTGTGATCGTATTTTGTGGCTGGTTCATGAGGACTCCTTTGAAGGTTTCCAACTGGCAGCCAGACAGGAACACTATACAAGCCACTCGGAATACAAACTTAGTGATCATAAACCAGTCACTTCTGTCTTTAATGTCAAGGTTTATCTGGCATTTGCTTTATCTTCTGCTTCATGTTTTTCTCAAGAGAATTAAGAAAAGTGGTAGTTTTTCTAAAGGATAAAGTTATAAAGCTAATGGTGTCAATTTAAGAGTTTGAAATCATAGAGCTAAACAGATGCTATAATCAAAATTAGTCATTTGCTACACATGAAGGCATGATGCTTTTCTGAGCTTTGCACTCACTTGTCACTGATTTAAGAAATAACCCTTCATGTTTTTGTTTAATTTGCAGTTGTTAAATATAACAAGACCAGCTATTCAGTTTGCCCCCATCTTTTCCTGGAGTAAAGATGGAAGTGCAACTTGTGTTTACAGTGTAGACATGGGGGTGAAGACATCATCTTGGGACTGGATAGGACTCTACAAGGTAGGTGGTGTATATTTACAGTGTAGACATGGGGGTGAAGACATCATCTTGGGACTGGATAGGACTCTACAAGGTAGGTGGTGCATATTTACAGTGTAGATGTCAGCATAAAGACTATATATATACATGTTATTGATAACCACATTTTAAACCAGAAAATTTGTTCATTTACATTATAGATATCAGTTTTCCAGTGATACTGCCTTGGTCCTCAGTGATGTACCACTGTATATTATATTTTAGGCTAATTTCAAGCACCTGTATGACTATGTGACCTATGTCTATGCCCCAGCACCACACGGTGAGCACACAGCTGTAGTGAGCAGGACAGTGAAGTTCAAGAAGTCCTCCTTGAGATGTTCTCCCGGCAGCTACTGTCTCTGCTACATCAATGGGGACAAGATGTTTGTCCGAGGAATGAGCAATGTCTTTAAGGTGGGCAGCAGCAACCAGGGTTTACAGACGAAACTAGACTGTTTCATTAATAAGTAAAATGATGCTTATTTTCTGTCTCAATTTTATATCTTACATAGAAAGAAGTAAAATATAAAATTAGGAAGGGAAGGGAAAAGAAGGTCAAGGGGTTTGTTTGATACCCTATATCTGTGCAACTATGATGAATGAAGTAAATCCATAAACATTCATTCTGACAGATTTCAAAAGAAAAAAGTAGTTTACATTGTATTAAATATTGTAAGTATTAACTTGTCCTTAAACTACACTGGGGTAGCGCTAACACTCGCCAATTTAGCCAAATGCTAAAACTGACTTAAATTGGCTAAAGAAAAAGGGCTTGATTTGACATGTTTTAGCCAAATTATAACCATTTTGGTAACAAATTGACAAAAATATGATTTGGCTAAGAGAAAAAAATTGCTAGAGCTACCCCAGCTACACCAAATTTATTAAACGACATCATTTTTAAATTTCTAGATAATTGATGCAGATTCTTCCTCAGAAGATTCCTCTTCTCCATCTTCATCATCTTATGGAGGGGACGAGTCAGACATAGACACTGGTGCTAACAATGAGGAGACTGATATTTAAAACTGAGCTTGACTTACAGTACATTGTACATACATGTAAACATTGATGACATTTTTCCTACGGAATGAAATTCTAGTTCTTTCTGCCTGATCACAGACCACAAATGTACGTGCCTGAATTTTAGTAAAATTTGCACAATTGTTAGCATATATATATATATATATATCATGGGCCAAAAACTCACAAATGTTGTTTTGATTTTGTAGGGTTATTTGTTTTTCCAGATTTTTAAAAAATCATTTGTCACAACTCACTAAGTATATCATGTGTAGCAAGGGAAAAGATATCTATGAACAGCATTTTATGTCAGATGTTATGTTTGGAAAGAGATATACATATATTTTTTGCCAGAAGAAATGAACTCTTTCCAAAATAGTCTCAGGTAAAGTTTTAGATGAACAACAGCATTACAGTAGAATATTTTATATTTTTATGAATGATGTTTAATAATGCTTGAATGCCAATGGGTCTATAATTTTTACTAGGTCACATGAAATCCTCAGAAAATATGATATAAATTGTATCCTGTCTTGGATTTGTACACCAAATTAATTTTCCTCAAAAATGTTTTTTCGCACATCACTGCTCATCATGTTCAGGTCTGCACTTGGCTTCATTCTTTTGTACTGTATCTGATTTAATAATTTGTTCTAAATGACAGAACTGGCACCCAAGGTGACAACCACTGCCATGATATCATATTGATTGGTAAAAAATTGATATTGAAAATATTTGTATGCAGGATTTTGAATTTAGTGTGTGAATAGAAAGATGGATCATCTCTACTAAGTAGATTAGTGTTGGCAGTTTGTAGTTTGAGAAAATTCATAGAATATTTATCATTATCTTTATCTTTCTGTCTAAGATGTCGTGAACTTAAAGTGCATTCATGTACATACTAGAAATTAAAGGTAAAAATTTAGAAGTTTTTCTCAATGGTTGTGCTTGCATAATGATAGTATATATTGACAGTTACAGATTTATTACGAGTATATATTAAAACAAATTTCATTAAAATCATTTGTGTTGACAGTTGCAGATTTACTAAAAGTATATATTAAAACAAATTTCATTAAAATCATTTGTGTCAGGTTGTTCATTTTAGTGCTTGTTAAAAATATTTGATACTTTAGAGAGTGAATGGTGCCATGGTATGATTTAAAACTATGATTCAGCTATGATCAAGAGGGGACTTTTTTTTCAGAAACCAAAGGGGAGGGGTCAGGACCCCCCCCCCCCCAACACCCATCCCCCCTTAAATCCGCCCTTGCATTAATGCGTAAGGGTTGGACTGTGGAGGGGGACAGGACTGACCCTCTTTGTTGTTTCTCCCTGACAGCTGTTCATACAGTTATGATCTCCAGTGCATTAGTTATCAATAGTTTTCATCTTCATCAGTGTGACATGTATCACACATACTGTACTGAAGTACAGCATGCAGTGGTGGAAAGCTCATACTTGATCTGACTTCAGGGCCGTAGCCTCCGGGGGGGGGCAGCTGGTATCAATTCTGTGAGAAAATGCACTCATGTTAAAATGCACCGGAATGCAGTATTATACATACAGTTTTTAAAAATTTTCCACACCGTGGGAGGGGACACCCCCTCCCACCCCCTCCCCCCTCGGGGGCTTCACCCCCTTGTGTCCGCTTACTGCCCCCCCTGGCATTTTGCTCAGGCTACGGCCCTGAACTGATAGAGTAGAAAAAGAGGATGAATCAATTTTAGATGTATTTTGTCCTTTTCAAAATTACTAATCTAGCTTCAACATTTTTTTAACAACTCATTAAATTATACAACAAATAAATTAAAGCAACTCTGATGAATTATTCTTTTAAACTTGATTTAAATATATTTATCAAGAACTGCAGTTGGCTTAAGAATCAACTTGAATCTGGTCTATGTTTTAAGTCTTATTATCAAAATTGGAATCCTGACCCGTTTAAATTTCCTCTTTTGGTAATATTTTAATGTCGCGAACTCGTTCATCATCCCATGTAATGAAATGACTACATTGTGTTGCACAGACACAGGGCTGTGTTTTGCTGCAGTTGGACCCTTTCTGCAAATATTTGCCTTAGTTGTACTTAGGTGGTAAAATATATTTGCTGTCAGTTTGCATACAATTGCAACTACTTTCTTTGTGTATAGTCCTTCATATACTGTCCCTATGTTTGTGAGGGGGGCGGGGCTTTTTTCCATTTTTGAGGTGAGGTAAAATTAAACACTTTAAATAAATTTTTACGCGTGGTTTCGTCAGGTCAAGAAGTAGGTCAGGGCTTCCAACAGTCGGAGGTAGGTCGTGTTTGTTATTGTCATATATTTATTGCATTTAAGACTAGATTGGTGATAAACTTTATAATAACTATTTAACACTAATATTCTGTGTTTTTGAAGTACGCGGTATCTTTTGATAATCGAGATATATTCAGATATACTAAAACAGTGAGGTGTTTTCTGTACTCAGGAATAGCACGAAAGTTAAAACTCTGTGGGTGTAAAACCGGTTCTGGAGACTTCTACTTTCTGAGGTGTTTGCTTGCTTTGCCAAGTTTTCTCAAATTTCAAATTTTACCAGTTTTAGTAAAAAAAATTATCAAAATTGGTTAAATATACTTACACTTCATAAAATTACCGAATACCCACTTGTGTAATAAAAAGACCTATGCTGGGATATTTACAGGTACTATATTGAACTGTATATATTGAGCACTATTGATAATTGAGTTGCACACAATTATTTTACTACCCCACTTGGTGTGGATATTTCATCACAGTACAATCCACACCTTTTCAAAAATGCAGAATTTCAAAATTGTGAAAACAATCTGATAGTAACATCTCACTCTCTAGTGCTTTGTAATGCTTGGTTTAATATATTTACAAATGAAATATAAATTTACGTATAAGTAGCAAGCAGCAGTAGTTTATGACATGATGCTGAGAAATAGGATATCCTGGTAAAGAAGTGAACACAAGTAAGAACAAAATTTAAGAGAGAAATTTCCTGTTAAGTTGCCTTACAAATTGGACAGGTAAGTGCAGGTGTGTTACTTAAAAAGTGGACAGGTAAGTGCAGGGATGGAGACATGGAGTAGGCATCAGTGTTAGTCTCTAAAATTCATTTATTGACATTATGGGATATTTTTTTCTTCCAAAAAACTGTTTGTGTGTTCAAAAAGGATTTCTGCACCAAAGTTCATTTTTCTGTAGAAGAAAATTCTATTTCCTCCTACTCATGACATGAATCATTGCTTGCACTTGGATTTGGTATTTCTAAAATTTCTTATTTAAAAAAATTAGTTCTAAAAAATCATACTTAATTAACACTGCAATGTATTCCTGATATTTCAGATTAGAATTAAGGCCATTTGGTACTTAAATTTGAGTGGATTTATTAGTTAGTTCTTTAGTTGGAATACATAAGATATTTAGTATAAAAATTACTTTAAAACATTTTCAAAGGTCAAACGTCTGTACCAGCTGACTGCTAAGGTCTTAAGTTGGCATCAAAATAAAGTCTTTAATTGAATGAGCTCTGTAGAAGAAATGTGTATAACTTATCCATGAGGTTAATATGAGTGAATCCAAATAAGGTGATCTATTAGCGCCATTCTCAGACTGGGAGCTGCCTGTCCTCTGGCTAGTTATTACCTGGCAGTTCTTATAGATACTGTGATATAGATTACGTGACTGGGCAAGGCTAGAATGAACCTAATAGGAGTGATTCAGTTGGATTTGTAAGATGGATATTCCACTATAGCCACATCATGTTGTTTGGTCTCTAAAAGTATTTGAGAAATAGAAAGTTGCTAAAATTAAAAAGATGACACATAAAACATGTTTTTCTAAAATTGTTTTCCTTCCTCAATATTTTGTTAAAGTCTGTATTGTCCTTGAATATAATAACCTTTCTGTTTATTGAAATTTTTCACTCCATGATATGCAGGTATGAAAGGGTTCCATATTTATGTAGTATATGGAGCATGTGTTGAACCAGTTAATAGAGTGAATTGGCAGCTACATGTACATGTAGGTGGGGCCACTGTTTACACAGCCAGTTGCTATATTTGGAGGTTCTGTACCTCATCCTGCTCTGTGGTAAATGTTCTGGTGTTGAGGTGGCTGGAGGTTAGGAAAGCTGACAACCACATTCTACATGGCAGATTGCATGTGGTCAGCATATTACATAGACAGAGTCAAAGCTCTGTAGAGTAACTGGTTTTGTTGAGTAATTACAATACATTAATGATTTAAGTATGCAATTTGCAATTTGCTGATGAGCTGCTTATAAATAAAATATGTCAGCCCATAAGAAGTTTATGGTTGTAATTATACTTGATAAAAGTGATATGGCAATGTTTTAAATTCTGTTCTGTTTCAGTATCAGTTAGAGCAATGACCACAGTCCAGTTATTGGTGTTGTGTTCTGTTTCAGTATCAGTTAGAGCAATGACCACAGTCCATGCAGTTATTGGTGTTGTGTTCTGTTTCAGTATCAGTTAGAGCAATGACCACAGTCCAGTTATTGGTGTTGTGTTCTGTTTCAGTATCAGTTAGAGCAATGACCACAGTCCAGTTATTGGTGTTGTGTTCTGTTTCAGTATCATGTAGTTAGAGCAATGACCACAGTCCAGTTATTGGTGTTCTGATCTGTTTCAGTATCAGTTAGAGCAATGACCACAGTCCAGTTATTGGTGTTGTGTTCTGTTTCAGTATCAGTTAGAGCAATGACCACAGTCCAGTTATTGGTGTTGTGTTCTGTTTCAGTATCAGTTAGAGCAATGACCACAGTCCAGTTATTGGTGCTGTGTGTGTGTCTGGTCAGCCAGGCCAGTGGGTACAGTAGTGGACCCCCAGAACTGGCCTGTATCAGTATGGTCCCCAGTGGTCATGGCACCAGTGGACAGAGAGGACCCTCCCCATACACTATCACCCCCAGTGTGGACCAGTATGCAGAGGGAGGCAGTGTCACACGTGAGTTTATAATGATATATCTCCAACTCTTAGCATGAAATGTCCCTGTAGATAGGAATGTGTGACATCCTCAGAGGTGGCAGCACATACACTTTTACATATCATATCATGCCACATTTACTCCTCAGTTCTAAGCCCAATTTTGCTTTTTTAGATGAAATAATAATCTTGATGCCAAGTCTTTTAAAATTTTTTTACAACTACTTAACCATTTATTTTACAATATTTTCATACCCAGAAAGCTAATTTATACATCAGCACACTGATGATGTGCTACAGTCGTACTGACAACATCAGTCTTGAACTATTTATAATCCTTTACATATTTAAAACTACTAAATAAATAACTTGATGAATCAGTTAATAAATGGAGAAATAAATAAATTTCATTATATTTTAGTTCTTATGCATGTGTTTCAGTTACCATAAAGGGAAAGAATGGAGAGAGGTTTAAAGGTTTTTTTGTGCAGGCTCGTAGAGCAGATCCATCACTTAATGTAGAGGAGCCCATTGGAAGATTTGACACCATTTCTGGGTCCAAAATTTTGTGTGACAAAGCGCTTGGTGTAAGTCCCTTAATTCTATGTGGATGTTAACCTATATTTGGTAACAGCACTGGATGTAAATATCAGAGCCTCATTATAGAACTAGGTCATGCAGACAATTTTGCCACATTTTAGAGTAAAATTTCTAAAAAAATAAACATGATTTTTTGGTAATTTATATCCCAAACAACTTTCTTTAAAGTATGTTTTGTTTGAAGATTTTCATAATAAATCACAGTCTTGTTGAAGGACTACATTATTTCTCTGCCCTGTATTGTTGGTAAAGTTGAGACAAATGTTAATTTGTGTCATTTTTCAGAATGCCATATCTCACAGTAGCGGCAGTGACAAATCAGAGGTGGTTCTAACCTGGAATGCTCCAACCAGCTTCCAGGGACATTTGGTTTTCAAGTAGGTGGTTTTAAGGACATGTTATCTTTTGACAAAGGCCTCAGTTAAAGTGGAATGTTACTGTTTAAAAATTATTGCAGATCTCGTCATTTCTTTGCATCAGTATTGTCCCAGCTAGATTGAATCAGATAGTGAGTTTTTTTTATAGTTATAGAAAGTTGTTATATACAGCCACTGTATGTGTCTATTTATTCTGATCACTGTGTCTGTCTGTGTCATAGTCATCACATTTGCCATTGCTATCCAAATGTCAGTCCCTACCCAGTGAGGCAGGTTACTTACAAAAATCAGCTTAATAGGATTATTTTTTTAAAAGCTGATTTTTTAAAAAAATACTGATGCAACATTTTGCTGGATATGGTATGTACCGTGTATATTTGCAAGCTGTGCTGTCTAGTCTATTTTTAGTTTTTATGAAGTATTTAAACTTAACAAAAATGACCTGAAATTATCCTTGATTGTTCTTTCAGAGCTACTATAGTTCAGACGCAGACCGTGTTCTGGGATAATGAGATATCAGCTCTTGTGAGGGATCCGACGGCCCCAGATATTGTCACCACCACAATGGGGACAGGACCTCCTATAGACCTTTTTCATCTTTTCCGGAAATGGAAATTGCATTGTGGGTAGGGGAGCCCTGCTACGTCAAAACACTTACAGCGGTGCTAAAAACCATGGCTGGGTTTACGTGCTTTTTGTCCCGCTGCTACAATAACAGTAAGCGAGATCGACACATGAGGTTTAATAAGTTCCCAACAAACCCGTTAGAATGAAAAATATGGTAGAAAGAAAGGAAAATATAGCAGGTTTGGATCAAAAGCAGGGCACCGCGTTTGCGCTGAACATTTCAAAGGCGGGAAGAAAAACTAAAATATTAGGAGATCAACAGTGCTTTCATAAAAAACAGAAATGCTTAGTTAATCAACGGATATAACGAACTATCGGCAAATAGAACTCGGGGGTAAACAATGCGAGAAAAAAAACATTATAAAGATCTGAAGAAAAAATTGAAGAATAGTCCGGGGCCTAAAAATAAAGAAAAGACTTCAAGCATGAGATTATGGAAAAAGAAAGTAAAAGCTGTGAAGTTTTACACGGGGATTCTACTTACAAAAAATTCAAGAACTTTCACAACTTTTTCTGTAACAACAAAGAGGAGGTTTGAAAAGTTTTGTATGTAATATCCTTTTTGTGTGTGTTTTATTGATAAGTGATCATTTTAAATGTAGTAGACCTATCACAGGTTTTAGTCTCTCATAACCCTTAGTAGGGTGGGTTCTATTTTTTTTTAATGTGAGACGTTGATAAAATTTTTATCATTATGTATCCAGTCCCGTATACGTATTACTGATTTGTACAAACGGGGCTCATATTATCAAGATCAACAGAGACATACGAAGAAGAAAGTACATCGGCTCTTGTTGAACGCGTTATCGGCAAAATAAAAAGTTATTTATTTCTGAACTCAATGACAAGAGAATTGGAAAATATTATATTTACAAAAAAATGCAGAAAAGCCTTTCTGTAAGCTACACGTACGTAATACATGTATGGTAAAGACAAAATGGATAATAAAAATAATCTAACAACGTATTTGTAAAGTAATACAAATATGCTTAGTATTAAAGTAAGCCTACATATATTTAACTGTCTTAGATAGTTGAAAAGTATGAAATGTGTGGAAAACACTTTATTTGAATGATTTTATTGTCTTTGATTGAAAACGATGAAAATACGCTTGAAAACATTTAAAAATCAAATAATTTGGCCTCTTGCTAAAATTTTGTTTTTGCCTGACGGTTTTGTTTCAGTTTGACAAAATTTTCATACATGTCAGACCGACAGTCTGACATTTTTTACCTGTCGTAAATTTTGTACATATACTAGAGTAAGACACGGTAAACTTTAATTATCTTCTGGGAAAGACTCGAGAATTCCTGTCTCACCTATTTAACACTTAAAATTAGGAGGTTTTTAATTACAGAGGAAAGGTCGTAGTTGTGGCCGCCCCCTTACCGAACAATTGAACAAGTAACACCTGATGCCTTATCAGGTACCAAACGATTTAATCAGTTCACCGACGAACGATCTGCATGTCAGTACACAGTAGGTACGAGTCAAACAATGCAGGGAATCTTTTCATTTTATCACTTCAAAAATCTCTTAAGACATCCTTCAAACAAGACATAAAAATGGTAAAGAATTGACACTGCCGGTAAATGAGGTGATATCACCACAGCTTGCATATATACATGTAATATTGTGAAGACGTAGGCCTACGCACCTGTCCACACTCTTGAAAGCTGTGTACGAGTCTACTGGCTATTTTGATTTTATATATAAAAAAATAACGAGTCTCTTTCGCATATCATTATTATCGGAAGCATTTAAAAGAACTCTGAAGCTTTAGTTTGTCATCACTATTGAAAGTGCAGCCAATTAAGGCTCGGACGCTTAGGTGAAGTCTAGTTGTACAGCGCATCGTATTTAAACTGAGAAAGAAAACATTTAATTGCTTGATTCTCCGTCCAAATAGCTGTTTCTTGCCTACATTTTATGCATTTCTGTGCTTCAGCCACCTTTTTAGTTTGACAGAAAGCAATGCACGCTTCATACGACCTTTTTATATGCACACCTTGTACATCATCTACACCTAACCATAGAAGTAGAGAAACTTCTATGACCTAACATTGCCATGCTGGAAACAGCAGAGGACTACCATGACCCCTGTGGCGCGCGGTTCCTGTCATGCGCACTTCGTATTTCCGCAAAAGATGAAAAAGGTTAATAGTGGTAGGTGATACACTGCCCTCATTTATCACGTCACTCACTATATGGGGAACAGATTGTGTTTTGATTTAAATCTGATTTTATTTTAAAATTCTTCTGGTATAACATTAAGTTTGCAGAGTTATTAATTGACCAAGTGTAATAATAATAATAATAATATATTTATTTCAAGTCTAAAATCCATAAAATGTTCAATAGACTGTACAACATAAAATACAAAGAAGTTTATAGATAAAAATGGTTAAGATATATTTTATATAAATAAGAGCTAAATTAACTAACTTAATTGTAATAAACAGTAATTAAAAGTAAAAAATCCAAGGTTTCTTTAAAATTATAAAATTTAAGATTCATGAATAAAATGTCTTAAAAATATGAGTTTTTAATTCCTTTTTAAAAGATTCTTGTGATTCTATTTGTCTAATAAAAATTGGCAACTTATTCCACTCTACTGGTGCAGCTACACAAAATGATATGTCACCATATGATTTTAACCTTGATTTTGGAACTTTCAGTAAAAGTTTGTCACCAGACCTCAGGGATCTTTGAGGGCTATAATGTTTGACTAAATCAGTTATATATGGTGGAGCTAGATTATAAAAAGCAGCATGTGTAAAAACTAAAACCTTAAATAAAATTCTGGCCCTAACTGGTAACCAGTGCAGATGCTTTAAAATTGGAGTGATATGGCAATCCCTAGGCTGTAGCATTAAAAGCCGTGCTGATATATTCTGGATGCGTTGTAATCTTTTGATCTTATCATCTGGACATCCATATAATATAGAATTGCAATAGTCTAGCCTGGAAGTTACCAATGAGTGTATAACAGTAGCAGCAGCAGATTGATTCAGATGTTTCCTTATGGTACCAATATTCCGAATGTTGAATAAACAAGACCTTGTGATGTTGGAGATCTGTTTGTCCATTGAAAGTGTAGAATCAAAGTATACTCCTAAATTTTTTACATGGGGGGAGGAAAATGCCATACTAGCTCCAATTTTAAGTTGCAAGTTATGAGCAAGGCCCTTGTTGTGGGGTTGAGTAATGACTAAAAATTCTGTTTTTCCATCATTTATCTTCAATTTGTTTGAAATGAGCCAACCTCTGAGGTCTGATATGCAATCAACAATTGTGTTCACAGACAATGCTGGATCATGGATGTTACAAGATGTGTACAACTGGGTATCATCGGCATAAA